AATTATTTTACCAAAATATTATATTATATACTAACAAGAAAAAATATTAAGATATATAATCTTACTCAAATTTTTATATAAAAAGTTATATAATTATATGAAATCTCTGATAGTATTGTTATAGACAAAAGATCCTTTACTTTTTATTTCTAGATATTTTTTTATTTTTATCTATAAGTTAGAAAGTAACTTTTAAGAGTGTTTTACACCTAGACAGACAAATAAATAGAATAATAAAATTAAATTTTTAAAGCATATATATATATATATTGCTTAAAAGAGTAAAAAATATAAACAACCTTACTTTTGTCTATAAAATTTACCTACAATAACTCTATACATACTACTATAAATATTTTGCCTTTTTATATAAACTATAGTTATAATCCTTGAATAGATATAAAAATATACCTTTATGAGTATAAAGCTAAAAATATTACTTTGCTCTTAAAAAAACTTAAAGACTTATAAGTAAATCTCTATTAAAAATTTATTTAAGTTAATAAAATTTATACTTGCTATTACAATCATGGTAAGCAACTACAAGTATATAAAGTTAGTAATAAAGTATAGATAGATACAAAAAATTTTAAACTCAAATAGTCTAGCAAAAAACTTACTTTTAAATATCTTAAACTATACAAAATTATAGAAAAAATAGAGAGAAATATATATAGACTTGTTATACCTACATTATATAATAAATTACTAAAGTTGCATGATATTTTTAATATTCTACTACTAGAACCTATATATTAGCATAACTTTCAATTAAATAAAGGTAATTTTTATAATTATAGAAAATAAGTATTCTAAATAATAAGTATAAGGTAAGTAATATTTTTAATAATTATTTTAAAAACAATTATTTTAAATATTTAGTCAAATAAAAAGAGTATGAAGGAATAAAAAAAGAAACAATCTAAGAGCTTGCAAGAAACATATACTACTTACTGAAATTGTTATAAAAATTTTATAAGGCACACTTTAGCAAACCTTTGAAAAATACTAATAAAAAGTAAGAATCAAGATATAAAAACATAGTAAAAAAGAGTAAGTTTTAGCATATAAAACAAGTTTTATAAAATATAATAAATATTATAAAAAAAAAACAAGAAATTAAGAAAGAAAAATTTATGCTTTTATTTAAAATTATACTAGAAAAACTCTTGAATAACTAATACTAGCCTAAAGCTCATAGTATCCTAAAAATAAGATAAAAAAAATGAAAAATAAATTATTGCTTAAGTAAAATCAAATCTAGTTAATTAATTTACTATTTCTATATTTTTGTCTAACAAATCTCTAGTTTTATAGTTTAAGTAATTAAAAACATACTATATATTGTAATTTAAAATATTTATATATTATTCTAATATAATTCTTACCTTTTGCTTTACCTCCAAAGTTTACTTAAGAACCTTTTAAGCTTTTTACTCTGCATCCAGAGTATATTCTAGATTTTTATACAACTTACATTTCTTTTTTATAAGAAGTACCTTGGCCCTGAGATAATTTTCAAACACAATCTATATCTAATGTTTTTTGTATAATAGATAGTAAATTTCTACTAAATTTGTTTCTAAGACTTAAAACAACTTGACATTTATCCTCTCTATAGGTAGTAACTATTTTTCAAGTATAGCTAGATAACAATCCATGCTAGTAAAATCTATAGAGATATATATAGAACTACAATAATAATAAAAAAATTACTTAGTTAATAACAGAGAAACAAGTAAATAAACAGAAACAATACTAAGTATTCATAGCATGTTTTAGGTAAAAAACAAGAGTACAACCTTTAATAATATAAATAGCAAAGCTAGAAGTATTGCTCTTGAAAATATAAGTAATTAAAATGAGAGTATTACCTTTAAAGATATATAAAATCATATCTAAAAATTTAAAAATATTTGTAAAATACTAACTAGTAGCATTTAAGATATAATGAAAACCAGAAGAAGTTACTCTAGCATAAAAACTAAAAAAAGCTACTTGAGTATAAAAACTAGAAGAAATTGCTCTAGTGCAAGAGCTAGAAGGAGTTACTATAGTACAAGTTTTAGACAAAGTAGTACTAGAGCAAGAAACAAACAAAATTACTCTAGAGTAAAAAAGAGTTATAATATTATAAATGAGAATAATTAGAGTTTAAAACAAAAAAGATACTATGTAACTACAGGCAATTTATTTAATAGTAATACCAGAGATTAGATTTTGAAATGCTTTAGTAAAAAGTTTGTTATAAATTACTCTTTTATAATAGTAGCTGCAAGGTTCTAAATTAAGAGTATATTCTTGTTTATAGTTTTTTTATATTATATAAAATATATAATAACAAGTAGGTCTATTACAACTTTAAATACAATTATGTTTAGTATAAGAGCAAAAATTATATGTAAAATTAGAAACAAAGCAATTGTTTTAAATTTTCCTCTAGAATGATGGTTTTCATTGTCTTGCTCCTAAAAATATACTAGATATACTAAATCATTGTCTTGCAAAACTTTAATATTTTTACTACCTTCTTTATTAATATTAGTTTCAAGATCTTTAGATATATTTTAATAGTAAAAAATATCTCTGTCTCTACTACTAGCTACCTAAAAAAAGAGATATAGTACTATCAAGAAAGAAAGAATAAAAAATATAGTAATAAAAAAACTTATAAAACAGTTAGTAAACAAGAACAAGAAAAGAAAATAAATCAAAACTCACTTTTAGAAATTAAACAAATACTTGCTCTTGAAAAACAAATTAAAACTTACTTTAAAAATTAAACAAAAAACTTACTCTCAAAAAATAAATAAAAAGTTACTATAAAAATCAAAAGAAAATAGTAGTTAAAGAAAAAAGAAACTATTATAACTAGAAATAAAAATAAATAAATAAAAACTTGTCTCTAAACAATAAATAAACTTATCTCTAAATAGTAAATACATACATTTTAATTACAAAATCAAACCATGTATAGGTCTATAATAAAACAAGATTAAAAGATATATAAAATATAAACAATAAAGTAAACAAAGACATTATAAAAAAACTATATCTATACTAGTTACTAGATAACATTTTTAAAAAATTTTCAAATTATGTAGACCATTTTAGAATTTTCATGACATAAAATATAGGATTAAACAAACAAAAGTACAAAATATATTTTCAATACTAGTAAATTACTACAAACTAATAATATAAAAAATATAGCTCTATATTTAAGCCCTAATCTAAAATTATTAGAGCAAGAAATAAATCTAGAATAAAAAAAAACTAAACAAAACATACAATAACTAAATAACATGCTCTAAACAAGAGTAATAACAATAATAAGATATGCTAAAATAAGTAAAACAAGAGAAAAGCTTTATAACAAGTTATAAAAAAATGATTTTAAGTAATAAAATTATCTTTGATAAAAAAAAAATAGCATGTCAAGATACCTTGACATAAACTACTACATCTTAAAGGTAATATTTAAGGACTATCATGTAATTAACTATTAAATTTGTTTAATAAAAGGTAATAATTAAGGCAAGATAAAGAGTAAAATATAGAATAAAATATAGAGCAAGAAGTAAAGTAAGATGAAATGTAAAAAAAAAAAAAGAGGGGTGAAAATTATAAAAAGATAAGATATCAAGATATATATATTAAAATTAAGAGTTAGAAGTTTAATAGTAGTTTTATAAAGGTAGTATTTATATACATTTTTCTTGTAAAGTCTAGACCTTCTTACAATTGTTAATTATATTATTCTATTATCTAATTAGGATAACATTATCTTTAATTAAGTAAAAGTATATTTACTGCCTACTCTAGATGCTAACTATCTTTTAAATCAAGTAGTTAGCCTCTCATTTTACTTAGGTCTATTTTTTAGATAATATACTTGCTTAATTTAAAAGTATTACATAACCTAATATTATGTATACTTTGACATTGTATCTTTCTGTGTTTTATAGATGTTTTCTCTATTTTATGCCCCTATTGAGCTATTTTTTTTTTCTAGCCTGTCTATTATTATTATTTTTTTTAGAACAATATAAAATATATTGCTATATAGTAAAGTATAAAACTAACTACTAAGGAGCTACTCTCTTGTTCTATAAAGATAGCATTTATATACATTTTTTCTATAAAGTCTAGACCTTCTTGCAATTGTTGATTATATCATTCTGCCATCTGGTCAGGACAGCATTACCTTTGATTAGGCAGAGGCATATTTACCACCTGCTCTAGATGCTAACCACCTTCTAAATCAGGTGGTCGGCCTCCCGTTCTGCTCAGGTCCACTTTTTAGGTCACATGCTCACTTAATTCAGAGGCATCACGTGACCTAATGTCAGGCATACCCTGACACATGTAGAACTTCTATTTACATGTATTATCCAGAACTTACAGCCATCATCTACAAGTAATAAAAATAGCTATATATATAAAAAATGTATATAGCTGTCTCTAGCTGCATGTAGCTAGCTGTAACATAGCTACACTATATAGAATTAATTAAATACTTTACTATGAGAGTAAGCATTCTACTTTGCATTATATAGGACTTAATTATTAATTACTTTGCTTTAGTCCTATGTATTTTTATATCTTTATTCTCAGCTACACTACACAGTACAATAGAACAGCTCATTACAACTAGTTAGAAGACTTGTAAAGTCCATTGAGTGATGGGTGAGCTTGGAAGCAACCAGTCAAGATACTTTAGGATACCTATATGTCCTGCCAAGAAAATCAGCAATGAGTCTCAGTTTAACGAAAAAACACCCTTGTATCGGAGTAACTGAGCTTCATTTTTACACGAATTGACTGTATTATATGAGGGCCGACTGGGCCTTTTGAAGGGGGGTTGGTGTTCAGGTCGCTTGTGACTTACGTTATGACCTAGATGAGGTAAACGAGCGAGCAATTCCCCCACTAAGATACTGTAAGCTTATAAATTTATTCCTTTACGAGACGCTTTCTCTAACATTTTCTTCTTTTGCAATATCATCACCCTTTTCATGTAAAGGTAGGTCAAAACTTCCAAGTTTCAAACTCGTTCTCGAAATGCTTTCTGCAATGATTAATAAAATTTTCAATCTGTCAATCCACTGACATTCAGGATTATTCCTGAAGCACGATGTTAATCTCCAAATAATTTTTATGACTGTCTTCCTTGAAACTCTCCTCGATCATAGCCACAACCGTTCCATTGAACATTGTCAGCTAACATTTTATCGCAGAGACAATGCGAGAGTGGTACTTGCCTGGTGCTAGAACAGTGCTTTCCGATGGCCTCGAAATTTGAGCCATTTCATATCTCGCTCGTCGCAAACCGGTATTTTATTCATGATGTCGATGTGATAACATATATTCGCCGGGAACATCACATCTGTGGTGTTCTTCTCGGGAGCATACCTCAGATTCCTCAACAGAACGTCTTCTTGGGCGCGCCCCTGGAATTGATGCCCGAAGAAGCCCGACTCCTATTTGAGAAGGGGGCTGCGGTCGTTGTCGATGATCTAAGTCTACACAAGGATGCGATAGCATTTTTGCCACACCACGTGAAGCACGATTATTTGCGAGATCTACGTGACCAAGGCATGATCGCCGGCCGTGGTGTTCAAAAGAGAACGGAAGAGCGGAAGCATAAAGCCCTGGAGAGACTCGGTCTCCAGGATCCGCCTACCTCTGGGCCCTGTGACACCACAGCCCCCAAGGAGGAACCACTCTCCAATAATGCAATTGACAGCTTACCCTATTTCGACGCGCCTCTCGTATATAATGTAACACCACCGCTTTCCGGGCGGATACTCCCTCCTACTGACCAGCCGACGGAGCTCAAGCCCCCGAAAGTACCCTTTTCGTACCCTCTATATGAGTTCTTACATGCAAAAGGCTACTTTATCTCCCCAGGTTTGCGTTTTGGATGCCAGTACCTTGTATATCCCGGTGATCCTCTGCGCTTTCACAGTCACTTTCTCGCTGTTGGAGGAGCATGGGACGAAGAAATGGATCTTCTAGACATTGTAGGAGGCGGTAGACTTGGAACAGGCGTGAAAAAGGGGTTCCTGATTGGCGGCGCGGAGACCGAGGAACAAGCTTGCAAGGGCCATGCCTCAACTCCCGACGTCAGAGTATTTTGTGTTGAATGGGGTGGAATGTAATCCATTCCCTCGATTAGCATCAGCATCCTATGCTTTTTTTTTTTTGGGATTCGCCTTCGGCAAGCTCCTTCTGGTGTTCTGGTTGCGGTAGATGAATAGCGATTCGTAATTGATACCCTTGCAAGACCTTCAGAAACTCTTTAGCATTGGAAATAAAGTCGTCACAATGTATGGAACCAAATCGTTAACAACCTCTATCAAATGATGGATCAAAAGACTTACGGAAAGCCGCAAATTTGAGGTGTTTCTGGCACGTTCAAATCCAAAGCAACTCCGTAATCAATAAATCGATCCCTGTTGCAAAGTGTTGCTGTCTACAAGTGCTAGCTTCTGGAGAGGGTGAGGACCTGGCCCTTTCGGCTGCGGTCTGGTTTAAACTGTTGCATTGTAATAAAGAGGTACAACATAGATAGTTCTAAGCGCTGCTTATGGCTAAGTATTTGTCCTGAGGAATTCTTTCGAATGAACAGAATCAACAAGCCTCTCGAAAGTCGTAATGGATAAGATACTTATGTATTTATATTTTCTTTACCTAAGTACTTTAGGAATCTCCGAGCTGGGGCCTAGGAACGCTCCCGGGATGCTAGAAAGTGGCCTCCTAGCAAATAGAACGGGCCTCTAGCCAAACCTGCCTTGCAAAGGAGCTCTGACATGGCGAGCATACGGACATACTCCCTATAGAGAGCATTTCCTGCGTTCCCAGGATCCTTGCCATATATATATGGCTGCACGTATATAGATAGAATGGCGATGTTTTTGAGTTGATATCAAAAGGTCGCCCGCCAAAATTTTAATTTTAGAAGGGGGTATGACCGTGAAGATAACAGCAACGTATTCGCTCTATCTTCATCTGTAGTGATTAGAATGGAATGAAGCCACAGAACTGGCGTTACGCCCGGCGACCCCCCAGGGGTTCGGGCGCATATTTGAAAGACACATATAGCCACCCAAACTCGACCAACCTTGGAATGGCCGATTGCAACCATGGCTGATTTGACACAATGGCCAGCAAACTCCGAGCACCGACAGACTCCTGATGAATGAGATTGAACGGCGCCAAGACCAATCAGATTTTGTCAAGAGTATCTTTTCTCAGAGGGAACCCACGGCGGGATCAATGAGATAAATATCTCAAAAGTCGATATTGATTTTTGTGTTGCTTGTGTTTCCTCCTTCGCCAACAGCCGTCGCACCCCCTTGCTGTGCATCTGTGTCACCGTCCATCGGAGGGAGACTGAAGGGTTTGATTGTAAATTTTCTTCTTGTCACAGTAAATGCGAGATCGCCTTCTCCGTCATTTGGGCGACCACCGCCTCCTTTCTCATGAAAGATTGGGAGCCGATGAACATGTAGCAACCCTTGCGGAGGTTGTTCATGCGTATTAGCCCCTCCAGATGTGGCAGTCGATGTGGAAAGGGAGTCCATTAAATGCGGGAATGGGGTAAGCTCAAGTACTCCGTCGTTCAAGAGCTCAGCCCAACGTACAAGACCAGTCGAGCGTGGATAAAGATCCAATGTTAAGGTCATAATTACGGAAAGTTGGGTAGAAAATTGCCGAAGAAGGCTGCGGAGGCCGTGAAAGAATGGAAGAAGGTTGGTAGGGTCACAAGCATGAGGAGGATAGAGTGCTGGAGATAAAAGGTTCGGAATCACTACTCGATGGATCCGACCTGTGTGGTCTGATCGAAGCTGCGTTGCGATTCCTTCAAGTATACCGTGAAATGGAGAGCTCGATGAAGCATTCACGACCGTCGGAATATACGTGATTCCCGATCCTGCAGGATACTCCAGTCTTTTGGCAAGGTCGAAAATATGACAAAAAGCCGCTTGCGAAGTGGTTGAGTTCAAAGAGCCGTCGTCGGATAATCCCCGGTCTGAGGGGAAGTTTGGACCTGTAAAGATTAGAAAAGAAACATTGCAAGGAGGATCGCATGCAGCAAGTCATTCGATTGATTTTTTTTTTATTTTTCTCTTTTTGTTTTTTGAAAGGCTCATCTGATGGCAACAAGAAGAAATGGGAACCAACCTCTGTTTATCGACGACGACGTCCCAAATTCTCCCAGACGCTCATATCTCCAAGCAATCCTCATCCTATCTTGCCTGCCCTTACGTGATATATCCGCGTCTGGATTTCCATCCGCCACGCCAGCAAGTCCGGGTAATTCTCGACCCCATTGTTCGCCTACGCCCACTACATGGACTTGATGTCCCTGTACTACTCCCTCAGCAGCAAAGTACCGCAGAAGTGCGCCGGAGAAATCGGTGGTCCCAGACTCCTCGAGTAGAAGGGAGCTTCCTAAAGGCAGCCCGGCGTGCCCCGCGAGGAGCTTGTCAAGCGTGCTGGCTCCGGTGGAGATAGTCGCACGCCCGTCTATAGGAGATGGACGAACACCTGGAGAGGGCTGGACCGCCTTGGGAGGTGAAGTGGTGATGGGCGAATGGACTTCGCGAAGCGGTAATTGTCCCTCGATGCCAGCATTGATGGGTTGCGGGATCGGGGTCTTTTGGCTGTTGTTGGGTAGTACAATATTCCGTTTTCGAAAAGACATGCCATATATTCTGTGAATCGGCAGAGATAATTCAAGTTTTGAAGACCGAGAGTATCTTTGAGGCTTAAGAAGGGTATCTTTATCGCGGACGATACATGGGTTGGTATGTTTACTTTATCGGAGTACGTTTCTTAGCTGCAGTTATTGCTACCGGATTCGAGACTTTCTGCAGGGCTCGGTACCCCCTTGGTAGCGCGGGGCACTTCTGGCGCTTTGGAGCCCTTTCATCGCCCGAAGAGTAGATTGCCGCTTACATAATGTATTGACTGGAACGATTAAGTTCTGGAAAACGATCGCTACTACTGAAGAATCGCGTATTTCTCGAAAATATCTTGCAAGGCTGATCGCAAAACAGCTGAGCGGAGGTCAGGATATAGAGAAAGCGGGCAGGATTTTTTTTTTTTTCGTTTCGAGCCTTTATCATCAAAGACGAAAGGGTGAAATATTTTCAATCAGGGGAAACTTTTTCGAAATGGCGGATGCGCAACTCTATGACGATACATTCACAATCACCTCCATCAACGCCCAGAAATATGATCGCGTTTCACGAATTTCTGGTACATCCACAAGCGGAGATACTCTGTTTACCCTAGACGTCAATACGGAGATTTATCCGTGCTCTGTGGGCGATCAGATGCAAATGGTACTCGCGTCAACCCTCTCCCTGGATGGGACAGAAGATGACGCAAAGGGCTGGAGGGAGGCAGCAAGAGGGGAAGCTAGTCTCGCTGATATGTTTGATTACGTCTGCCATGGAAAAATCTACAGATTCGAGGAAGCGGAAGGAGAAAACATGTATGCTTGCGTCTTGGAAATACCATTGACTTGAAGTTCTCTTGATCATCAATGCGATGGAGTTTCCGTCCCCTTTTTATTTTTTGTCTTATTTTAGGATGGATGGCTAACGCATGGGATATTTACAGTAAGGTTTTTGTATCATTCGGAGGTCTATTGCTTTATATGGAGGGGCCTTACAAGAAGCTTACACCACTCCGCATCGACTATATCTATCTGCTTCTGAAGAAATGAGCGCGAGCTAAAATTTGATGGAGATATCAGCGGGGCGGAGCAACAAAATTCCAAACGGTCTACTCGCCCCGCACCGACAAGAGGAGTCGGAAAGATGCCCCAAAATTGGAAGATGGCGGGTTTCCGGTCGTTGACAGCGCACAGCTAGTTTGCTGCAGGATATTCAGAAGAACCAAAAGCTGCCGGCGTTTGGAGTATGTTGCATATTAGATTGTTGGAAATTCCAGTCGTCTGTGGATTCGTGCAATGATCTGGATATAGTCTTTCTCATTCTTAGCATCTAGAATGCCATGGCGAATGAGAAAATCCAAAAGAACCAAAGCACAATTTGGCTTAAATTGACCATCATGGAGGGCATGTTGCACTTTGGCAAGGTCCCACAAATGGAAAGTTTCCACTTCGTTGTCAGAGGGCGATGGTTGGACGCCCTCCTCCAGCTCTAGGTCGTACACGTATTGAACCTCCGGCTGCAGCAGCCCGGTCTCTCCGCCAGCTCTCTCATCCCGAATGTGAAAATAAGTAATAGTGCCACAAGCCTTGGCCTTTTGTCGAACCAAAGCTTCGGGCAACGATGCCTCCTCTTGCGCTTCCCGGATCAGAGTCTCAAACGGCTCCTCACCGGTACTTATGCCGCCGGCGACCGTGTTGTCTAGCATTCCGCCATATGTTTGCTTACTTAATGCCCGTCGCGGAACCCATAATAGCAATCCGCTGGAGGAGCGAATATACGCTGTCATATGAATGCCATAGCTGACAACGCCGAGCAGGGCACTAGCAGCCCGTTCGATATTAAACAAGAGAACCCCACCAGGTCCATAAACAGGATAAAGTTCATTACGCCATCCCCTCAATACTGTGAATTTGTCCTGATTGCGGAGCTCCTGACAGGTCTGCGCAACAACAGCGCTTCGCTCGTTCTCGTTGGAACCAGAAATTAGCGTCAATGTTTGAGCATCATGGTTAAGGTTCCAAGCGCTGAACGACTCAAATGCTTCCGCAACAAATTTCGGCACATAGCCTAGAGTATGATCATAGCTAGCGACTTTAAGGTGGTAAAGTGGAGAGACAATGTCGCGGTAAGCTGCTGCGTTGGGGTAGCTGTAGGGAAAGCTGAATTGAATGAGCGAGACCAATTATATACCACGAGAAAAGTGCTGGGCTGAGACGCTCAATCGAAAACAAATGCATACCTGTCGCAGTCCTCGACTAGCTCAAGAAAGGATCTCATTCTAAAAAAAAAAAAATTCAGACAACTAGTCACTCGCCGTAAGCTATCACGGCCTCTCTCTTTCTCTCTCCCTCGTTGCCTCCGTTAAATCCAGTTTGACTTTTTATCCGAAGAAAGAGCAACTGAGGGCCAGCGAGCTCAGATCTCAAGGGTTCGCTACCGCTTTGCCAGGACGAAGCTAACCAATATTGGAAGGGATGACAACCCAAAACCACGAAAGCCGCTTAATTATAACAATGCTGTCATACGAGGATATCTTTTGCATTATCATTATCATCATCATTATTATTTTTCCTTTCAGCAAGCTCTTGAGCTTTACTGGCGACCAAATTTTCAATAATACCCACTTTTTAGATTTTATATTTCCTTAGCCTCCCTTTTGAAGCTACATTCTCGAAATCCCGATCTTGTTTGGATAAAAAACCAAATACTGAAGCCTACATTCCGTGTTTGAAACACAGAATTTAATTTTACAATGTTCGGAGCCATCTGCGCGGGTCGACCTGTCCAAACAAATCTCCAAGTTATATCTCCGACACAGTTTGCATTTACTATACCATCTGCGCCGTCGTTCAATCACATTGTCGTTTTTCTTCTTCCCGGAAACGTTCTTCCCAATGATATGGCAGCAGCTGTGTATATACGCATCTCTGCCGAATCAGACTTCCAGCTCTTAGGAGCTATCGGAAATGAGAAACAAAGCGCCATTTTCCGGGTAAATAATGCCGGTTCGACCTTTGGAAGGACACCAGCTTCTGCAGGAGGAGGAGGCGATGATGAAGCCATGGTCGACGATTCGCTTGATGCGTCTCCCTCCACAGCCACAGATCATGCCAACAATGCGGCAAGCATCATCCTTGGCATCTCCATCGAACCTGCGGGCCCGCTTGGCACTCAGCTTGCTTCTCTGAAAGGCAACTCGGCACAAGGCGCCGTCCCTGCCAGTGGGTCGAACCCTGGTCAATTGGCAACACGGGCACCATCTACAAAAATACTTGCACAACGAATCATCAAGAATGCGTTCAACTTCCTAGCGAGTTTTGTTGGGGAGCAAGGCGGCGTTGAGGTTGTTCCTCTTCGAAGCTTCCAGGATTGGTGGAATAAATTCGAGAAAAGGCTGGAACTAGATCCAGGATTCTTGGACAGGACCGATGACCAATGACGTTGTTACGCATTGGAGCGTCTACGTTAAAGATGAGAGACCCCAGCCTTTTTGTGGTTCAGAAAGACCCAAATATTCTCCAGAGCCGTTTTCCGAATCATATTAAGCAAACATTTAGGACAAAGGAATTCTCAAATAAACAAGTGGTATCTATGATCGGATCCCCCAAACGGCTCCAAATAGTAAAGATGCGACAGATTGCGACAACGATTCCTCGCCTTTATGCAATAGATATAATACATTACCAGAAGAAAATTGCTCTGTTCCTTCTTCCTAGCAGTGAGCTCAAGAGGATGATTGGGAATTCATTACGAGACCGAATCAAACCCCCAACCCAGTTATTCTCGTGATTCGAGGGACAGTGCCGAGGGGACGTTTTTCAATCGAACGGAATTTCGAGACGGTATCCTCTCTCGACTCTCGGTCCTCACTATCAGACTTTTCTCGATACCTGCGCTGCTTGGAGTCTCGGGCCAGCTTGAACTTTGACCGAGACCTTTCGTCCCGTGATCCCCAAGAAGCGAAAGCCCAGAACCTTGGTCAATCCCTGGGCGAGGGCTTGCCCAGCCGGATGCCTTGCCAACCTGGTGTTCCTCATTTGGCTCAGATGGCGTGTTGAGCCCCGGTACGCTAGTGAGCTCGAAATCTTCGTTCGCGTCGCCGCTTTCTAGGACACGTTCATACGTGACTCGATCATTGCGGTTGAAAAGTTTCGCTCTGAGATATGATGGGTTTCTTGAGCATTCCCAGAACCAAGAAATACCACTCCGAATAGCCTTAACTGTCCTCGTTCTTCGATCTTTGCCGCATGACAAAAAAAGAGCAATACATACAATAAGGGCGAAAAGGACAAATCCGGGAATGCGTCGATGAGAGTCGGACTCAAAAAGAACGCGGCTCCAATCGTCATCAGTCGACCCAATTGGATCTGGAGGAGTTCCTAGGCCTGGAACGGCCCCCCCATACTGGAAGTCCGCAGGGACTTCTGGAACATTGCTCCCAAAGCCTACTGGAAGATATGATGCATCAAGCGGGGAAATCTGACTAGAGGCATACAAAAGCATTTTCCCCATTGTCCAACTGACTTCCGTTTCATGGATCTTATTGACTGCCTGAAAGGGGTCAAGGAAACCCATATCTTTGGCATGTTGTATGATTTCCTCCGTTCCATTATGCCCGTCGAGTTTCGTGTTTTCAATTCCAACTCGAGGAATGCCGATGCCATCGTGTAGCATATTGATTAGCCACGAAGCTCTAAAACAAACCTCCGCAGCAGCCCCTTCATCAACTTTGCCTCCCCATTTTTTCCCCTTGATACCTTGAGAAATTGTCTTCCAGTCTTGAGAGCAGAATTCTCTAACCCTCTGCTGATATGTGTGAAAGTCATAACTCTTCTCTTTAACACCCATCTCGAAGATTTCATGCGTTGTGTGCCAGTATTCTGATATTCCAACAAAATGGTTGACGTCAAAATCTATTGCAGGAACGTGGGTCCCATGGAGGAGGCACGGATGATCCTCGCATGGGGCGTCCTTGTCCAGTAGTGGATATGTTTGCCGTAAACATTCATCGAACCGACCAGTTCCCACAAGCCTGATATGTTCCTTCTCGCCAGGATGATCTTCCTTGGTATTTGGAGGAAGGTCCAAGCCAAGAGGAAGGCACGGATCTGGTAACTCTTTCAGATCGTTTCTACCTGTGCTTTCAATCAGAGCATCCTCGTACCGGCGCCTGGCCTCATTCACACCAAAGCCCAGCCACGTTGTGACGAAGACTCGATACTCGGAGTTTTGCCTATTGAGCTTCCTCAACCTGAGGAGCTTGAGATCATTTGCATGAGCTTTAGCTTCCGTGGCATTTGGTGCGAAGGCAATCTGCGCCGATGCTCCGCCCATGTCCAAGAACCCATAAGTGTGGTGCCCCTTTCCATGTGTATGATGCTCGGGAAAGTCGAAAGCTCCAAGTAGATAATTAGCGGCAATCCAACCATAGAGACCCTCCGTCTCTCCAGAGATGACCTGAACATGATGGGCGCAATCTTGGAGGAAGAAAGAAGTTGTCGTGCGGATGTAGGAGCAAATGTTGTCAAGGAGTTTGCGACGTTGGGTATCTGGCAGCAAGCGCATTCCAGCCGTCGCTAAGACGTAAATTGGTGTCGATTCTACGGATTGCTTGGGAATATATTTCAGCGCATGTTTTATGAGCGGTTCTAGATGGTTTGTTCCAATCGAATCTGGAATTGCCGCAAACGATGAAACACCTAGACAGTTCAGATGGCCATTAGTCACCATAAGAGCAAAGCGGCCCATGGATTGGAATGGACACAAACCAGGGCGCAGTTTCTTCGTCCACTTCTTAGAAGTTTCCAAGGCAGGTAACGTATTTACTTCCGCCTCAGGCAGCTTCGTGATTTCCTTTGACCGATCTTTCCATCTATATACGTGGACCCTTGTTCCCTAAATCATGGTGAGATCATTTCGTAAGTCCTGGGAGCAAATGCGATCGCAGATAATGCGGCGGGACTTACGGACGACCCCGCATCCAGAATAACTCCATAGCGCCAGTCTGGTGGAGAACGATCAGCTTGGGCTTTTTTGGTGTAGTTGCTGAATTATGAATTATGGAGTTCACTTACAGGTTGCCATTATAGGGAAGATTTTTAAGATTCTTAACCGCCTCACATAAAATGCGGAAAGAACAAAGAGATTCGTCCAATGCTGTTATCAGTTGCCTGTGTTGCGGTCTTGTTATCAGCGACACAAGGACTGTATAAAATGGCGAATGCAATACAGATGGCGATAATTCCGCAGCACCGCTATTGCTTCAAGTAAGACTCATAAAAGTACTTTCGGTTCCCAGCACCGACTTTTTCGACTGCTCACGGCATTATTGGTGAAACTGAAGAACCGCAACAATGCAAGCACGGAGTACTCACGGGAAGGGCCGAGGCGGGCACAGACCTTTTCTGTTTCTGGCTTGGCTCCTTGCAGATCGTCCGCATTAGATCACTATGCCCCTACTCCGTAGGCAGTCAGCCAATGTTTTCGATGCAGTACATGACTCGATGCACCTAGAGCTACCGACAGTGATAATCTAGGTATAACCTTGTGATGGAATCTATCAGGACTACAAAGGAAACTAGGAAAAGGGCATGGGAAGGGCGGCCTACGTAGTAGCTCTGTACCGACCGTAGCAGTCAATGTTAAAAAATTACTGAGTGCGATTAAATGATGGGATAGCCGACACTGGATTGTTCTTGGCTCTCCCGCACTCCATTTTGAAAGCACAATGGAGTTACGATTGATTATATGGGTCATCGGCTTGAATAAATATGATAACAGTTTCTCGAAGAAATACATGGTTGCTTAAGAATTTTTCCGAAAAGGCATACTTTCACTGTATGGCCACGATTCAGTCATTTAAAGTCATCTAAACTGGTCTAAATGGCCGGTTCAAGAGACGACGATAAGACGGTCATTATTTATAAGCTTCAATGTGGCAATTCCCGAGTGAGAAATGTACGACAATAGTGATTAAGAAAGAGATATAAACATTAGGGGGAAGGGGGGGAAGAGCATCGGAAAGGCCCAATACAAATAACCCCTCAGACAGAGGTACTTTTCAAGGACGATAATCTCAAATTGGATCATCAGAGTACAAAGAATGCTGCAGGTGACTATAGCCGAGGTCTTGTTTGAATGGCTTTTCTTCTTGCCCTCCTCCTTTGATAGTCACCCTCAGGTGGCTGGGACCGTGGGACCGTGGCTGCTACAAATAGCTCTTGGCCGACCTTGTCTGAAAGAGTGAGCACACGTGTAGAGACGGTGGCTCCATCTCGTCTGTTTTTCCCCTCTCTTCGGGATTTGGCTATCATTTCTGTAAAGTCCCACAGCCTGCCTTGCGGGAGAATATGTCCAGTGGCACCATCTCGAGGAGGGCACCATTGAGGTGCAAGCCTCATCGTCTGGGAAGGCCGCGATGACTTTGTTTTGGAGACAATAATAATTCCTTCTTCCTCAAAAAAATTATAGGCATTCTTCAAAGTCTCCCTATTGACTGCTTCGAAGTATGAGAGGTCGCCTTGATGATACAAGGTTTTGCCAAGCTAACAGCATAGTTTAATAATGAACCTTTTTCATCAGGAAGGAGACACAACGTACAAGCTGCGCATGCTCTTGCACGCGTTTGAGATCAAGCCAAACCTCGTTATTCTGCCCAATCGGGGGACTGAGACCCATCAATGAAACTGCGCCAAGCCAGCTTGCCTCGATGAACGGCCATATCAGGAAGCAATAGAAGTCAAAATTCTCTCTGCCACACAACCTTTCATGATGACTAATTTCCACAGAAGATATAACATTAGGCCCAACTGGCCCATCTTCGCGGCGATTGATTCTGATTACATGGTCCCTCTCCAGCGCATGCAAAGTCTTGTCTAGGTTGATCATCAATCCTTCGGTTGGAAATATGAATTCGCCACGAAAGAGCTGCGCAAGTCAGCGCGGGTTTTTAGCAGGTGTTGTGGACGTACTTGTGACAGGAAAGATACTTGATCTACAAGCATGGCGTAAGAGATCCTCTGATTGTCGGGCCCACCACCTTGCTTGACTCGAGTATACATTGCTGCAGAAACCAAAGCTTCAGACACAAACAAATGAATTGTCATGTTGCGATAGAATGACAATTGGAATCTGTATTTTACCCTTAGCAACCAGTCTTCCAATTGACAGTATTGAAACGTACCTATCAACAGCGTAATATGTATCTTCAGCGAGCCCTTCGATTTTTCCCACCAAACTGGGTCCTAGAACCTCCAGCCCACGATCTACAATAGTGCTTGTTGGGGCTCCGGAAAAATGGGCAACTCTACCACCACGTGCCCTAACACGCTCGGTAAGCCAATTGACTCTTCGGTCCAACTCTGCTTTTCCGACTCCACGCCCTCTGAGTGTCAAAAGTACGGTGCCGATAAGCGCTGTGGGCATAATTACCGATACGGAATTGATATCGCTCAATATCTTATAACCAAGTGTCCTAAGTAGCCTCGTTCGTTCCGTGACAGATTTGTCAGTGACAGGAGGCTGAACTTTGCTGAAGCGGGCTCGCTGCTGTATAATGAAATCCCGGAGGCTCCACGGCTCGTGAAACCGAACATCGACTCTTCCAAGCTGAAGGGAAAGCACAGATGAAGCAGAAAGAAAATCCTGGAGGTTTTCCTTTGGTTTGGGCTGTCCCAATAGCTCACTGATGTAGGATCTAAAAGGCAATTAACAACGGTTCATATCCATAATATCTCAAAGGCTTACTCAGTTTCAATTACTTTGTCATATTGTGTACTGACTGGGCACATTATTGCGTCCTCCGTTCTGCCTGAGAGTACGCTATCAAGGATGAAGCTAAGAATGCCGAATTTTGGGCCCAAGAGCTTTCCAATCCTAGAACGACCACCCTCTGCTTGCTGTGAGAGAAATGAAAAAAGCATTGATGTTCAAGGAAGAACAAACCTATAAAGCACTCAAAATTATAACCATTTCGCAATATGGTGTCAATGTAAGACTGTACGAGCGTCGAGTATAACACATCTTCGCCAAAGCTTCTTCGAATCCACATCGCACCTAACAAGTGAGCAAAGCAATAACTTAAAAAGCTAGTAATTAGGAAATACATACCAGCATGCTGCAGAAACTGACCCACGAAAGGGAAGTTAAGATTATCCCCAGCAACCACAACAGGTAATGCGAGACCGAGACGGTAACATATCAACTGAAGGGAAACGTAATCCACGTGAGACTTATGACAAGGAAGAAAGATAATTGATTGTTTCTTTTCTGCCGCTCGCTCTGCCACAGAGCGAAGGCGAAGAACTTCCTCACTTGATACATGAATGCCTTAAAATAAAAGGTTAGCCAACTGGCGATAGACGGCCAATCCAGCATGTCAGCACCTTGATGATAGGCTTTTGTGAGCAGTTGAGTACACACGTAAAAAGCCGTTCGAATAAATGCTTTGCTCTCGAACCTGCAGATCATATCATCTGCCATCTTTTCGGTTACTTCCTGCAGACTGGTCTCCAGTATAGCTCTTCGTCGTGCTCGTCTCTCGCTATATCCGGTATCTGTTGGGGCGAGAAGACCAGCTCTCTCCTCCGCCTTAAGCCTTGCCTCCGCCAATTCCTGAGTTTTCTTCTGGAGTATGGCATTGGATAACACCATTCCCTTCATATTATCGGTAAATCCGGGATAAAATATGGGTTGGCCAACCACGTCATCGTAAGCCCGCCAGCCGATTCCAGACACATGCAAACTGACTTCCCTAAGGAAATCGAAAGGTGATTCCCTGAAGCGAGCCATGTTGCCCACGAGGTTTCGCTCAGAGGACTCATTAGATGAGGCTGGAGGTTGAACACCGGGATGGATGGTGACATGGCTTCCCAAGATGTCTAGATCCGGGGGTACAGAAGTCGGGGCAGACGGATCACGGGGTGACATGCTTGCGAACCAGATTGTAATCGTACAGATTTTGTATTTCAATTCATTATATAGCCCATATCATCTCAGCAAGTTGCTGAACACAAATGCGTGGAGTCGAGGGCAGCGGGGCACTGGCGGAAGCACCAGTCGCACTAAATACTCCGGTATGCAAGTAACTAGAGAATAGCCGAGGCTGGGATTTGAAAATATGGGGCCGCGCCGCCCCGCCGTTTCTAAGCCCTTTGACGCTACAATGACACTCTGGGCAACTGGCGACGTGCCCGGCAAATCTTCAAAAGGTGGACTTAGGTAGCTAGAGAATTCCTCAGTAGGCAACGCGAGCAAACTTCAAGTTGATGAACGAGATATTCAGACAGAAATCTCCGCTAATTTTTGCGACTCACACTTTCGTCTCGTTCGACAGGAGAATTGATTTTTTGAGGTGGAAAATTTATGGCTTTGGGCAACCAGCCCGAGTAAGAGATCGTTGAGGCATCATTAACTCTATCACGCAGTTTGAAGGTGCTATTCACCCCTTAATATAGCAGACGGCGACACCCTTCCGATTTGATGAGTTGGAGGAATTGACGCCTGTAAGTCGTAACATCTGTTCAAATGCCAAAATTCTATGGTATCACGCCAAATTCCAACAAGAAAAAAACGAAAAAGAAAAGTTTTCCAACAAACAGTAATACAATTCACGACTCTTGCGCCGGGTCCTGCGTAAAATATCCAGAGTTCGGGCCTTGCAAATATGCGCTAGGAACTCTTGGTACCTCTGGCGAAGCTGCAAACTGAGATTTACGCTCACTCCGAAGTGCATCCCTCTGCTTCTCCTTGTCCTTTCCACTTCCGGATGTAAATCTTCGCATCCGGGATCGAGTCCCTTGAGCCAGAGGACGAATCATACCATCTAGAAAAGAAGAGGCTTCTTGTTGATGCGCGCTAATCACAGACAGATCGTCATCAGAAAAAACTTCGTCGGTATCTCCCCCGGAATGGTATTCTGACACGCCGCCTGATGCTTGAAAACCATTAGCGGCTGGAGAAGTTACCGACCGCGAATGCATTGGTGGACGCGTGTTGCCAATATGCGACTTGGGATTGAAAGCGGCAGGTGTCATAACTCCTGGATCCCTTCCTAGTGGTATCCTTGCGTCGGCAAAGCCAGTTTGAAATGATGTGACACTAGCGGTTCGTGCAAGTGATTTATGAAGGATCGGAAGTGTTTGCTGATCGTAAATGTTGGCCCTGAAATCACCAAGGTCTGGAGAAAACCCAGGAATACCCTGATCTAAATCTCCACTAGCAGCATCACCGCCTGCAAGGTTGTTCTCAAAGAAGTCATCAAGACTGTCGAGTTTCATGACTAGCTCGCCCATATTGCCCTCGCCACGACCATCCTCAGACGCCATAGTTGCGGTGCGCTCAGGATAGTACAGGCCATACTGAAAGTCATCCGTATGAAACTCCACGTCTGGAGTGACTGGAATATCAGTCTCCATGGACTCGGCATTACCGCACGTATAGAATACTGCATGTACGTTTCTCCTTGTCGTGAGGGAATGAATTGCAGGCATTGGGATTGACCAGCCACTTTCCTCAGGAATGCCAAATAGGCTTTGTGTTCGCTCGTATTCCTTTTTTATTGCTCTTGAATGGGATCCTGCCATGCTCATCCGCAAATGATGCCTGTCCATAGGTGTACCAGACATTGTCATTATATGGTCCAAGACTTCCAAGGCTTGTTGGCAGAAGTCTGTCTGTAGGAGCCTTAGTAATGGTGATATTAAGTCAGGACCATGGCTTGCAATTTCTGATTTTCGCATGTCAATATCAGGTATAATGACACACAGTAACTGCATGGTCCTAATCTTAAACCATGGAAGGTCATTTGTGAGGAGGCCCATTAGGAAAACGAGAATCTTGAAATCGTACGTTGGAAAATAAATGGACCTAATAGCTGATACAGCCTGTGAAAGAAAATCTTTGCTTGAACGATACCGTGAGTTGGCAAAACCAGACAACGTTCTCGCGAGGTGGCCGCAGCCCTGGCCGATTGCAACCATGGCCAAGGTTTCAGCACAAGCTGTGCATGGTGAGTCTTGAGAAGGGTTCTCAAAGGACTCCAGAAAGCGAGGCAGGTTGGCTAAGACAGTGAAGAGCAGACGGCTCTCATCTCCCAACAACCTACTGTTCGGAACTGGGGCAAGCTTTTGCAAGACGAGAAGAGTGCGCTCCAAGGTAAGGGAAGATTTAAGACCTTTATAGATGAGTGGCTGTATACCGTCGAAGCCGCCTTCCCAGGTTTGGGGATAAGCGTCAACAAGTAGCTGTTCGTCTTTTGCATTGCTCAAGTCGACTTTTTCCAAAAGCTGTTCTAACATTGAAAGACTCTCCATGAATTCGCACTCATGTATGGTGTTGAGGCAAGCACAGGTAGTCCAAAATAATTGAGAATATTGCAAGAATTCTGCGGGTGTTAACGAGCCGATAATTATTTTGAGAGTTGTCAAAATCTCCATAGAGAAGGTTTGTATGTCTGTCTCGTCATCAGATATGGTGTTGGACAAACGTGCCAGCATATCAGCGAGCATGGTTTGATCCGCCCGGGTGAGTATGCATCTGAAGATTTGGAACGACCGACAAGCAAGGTGTCGGACAGGGCATGAAGTGGCCCAACCTAGACTGGTTTTGGCCCAATGTTCTCGAAATCCGGGGTAGGCAATACTGAATATTTCGACCAGTGTATTCGTGACGTAATTCATTGCTTTTGGAACTCGGAGACTCTCATCCCGGCCGTCGCCCTTGCTGTTGCTATCTTCATAATGCCAATCAACCTTCTCTTCATGGCGCCGCACAGATTCGACAAACTCTTCAATATAGACTTTATCTGGATTGGTGCTGCCGCTTTCAATCTTCGAAATTACAAGTTCGTGGATGAGATGGATCATCATTTCCCGGGCTTGCTCCTCCACTAGTGGAGTATAATGATCCCAAAGGACCAAAACAACCTGGATAAGCAAAGGAACATCGTCTGGGGCTAATTGTACCGGAGACACCATCAAATCCACCAAAAGAATCAGCGCCAATTGCCCTAGAGAGAATCCAGACTGAACATTGTTAGCAATCGCATTAGCATCGGTGCCAAGCCTACCTACCTGTTTGTTTCCAATTGGCAATGCGAGAGACAGATCAGCCAGATAGGGCAGACTTTGTGCCTCGGGAGGAGGAGGAGGTTCACGCTTTTCTATAACCATGGCTTTCGGTGTAATCTGCATCAAGAGAAACTCCACTACCTTTAGTCCAGCTGGGGTACTAGAGAGGAAAACCACGATTTGCTTCGCATAGTCGACGAAGCTTTGCTCTCTTCGATCCAAGCAGAGAGATATGATGAAATCTAGAGCAACTTGTACATTCCCCGCGTAAGGCCCCGTAGCCAGGGCTTGCCAAAGCGCCTGAACTTCATTGTGTAAGGCGCTGCCGGATCGTATAGTTATTTCAAAAAGATTAGCCAGGAACATGTAAGAGTTGGCGGTTGGACCACCATTCGGATCTAGCTGCAGTTCGATTGTCTGGATCCAAGGTAATATAGCCGCAACCATGTTCCTCTGGTGGTCGGGGTGGAGGCTCTTAAAGTGGAGGGTGAACTCAGAAAATACGAGAAAAGCAAGCTCAAAGTGTTGTTTTGAGAGCCTTTTAGAGATTTCGAATTGAGCCAACTTGTAGACCGCAGTAGTCTTGTCAGATATGCTGATATCCAGATCCTGTATTTTCGAACTTTTTTCTTCGCGTTCCTCCAACACTCGAAGAAGTCGCGCAGATTTCATTCGGATTTCGGATCTCTCGTTCCCTAGAGTGTAGAGACAAGCACCTAATATCTTCCAAAATGGGATTGGATAGTCGCCATGTTCAGTCAGAACCTGAGCCACCACTTCAAAGTAGCTTGCTAGAGCCTTTGGAGTCTCTGCTAGATAGCACATCCTTATGGAGCGTTCGAGGAGATACGGGTGCTCTTTATTGTACACAATCGAATTTGTGAGAGCGCGGCGGCCAATTTTATGCATGTTATCGCTCACGGTGCTGAATATGGCATCGATCCACATGAGCATGCGACGGACATCGAACTGCAGATTAGCACCACTCTCGGTGGTTATACTTAGTGGCCCACCCTGTCCGATATAAGTTAAAAAGTTTTCGTAATGAGGAGAAACGAACGTACACAAAGAGAAGCCATGGCACTCAGAGCCGCTATTTTGAGATTTTTTTTCTCAATCTCCATCGCGGCTGTCCCGGGGCCCTTTTCTCCGACGTCTTTCTGGTGAGTGAAGACCGGCTGTCTTATGCTAGTTTCCCGTTGTCGGATTTGATGAACGTTCGGCGAATAGCCACACCACTCCTCCATGAGCGCAAATGCGGATTTCCTTGATTCGAAAGGCATCCATCTAGACGGATCTTGCAGTCGATTAATCCCCTCAAAAAGCTCCTCCATTAGGCCGCAGTAATGCCTTCTCAATGTCTGAAACTCCCAGTCATTCTGCACTTCCGAATCACTTAAAAATATCCTAAGATCCTTTGTGTAGGTCACAAGGTTGTTAAGAATCCAGTCGTCTTTCCAAATTTCCTCGTGACGCAGAAAGTGCGATGTAAGCTTATAAACATGGGTTACCTCAGTGCGAAGTAGGTCGGTTGTTCGATTCCGCCTGGAAAAGCTTCCGGTACGCTGATGAGTCCCGATACGGAGCTTTGCCTCCTCATTACATCGTGAGACTGCAGATCGTAGGGACTCCAAGAGTGTTTTATAAAGATTAATGTTAATTGAGCCAAGAGCCGCGACAACAGCTTCTCGTATTGAGCCTGAATTGACGCCCAGCAATGGGGTCACATATCGGAATAGGGACCTCGCAGAGGTAATCTTCTCCACGCTTTGCTGAATGCTTTTTGATGATTTGCGAGCATGCTGCAGAGGAGTCTGCACGGAAACTTGTTCTTGGCCCTCAGCCTTTGTTAGAGTTGTGCAAGCCATTATGAGATACAACTTCCACTGTTCGATTATTACTTCAGGCGGGGTTGCAGTGAGACGACTCGACTTGTTGGGCGGGCCAAACTCGATTCCGCCCGCTTGCGGACCTCGTGAAGGGAGTTCTGCAATCGTCATGATGTGTTTCTGCATTTGAAGTAGCCTTGCGCATATAATCTCCCGACTGAGTGTAACAGCAAAAGGACAAGTTTCAAAGCAGGCGCGGATCAGGCTCGGAAACATTTTGAACCACAAGGTCGTATCATATGAAATCTCACTACTGCAAAAAGCGACAGGAGTGTCCGGCGGACCACCTTTTTGCCGTGTCCGTTGAAGTCTGCTTCTTTCGGCAATTGAGAGGCGCTCGTCGTTGCAATCCAGTACTCCCTGCACATCGCCCTCCATGACGCTAATAATCCTTTGATTATTTGGCTTTCCGAGGGCGAGATCAAATTCCGTTACCAAACGCAAGACCGTAACCGCAAAAGACCGAACTCTGCGAGACTGGGAACATAGAAAAAAGAGACCATGCGATTCAACTTCATCAACATGAGCCCACACGCCGGAGAGGTCAAGTTGAACCCCCCGGCTACCGGCAGATGCATCTTCGCCGGAGTCAAGTGAAACCACAATAGACTTCTGTTTGACTTCTTCGATCCATACCTGAAGCAGCTCGACGTACAATCTAAGTGTGTTTTCAATATGCCCAGGGCCTAGCATACCTCCATCCGACATAGTCGAGTAGCGATCATCAAAGTTGAAAATGAACCGTGCAAACCCAATAGTCACCTGCTGCGCATGCGATTGACGAGCGATTGATTTCAGTGACTGGGTAGAAGAAACGGCAATGTTACTTTGCACATGAGCCGTTCCTGTGCACAGAAGATTGATCAGTGAATTAAATGGGATATGAGCTGAAAGACAACGTGGCAGAGCTTGCACGGCAACGTGCAAAAGATCGTAGAAACCCTGCTTTTGCTCCGCAGCAGTGGTGTGTTCATCTCTACGCCCAAAGCCAAAAGTCTCTGCAATGGGAGTTTTCGGAGGTTGAGCGCTAAACTTTTCATCAAGCACAGCTTGACCGCCGAATGCATTGTCACATATCAGTGTGATCTTTCCAAGTATCTCGCAGAATCTAGAGTAATACTCCTTCGACACGTCATCAAAACCCAAAGTGATGACAGGTCGCGAAAGACGGTCCTCTTTAATCGATGAGACCGACGGCGCCGATCCGAGAACGCGAGTCGAAGCAGCTCGAGACGAAGAGGGCCCCGTGACTTCAATATTTGAAAACTCAACGAATTGAGGGAAAGGCGGTCTTCCTTGTTGGCCCTTTTCGAGGTCCGACATAATAGCCAGGAAAGATTTTATGCCGATGACCATCTTTTCCGGCTCAAGCTGGTCTACTCGCAATTCTTTCCCAGACGAGAAATGCTCCGAATTTATAAGAGGAAAGATGATGGTCCGGAAGCACAGGTCCTGGTGTTTGAATCCGATGAAACGAATCAGTTGAATGAGGGGCTCAGCAATGATGGGTTCGGTGGACAAGTAGGACTTTTTGCCAGCCGGAAACACCACTCGAAGAACTTCGTCCAATTTTCGCATGGTGACATTTGAAGTATCCGAGCAGCGGTAGAGGTAGGTCCACGTAAGCCGGCAAATGGCTTGAAGAGCCAACCCCCTAGTGCCTCTATCCTTCAGCTTTGGCTGCAGTGGACTGATAAGCTGCAGCCAATGGCCAGCAAATACTTCAACGGGGGAGACACAAAGCAGGATGGTCTGTAGCGGAAATACATCCGCCCAATGTCTTGGCTTTGTAGCCATTTGCGATACCCGCGGGGTAATCATTTCCACGAATTCTCGCCATTTTGGGACACTGAGTTCAGCACTGGCTTTAGCTGCAACAGGTAACAATATCGCCTCAAAGACCTGGCAGTAAGCATGCTTTATCCGTTGTCCGTGGGAGCCTATAAAAAGTCGACCAAGGCTTTGCATAAAGTCACAGGACCGATCCCAGGCTTCTTCAGGATAGGTGTTGACATGAAGGTGCTTCATTCCCATGATGACCAACTCCATTCGCGCTTCGACATCCTTATTAGCAAATCCCTTGCTTCCACATTCTCTCTGGGATTTTTCGAGATCGGAAAAGAATCGATCCGAGACACTTTCGAAATTGATACTGCTCATCACGCCAAGAAGCTGAGCAAAAATCGACCAATTCGCAAGCTTCAGCGGGGAAGCAATCAACTGGTCAGGGTCTGCAGCCTTGAGCTGACTGAATATAATGTCTTCCAGCCTGTCCGCCATTTCAGGGGTCACACTGGCTAGACTACTTTGACCAATGATCTCTATTAAGACGCGGCACAGCAGATAGATAGATATTGTTGAGCGACGCTCAGCTTGAATAACTGCCTCATGACGGGAGGCGGACGCCACCTGGGATTCTGTTAGAACGCACGGGGACCGCGTTTGATTGGCAAGTACAGGGACTGTTATATTCCGCCCTCCGATGATATTGGTTGAACAATGGAGGCTCCTTCTACGGTGACGAAATCAGGCTTACATGATATTAAGCAAAATGGGAAACTTACTTGACTAAACTCAATTCTCGCAGCATTTGCAGCTTCGCTTTTCGCTTTCCTCCAGAACATCAAAGTGTCAATGAGAGGCTTTGGCTTTTGGCGAGCAATGTGGCCCAATGCGGCAATTAGTTGATCGAAACCAGTGTCAATTCCAGGGCCGCATATTTGCTCCACATGTGGTTCATAGGTAGACGAATGGCCGATACACATATTGATCTTTTGGTCTGCTTGCCCAACAAACTAACCAGATTTGTCAGCTCGTATTCTTTAGCTTCGTACTGAAAATTTGCACGAACAGAGTTGAAAAGATGATGCAAAGCGTATTCCCCAACAGTTTTGAGCTCCTGAGGGTGATGATGCCGTGAATGAGACTGATTGCGACCATCCTCGCGCCTTGACCTCCCACTCTGCATCCGTTCAAGTCTCTTCTGGCCTGGTTCAGCCACAACAATGTCGGCAATATTGGAAGCAGTAATCGCATTACTGCGGCTGGAGGAGCCCACGTTCGCACTGGGAGGGACTCGGCCGAAGGAATAATCATCACTCTGAAGTATATTGGAGGAGAGATCCTGGAGAGCGGCAGATGAGACGCTTCCATTGCCCATTGGAGTAGCCAAAGTTGATAGGCCTGAAGAGCCGGCCGACGAAGCCTTGGCATGGCTTGGATTCCGAGAATGATGGACGCCATGAACTATCGAAGCTTGGCGATGGTGACTGTACGGTTGCGAAGGGCGTCGTTCAATTGCATCTTCAAGTATTCCGCCAGACTGAGAGGTGGGCGAAGTAGCAGAGATCCCGCGAGAAGGAGACGCATGATGAGACTGTACACTTGAAATGCCCGAATTCGCTACGCCGGGCAGTCGACCTCTGGTTTGCGACGGCTCTCGGGAGTGTGTGGGGGTTGCATAAACTGAAGGCGAGCACTGGTCATGAGCAAGCCCTTCAAGCCTCTGCAACGTTGGCTCGGTAGCATTTGTCTGAAAAACATTGTTGACAAGAACATGAGGGTGCGTCGGAGATGGATCTGGCCCGGCTGCGAATGTCAGCGCAGCTCAGTGTCGACACCAGGCACTTTCCGGTCCTGCTAAAGGCATAAAGCTTAAGAAACGTAAGGAAGAGAAACTACATACCCATTGCGTTGTCAACATTTGAAATTCATCCAATTTCACAGCATAAACATATGCATCCAAACATCCTTGGTACTTTAGTTATTGATCCCACAGTCATCGATAATGAACCAACAGTTAAAGCATAAGCACATGAACGAGAGGTTGTAAAGTTGCGAGCCTACGGCTTATTCCGCGAGTGTCCCATTAATCATGGCGGAGAGCCCCTGATCTTCGCCGGTGGTGGGTCAGCCAAGGTACCCTGAAAGTAGGCCGAGCTGGTGGGTTAGCCAGGTACTGTTCCTGATACGGTTCACGCAGGATGTACTGCCTGACTGAACTGCACGACTAACACATATTCCAAGAGGAGCTGTGATGCCGAGCACAACACCAGAATATCCTGATGGCGGTCCATATTCCGTCGAGGTATGACTTTGGAGTGAAATTTTTTTTTGTAGATTTGTGGCATATATTTGCTTATTAAGTACTCCTCAATTAAGGAATTGAAACAAAAGATTTATCAAATTTAACTCTTATAGGTCAGCAAATTGTGATCATTTAAATTGTCCCGAGAAGCGTTTCAATTGAACCCGGGCTAATAGAATTATTTTCCTTGGTTCGCATACATCCAAGATTTACACCACACCGGGCGTACCTAGGTTTCTACGGGAAATTTGTCTTTGCCGAGCCCAAAGGCTGCAAGTTTGACAAGACGACCAGTCCGAAGATGATAAATAGTTACACGATGTTAAGAGATGACGGACCATTATTATGTACAAATTCAGTCAACCGATCCAGAGCCCGGTAACCCAACGAAGCGGACCCGATTCTCCGATTCCGCATCAGCTGGTGCTCCCGCCTTCAGCCTCAGACCACTGCTCTGGTGGAGTAGTATATATAATTTTTGTCGCATATCATCACAACCTCGTCCTTTTTCATTCCAATATTTGAAATGACTACCTAAGGTACCTACCTAACCTGTTACAAGTGAATTCACAAGCATTCAATTTTTGTGTACTGAGGTACTCCGTTCACTCCGGTCATCGTTCGCTAGATAACTAGAGATTGAGCTCGCTCCTTTTATCGGAGTCAAATTAAGCTCTCGGAGGCTTTCTCGCTCACCTCGCGGGTAGTTAAACGCTTTTCGGAGTTTATAATATCCGGAGCCCGCCGACTCTCCCGTTGTCTTCGCGTAACGTGGAATCTTCGTCTTGAAATCCCCCTCGCGTTGAAATCAGAAAGCGATCGATAAGGCGTCATTTATTGGCCTTTACTCACACTGCAGCCATCAAGTGGGGTGAATTGTCTCCAATACGCAAGTCCAACCCTCTGCCGAACATGCTTTTCTCCCGCTAACAAAATCCTCTGCCGCAGGCGATCATGGCTCAACTGGACGTCCTCGATCTTGCAGTGCTGGCTGTGCTCTTGGCCGGCACTGTCGCCTATTTTACCAAAGGGACTTACTGGGGTATTTCCAAGGCGTCGCAAGTGAGCCCAAGTTCATCTGCAACTGGCCCGATAAAAGGGGCAACTAGGGATGTCATAGAGAAAATGCAGGAGACAGGAAAGGACTGCGTGATCTTTTACGCATCGCAGACTGGAACTGCCGAAGATTATGCGTCAAGGCTGGCAAAGGAGGGTCATTCAAGATTTGGTTTGAATACCATGGTCGCGGATTTGGAAGATTATGATTACGACACACTTGATACTTTCCCCAGCAATAAGATTGCCATGTTTGTACTTGCAACCTACGGCGAAGGCGAGCCGACCGACAACGCCGTTGAATTCTACGAATTTATCACGGGTGAGGATGTCACTTTCAGTGACCCTGACGATTCTGAAGCCCCGCTTCATAACATGAAGTATGTCACATTCGGGCTGGGAAACAACACTTACGAACACTACAATGCTATGGTCCGTCGCGTTGATCTCGCCTTGCAGAAACTCGGTGCCAATAGAATTGGCACGGCCGGTGAAGGAGACGATGGTGCTGGAACAATGGAAGAAGACTTCTTGGCGTGGAAGGAGCCTATGTGGCTGGCCTTGGCCGAAGCAATGGGTCTTGAAGAGCGTGAGGCTGTCTATGAGCCCGTTTTCAAAGTCACGGAGAGAGAAGACTTAACTGCCGAGGCTGATAATGTGTATTTGGGCGAACCAAACAAAAATCATCTGGAAGGCTTGTCTAAAGGCCCGTACAACGCGCATAATCCTTTCATTGCTCCCATTGCAGAATCCCGGGAACTGTTTACTGCAAAGGATAGAAATTGCTTGCACATGGACATTGAAATCAGCGGTTCGAATCTCTCTTATCAGACTGGCGATCATCTAGCAGTCTGGCCAACCAACTCTGGCAAGGAAGTGAACCGTTTTCTGGAAGTCTTGGGTTTAACTTCGCGAAGCCATACCGTTATTGCTGTCAAAAGCCTTGATGCGACCGCGAAGGTCCCGTTTCCTACGCCCACGACTTACGACGCGGCTGCTTCCTATTACCTCGAAATTTGTGGCACGGTCTCGCGTCAATTTGTGGCGTCAATCGCTCCTTTCGCTCCTACGGACACAGCCAAGGCCGAAATGACAAAGTTGGGGAATGACAAAGATTATTTTCATGAACGGGTCGCCGAGAAATACCTGAATATTGCACAGGTTTTGGAAAAGGTGGAGAAGTCGCAAAAATGGACTGGCATCCCGTTTTCGATTTTTATCGAAGGTCTTCACAGAATACAGCCTCGCTATTATTCTATCTCGTCATCCTCGTTGGTTCAAAAGAACAAAGTATCAATTACCGCTGTCGTCGAATCATCTCAGATTTCGGGCTCACCTGAGATGCTCAAGGGGGTTACGACGAACTATTTGCTCGCGCTGAAGCAGAAGCAGCATGGCGATCCAAATCCGGACCCGCATGGTTTGAGCTATGCTATCACTGGACCTCGCAACAAATACGATGGCATCCATGTGCCGGTCCATATTCGCCACTCGAATTTTAAGCTACCTTCAGACCCTTCCAAACCTATTGTTATGATTGGGCCAGGGACAGGAGTTGCTCCATTTAGAGCATTTGTTCAAGAGCGCGCCGAACAAGCAAAGGCAGGTGAGAATGTTGGTAAATGTGTCTTATTCTTTGGCTGCCGGAGAAAGACAGAAGATTTTCTGTATCAAAACGAATGGGAGGTGAGCAACTCGTATGATTTATCTTTCTACTTGAACTTGTGCGTTAACGAATTTTATGATCCGCAGGAGTACAAGAAGGCGCTTGGCGATAATTTTATTTTTGTCACTGCATTCTCCAGGGATGGACCGGAAAAAGTCTATGTCCAGCACCGGCTGCGTGAACATGCACAGCTCATCGACGCATTACTTCAAGACAGAGGTTATTTCTACGTGTGCGGAGATGCCGCTCACATGGCGCGAGAGGTCAATTCTACTCTCGCCGAGATCATCGCTAAGCAGCGAAACATCAATGAGGCGCAAGCAGAAGACATAGTAAAGACCATGCGAGCTCGAAACCGATACCAGGAGGACGTATGGTCTTGATCGTCCGCTGGCACAGGAGAACGTACCGGCAGCGGATCTTCGATGGAGTATGTACTGCTGTTTCCCTTGAATGATTTTTTTTTCTTTTGTAAATATGGCTTCAGCTCTGCACCAGGATTGTAGTCTGACGGCTCACCACCGGCGCTTGCCATCTGCTTGATCACCTGACAAGGGGAAGATGATAGGATTTTCAGATTCTTCTTGCATTTCTCCGATTTGTTTGGCTGCAAATAGATTTTTACCCATTAATCTTCGCTCTGTGAAGTGTTGCATTCGACATGCATTCACTGCGACTAATTTAGGGGGGCAATGATAGCGGTTTTCCCCCTTTGCTCATAGAAATTATCACTTTTTTTCTCGTGTAAATAGAAACTAATCCATATTTCCCGTTCAACCATCGAAAATGGCAAATGGCACGAGATGCAGCGGGCGGTTGAGAAAGTGACGGCAGTATCGGTTGATGGGTAAAAGTTTTATAGTGCCAGGAATACAATACGTAACATATCAAATAGCTTAAGCTCATTTCTCTCCACGAGAAGACCTTCCACAATTGAATTATTTCGATGATGCCCCGAGTTTACAGGTTCCGAACAAAAATATACAAAGTATATGAAAGTAAAGAAATGTCACAGACTTGCATAGTAAACGGTCTCGAAAGTAACACCATCTGCTGTTGAAGGGCAAGTACCATTTGGCAGCCTCTTTGTCGCAATGACACTTTTGACGTGATGAAAAAGGAAATGAGCGAACAGCGGAGCATCCATTCCTTCATGTGTAGACAGTTATCTGCCTTGCTCAGCACCGAATCACTAATTGGGCTTTGTACGTACCAGCATTTTTCGGGACTCGCAGTGGCTTAAAATTTCCTTTCTACCTCTTCTGAATGGATCTTGCAGCCTGGGGCGGAAAAAGTGTGAGCAGCACATACTTTGTGGGGACGTGTGATAGTGTAGTAACTTACTGTATAGGTAAGGTAGGTAGAAGGGAAAAACCCTTGAACGGATGCGCTTGGTTACTTCCCCGCGAGTTTAGCTCACGGCCCGAGGGCCGAATTTTCGGGCGAGAGAATGGCGTCCGACTTATAAAGTAGATAGAGAGATACAAGCACGGTGACTAACTACCGTGGAAAGTACCTAATCTGCCTCTACTCAAAACACTACAGCACTTGACAGAATACCTAACGTACAAGTAACTACCTTTTGTCTACATGCCGAACAATAGAGGTCAGGTCCCAAATCATATGTTCTGCGCGGCACTGTTACCAGCAGACCGCCCCCTCCTAATAGCGCGCTGTGGTTCCCGGCGTCTTTGACGGGCGCCAGGGTCCTAGAACCAAATTATTGGCGGATCTAATCTGTATGTCTGGCTCTTTCGGGCCGTAGACATCAGAGAGACGGTAGATGTGAAATCATATTACGCTTCCTCAACACCAAAATAACTCAAGATTGATCGGCTACTTGAACATTATCTGCGGGCCTTAGTGGCAGGGCGCCTCCAAGAACGCTCCTGCAAACAATCCTTGTACCAAGCAAATCTTTCACTTCCAATGACTTGGAAGAAGCTGGGCTATGCCGATTGTGGTTGCGTCACAACTGATGCCTTCATCAATATGAGGGTCTTCTTCGCTGAGCCCCCGCAATAGAAAGCCCTGTTCTAGAGAAAAATTCCCCTATTTCTGCCCAGATGCAAAAGACTATACTATATTCATTGGCTTTATCGTACTCCCGTTGATGGTGCCCGCGCAATTGACTATAGGATACTGGAAGAGTAGATTCGATCAGTAAGGAGAATAAACAGGGGTCGACCCCTGTTGTAGAAACTCGTCTGGCACTTCGTAGGGAAGTTTTCATGTCCAGATTAATTCCTTTTGTGCGCATCCCGACGAAGATCTTCCACAGGTGAAAAAGAAAAAGAACCTTTTAGTCTGGCAATTTGAGGAATTGGAACGACTCTCCACGCTATGAGGTCAACGAGCGGTCTGAGATTTCAGAATTAGCGGTCTCGTTTCCCGCCATTGTGGAACGCCGCCCCATTCCCCGATTTTCCTTTTGGCTTTGCGCCGTGGCGCAGAATCCTGGTGACACCTCACACCCGCCTGGCAACAAGAAACTTACTGTTCCATTGTTGGCGGCCATTTGCGGCCAGACGATACCTTCACTACTTTGATTTATCAGGCTTGTCATACTAACGCTCGGTCCAGGATGTGATTACTGGGGATCGTTGTGGCATCGACTAAGATCGATGTGCATCGCTGGGTCCGGTTAAGTGATGGACTGACCACAGGAAGTCGAACCAACTATCCGCATTGGTCCGCAGCCACATTGATGACTCTGCGCGGAGAAAGGCAGGAAGGACAGGCAAGTGTAAGGGGGGATAGCAGATGCGCTCTCGAAACGTGGGCTGGCACCTGGTATTGACGATGGGCAAATTGGCCTGCAGAAAGACTCTCACAATGATCATATTACCGGGATCAGGATTTGTTTAACCTTCTGCCGGTTGCTTTATTCGTTTCTTCCAAGCAATAATGACGGGAATATGATGGAGAAACCCTAGCGCCTGCCCCACAGCGGTTGCGGTTGGATAGTTCCTGCTAGGGACGAATATCTTGGAGAATTGGATTGGCACTTTGAGCATGCTATCATTCTCGTAAAGCTCTTTCGGCGCCATGGCCGATTTTGCAAGAGATATGACACCAATGGTCGAGCTAGCTCCTATTTCTGTTCGATCTGACATGGGCTATCAAGGGACATGCTCTCCTTCCGTGTTCCCCGGCATCCTTATTACAGGTCAAGCAAGACCGCAAGAAAAATAATCCCATAAAGCTTGCTGTTCTCTTATGGAATAGCTGGTTCCGCTCCTGAGCTCCACTGCCTGGAAAAGAGGATAGCAATGCGAAAACCGAGAGACGCAGGAGCCGTTTCTATAGGTTGAACATTCGAGCTTTCCCCCTCCATCTTAGAGACGAGAAACGCTTGTTTATCCTCGATCTTGCCGAATTGGCCACCCTCTCGTCTTTGCAATACCCTCTATATATCTTCCGTCTTTCGCCCATACGCAGCCGTTAGCACACATTGCCTCTCCCCGATCTCTCTTTGTATTCTCTCCAAGGGCGTCTTCGCAATCGTGCTCTCCTTTCCTTTCGCCCTCAACTGATTTGCTGAGCGTTGCAACTTATTGCAGACTTTGCTTCTTTACTGTCTCTTGTTCCAACTGAGCTTCGAACCCATTGAGAGCATAATTCGAGTTCTCGTCCAAGTAAATCAAGATTTTAAGGTCCGTTCATCCAAAAGAAAAAACAATACTTCCCTCGTCCATGGAAATTCCTGGCGTTCTGTCATTTCGATTCAACTTCAGCGACTGGAGCAATAATCTAATTGAGAATAGGTAAACAAGCTCGAATTAGCAGTCAAGGGAAAATTCGACAGTGCACGGCTGGGATTTATACACACTTGACGGTCAGTTTTACCTTTTCTCCATCGTACCTCGACAGTTACAGCTCTGTCTCTGAATTCGACCAATCCGACTCATCTCATTGGAAGCTCTATTTCCCGGTCGGCTGATGAGCCAATTCTTTCTTCATAGACACAACGAGTCGCTGCAGGAAAAGACGCGTTTCGCCTCTTCAATCAAGGGATATTTCCAAGATGCAACCATACGAGAGCTCAATGCCCACTAATTACCTTGGTGCTGAACTGAGCAATGGACAACACGGTACAATGTTTGGCCAGCATTATTCCCATGGCCGTTTCTCTAGCAGTTCACCTAATACAGCTGATGGAAACGTGTCAACGCCCAATATTCATGGTCCTCTCGGAGATCACAATTTGAATGCGCTCTCTCAAAACTTTGCTGGCATAAACCTCCGCGGAGTTACAAATGTCGCTCCTACACGGATTGCGGCACCTAGCGTGAACAACACCACTTCCGATCAAGCTGGAGTCGGCGTACCTCAGTCCCTTGGAGCGGCTTGGATCATGCCGGATGGGCGGGTGATGTTCACGGGATATCAAGTGCCTTCGGCGTCATTGGGAACAACCTCGACCGTCTACCATCAGACTTTGCCCCAAGGAGCTTCTTGCTCTCAATATCTTGCCCATCCTAGCTACCAACATTTCTCCAGCCCTCAGACAATTATCTCACCGGCTTCTTTGCCTCATCCATGGGTCTCATCCCAGAGTCTCCCGAATGACCTCCCAGGGCTTCTCCCTCCGCGCCGTGACTCCAGATCGTCCAACGAAAACGACGCACCTCGCACCCCCTTTTTTGAACCCAGCGGCCATGGAGACTACCAGACCATCATCCCCATGGCAGACCGCTATCCGATTAGCAATTACGCGTACAGTACGCCCTCCCCGCCGCAGCTTCCACAGAGTTCATTGAGACCGCTGGCCACCAAGATGCCGAACGGGCCATATACCCTTCTTGATCTGGATGCTTTGACAAGGATGGAACCAGCAATTCCGAGAGCGATTCCAACGCCGCGGACTAGTCCAGGGTCCACAAAGTCGCTGGAGAAGAGCCTGCATAACCCAAATGGTACCACGAACGTTTATATCCGAGGTCTTCTCCCCGACACGTCGGATTCAATGCTCGAAGGATGGGCCTCCAGATTTGGTCGGATCGATAGCGTAAAGGCGATAGTCGACCTTGAGTCAAATCGGTGCAAAGGGTGGAGAAAAGGTCTTTTGTGACAGGCCTGAAAGCTTGAAGGCTAACAGAATTTCAGATTTGGTTTTGTTCGCTATTTCAATTTTTCTGATGCAGAAAACTGCATCCGTGGTTTCTACCACCTCGGTTATGAGGCCAGTTTTGCTCAAGTGAGTCTCTGAAGATTCAGGGTTGAGTACAGATATTCACAATTTTCGCTCGGGAATCAGGAGTCTTTCAACTCACGCCTGAAGACACTCGGCGACCCCGACTCTACAAATCTCTATGTATCGAACCTTCCTCGCCATTACAATGAACCGGTATGCTCATCTCCCCTCTTCCTTGAACCCTGCTTCCTCAGCAGCAACAAGTGTGCACGGCATTTTTCTAAGTTTAGGTCTCTTTCAGGAACTTTGTGCGGTATTTGACGAATACAAGGTGGTATCAAGCCGCGTTCTCCGTGATGGGAATGGGATTAGTCGCGGAGTAGGATTTGCACGGTAGGCGCTCGAAGTGATTCACAATCTTCTTTCTTTGCTGATTGTATCCAGTTTTGAGACACGATTAATTTGCGACGAGGTAATTTCTAGATACAACGGACAATCCATCGGCGATGAGGGAGACCACTTGCAGATCCGTTACGCCGATACTGCTGATCAGAAGCAGCTCAAAGAAAAGACAAGCACCAACCGCCAACTTCGCGCCCACGAATACAATACTGCAGTATATGGTGCGACTAATCCAATCCCCTACACCCCATCCCGAATTTGCAACATGGGACCACCCGTGCGCGGCTCGCAAATGCCATATGTCAACGGTAATTGGACCGTCTATCAGGAAAGCTCTTCGAGGTCCGTCATATCTTGGGATACCCGTAGATACCACGTGTTGAGTTGCTGAACTATTTTCAGGAGTCTAAACGATTCGTCCAATAGCCGTGGTGGTCAGGCGGCTTTTGGTGGAGCAGTACCCAACAAAGCGCAGCAAAAATTGCAAAATTACTCAAAGAATCATTTAAAGGAACTATCTGTCACCAAAGGTCCAGGTGTTGGAACCGAAGCCGCCAAGATTGCTTCCGACGAGCCACCTACCAAATCAACACCATTTCAAGACTCAATGGATGAGGGGACGGGCAATTCAGAGGCTTCTGACTTGCCCAGGGCCCGGTCTTGCTCTTTAAACCCTCCTTCCAGCTCCCGTGATTAGCACCAATGGTAGCTGCTTTCAAAGTGGGTATATCCATTTCTCAGTCGTACAAGTTGATTTAATATGCTTGGGCGGCGTCTAAAACCGCATTAAGATGCAAACCGTGCCAGCCGACTGCAGTATATATATCCTAGAAGAATTGTCCAAAGCTGCAGAATAAAAGGGTACCAAGGGGGGACCTTTGCTTGCATAGCTCTTAGAAGTATTTGCTCATTTATTTGCTGCTTTTTTTCGGCGCGACGCACACATACGCAGAGCGCTGGCTGCATTATTTCGAGTAAAATTCACCTCATTCGCCATTATTTTAGCCGCTTGGCCATTCGTTCTTGAAGGCTTCATATCTCATGTATCGAGATTTTCAGAGTGCATAATGTTAGAAGTACGTTTCTCTATGAGTGAAGTTTATCCGGAAAAACCTCGCCGTAGTCTTCTTTCCATGAACGGCTGGTTGTAAGCTTGGGAACCAGATTTACCGGACCTTCATAATCGAGCGGTCTCGAACCCTCTTGCATTTCGACAGAGATTTCTCTTTTAGCAAAGACGAAGCGTAACGAAGAAATCCATTCATGAGCAGGGCATGCCCGATTGACAGCATATCTATCCAGTATCGGATGATTGTTGGGCCCTGCCATGCTGGTCATTGAGCTGCTTGGAAACGTCTTCGACGCCATCTTTGATTTCTTTATCTGACGGATCTTCTTCCTCTGTGTCCTCGTCCGCCTCCTCGTCGTCTTGCTTCTGGGATTCGTCTGTCTGCCCATCACCCGTTGCACCAACAAAACCCATGTATTTCTCCAGTTCCTTAGCCATCTTTTTGGAAAAGCCGGAGGCTTCCACCTCAACGTCGAGCCGTTTCAAGCCTCCCTTACTGAGCTCTGCCCTTGCATCAGAGAAAGTAGGACCGGATTCATCACTTATAAAATGAAATCGACGTTCGAAAAAGCGCTTTATGCAGTTGACGTCGCGATCAAAATACATTTCAGCGTTAGGATGATCAATTGAGACCATTTGAGGAAAGTCGATAAGGATTGGGTTCACGGTTACAGCGTCGCTACCGTGACCTTTAGTTTCATCAGCATTTTGATCTTTGGGCTTCTCTTCAATTAATATATTGAATTCATTGAAGTCGCCGTGAATCAGACCAAAGCTTGCTAGTCGGAGGATCATGGCCATCAATTGTGCGTATAGAGTGGCTGGGTCGGCAACTGACGAAATTTGCCGCAAGGGAAATGCATCGATCAGGGACATTACAATCGTATGGCGATTTTGCGAAAGGGGTTCAGGAACAGGGAAATCATTATCCCGCAATGCCTGCATAAAGGTAAATTCCTTGACTGCCGCTAGACGGGACATGTACATCCATGAACCCGAAGAACGGTTGCGCAGGTAGTCGCGATTAGCCTTCACCGTGCGAAATGAGATTCGCCCGAGCCTGTGGATCTTCAAGACGCGCTGGACGCCTTTTTCGTCCGATACGACGTAAATGTCCGACTCTTTCCCAACTCCTATCTGGTTGCCCACTGAGTACACAGCTTTTCGCTTGCGGTAGGTATTGAGAGCGAGATAATCCAGCCCACCATATGTGAGACGATATCCATCGTCTGAGAATGACCAAGACAAAGTGTTAGCATCAAGGAAAACAGTATGGTTTTTGCGGGGCAAATTGCAGAGGCGCACATTTCGCATTCTTCACTTTCGCAATCAGGTCCACTTTTGCTAGATTTGAGATGGATCGGTGAACCCCACTTCCGCCTCGTAAGCCAGAAATCTGTGCTATTAGTGAAGTTGGGACGACTTCGTGATTTTTGCTCCCCATTTCCACCTGCGCCACATTCTCAGTTAGTCGTCGAACAGAAGCAGAATTGGGGAAAATGTCTTACCGCTGTGAGAACTCTCCAGTCCTCTGCAGTAAGGTACCGAATAGCCTTAGTATCCAGCTTCATCTTGATTTCAATATTCCGTATAATGAAAGGAATTTGCCAGGGAGGAAGGAGAGGGAAAAAAAGGCATGAATGATATGCACCCTTTTGGATAAGTGAGTTCAGAGAAGTTTTTGCGCAAACTGATTTTTAGCGCACTGTAGCGACTCCCAACCCATTCTAACTATTAACGAGCTCCGAAGGTCAATTAAGTGAGTGGCCCTCCGCCGGACTACGGCGCGCCACAAGCTTACTTTAGTCGAAGAGCCCTTCGTCACGTCAAGGTGTAGGTCAGCAACTGACTGACTTGCGGATAAGCTCAACACGATTTGTTTCAAGCACATCACCAACCACACTTTTTCTTCATCATCACAACTCTATTCTCGCCCAAGGAACTTAGTGCAATCAATATATTATCTCTGCCTCGCGGGTCGTGAACCGCTGCATTATCCTAGCTGTTTCCGCAATGGCGAAAGAGGATCAAAAGCCCACCAGCGCGGACAAGGGCAAAGGAAAGGCCCCAGAGTCCGCACACCCAGAGGGCCCGCGGAAGCCGCAAGATAAACAGAAAGACAAGGATGGGAAGATTACTGATGGCCTGAAAGCTGAGATTCCCCAAGAAGGTACAATTTTTTTTCTCCCGATGGATTGGAGTGCTAGTAATGGCACTTGTTCGGTGGATGGATTTCGATCCCCATGGAATCACAACGTTTTGCGGAAATATATGCTGATAATTTGTGATTAGAGGAGCTGAGCGAGGAAGATCAGCAGCTCAAAGGAGAGCTTGACATGCTCGTTGAGCGGCTACAGGTAGCTACGCTTGTCCTCAGGGCGATGACAAATTCGAACTGATCAAAACGTGTTCAGGAATCCGACACATCATTATATCGTCCTGCATTAGAGGCAATCAAGAACTTTATCAAGACAGCAACTTCCTCAATGACGGCAGTCCCCAAGCCTCTCAAGTTCCTCCGACCGCATTACGAGCTACTGGTGTCGACGTACGATCAATGGCCCGCTGGCGAGGACAAGGTCCGTTTTCTCTTGGCAAAATTTGTAGTTGCTAAAAGGAGTACTAACAATTTACAAGAATTCACTTGCTGATGTTCTCTCTGTGCTGGGAATGACGAACTCCGAGGAAGACCAACTGGACACCCTGAAGTATCGTCTACTGGCGCCCTCTGAAGATCTCGGCTCTTGGGGTCACGAATATGTCCGTCATCTCGCCCTGGAGATAGGACAGGAGTATCAGAGACTCGTGACAGAAGAGAAGCCATATGATCATCTAATCAAGCTTGCGAAGACTCTGGTGCCCTTTTTCTTAAGTCACAACGCCGAGGCGGACGCTGTCGACATTCTCAGCGAGCTTGAAATCATTGAAGAGATCCCTCAGTACCTCGACGAAAATACCTATTCCCGGGTGTGCTTGTATATGGTCAGGTGAGAGGCTCCCTTCGGGCATGGTGTTCTCAGCCCGATATTTTACTAATATGTTTGCATTCAGCATGGTGAACCTTCTTACCTACCCTGAAGATCATCAATTCCTTCGTACCGCCCACGATATCTATAAGCAATACAACAGTCTCTGCCAGGCAATGGTACTTGCCATTAGAATGAATGACGTGGAACTCATCATTGAGGATTTCAATTCCACATCAGACCCGGCTCTAAAGAAGCAGATGGCTTTTCTGATTTCTCGCCAGCGGATATGGCTTGACCTCCCCACTGATACTGAAGAAGAACAGGAGATTGCTGAATGTCTTGACAACACTAAGTTGTCGGATCACTTCAAGGCCTTAGGGAAGGAATTAAATATCCTCGATCCTAAAACCCCAGAGGATATTTATAAGAGTCATCTCGAAAGCAGTCGGGTCGCTGGGCTTACTAATCTTGATTCTGCACGTCATAATCTTGCGAGCGCTTTTGTGAACGCTTTTGTGAACGCAGGTTTCGGAAACGATAAGATGATGCTAGTGGATAGAGTCAAGGATAGTTGGGTCTGGAAGACTAAAGATGAGGGTATGCATAACAACCCATCCCTTCAAATAGACCTTCGAGGAGGCTAATAATTTCCTTTCGCTAGGTATGCTGTCGACCGCAGCGTCTGCTGGCATGCTTTTGCAATGGGACGTTGAAAACGGTCTGGATAAAATGGACAAGTTCACGTATACTGAAGAATCCCATGTGAAGGCAGGCGCTATGCTTGGCATTGGTATGCTCAACTCTGGAGTACGCGCCGATGCAGACCCCGCTATGGCTCTCCTGGCAGACTCCGAGACCCTTAACTCCAAGGACTCTTCTTTGAAGATGTCGTGCATCATGGGCCTTGGCCTGGCTTACGCCGGCTCGAACAAAGAGGAACTGCTTGATCTGCTTTTACCCATTGTTGGAGACGCCTCGGTCGATATGCAGCATTCCGCGATGGCTGCTCTTTCATTGGGGCTCATTTATGTGGGATCTTCTAACCCAGACGTCAGTGGAGCGATCGTGCAGACCTTCTTCGACGAGGACCGGAAACACCAACTCAAGGACAAGTGGACACGCTTCATGGCCTTGGGTCTCGCTCTTCTCTATTTTGGTCGCCAGGAAGAGGTGGAGGTGATATTAGAGACACTGAAGGCTATTGATCATCCTATGTCCAAGGCAACCAGTGTTTTGGCTGAAGTTTGCGCTTGGGCTGGAACAGGAACAGTCCTGAAGCTGCAGGAGCTCCTCCACATCTGCAATGATCACATCGAAGATAGTGAGGACAAGAAGGGCGATGAGCTGCTTCAGTCTTATGCTGTGCTCGGACTGTCGCTTGTCGCAATGGGGGAGGATGTTGGACAGGAAATGGTCCTGCGCCAATTTGGTCACCTAATGCACTATGGAGAGGCGAACATTAGGAGAGCGGTGCCTCTGGCCATGGGACTCATTAGCCCCAGTAACCCTCAAATGAAAGTCTACGATACACTTTCTCGGTACAGCCACGACACCGACAATGATGTAGCCATTAACGCTATCTTTGCCATGGGGCTTCTTGGCGCTGGTACCAATAACGCACGACTTGCCCAGCTTTTGCGACAGTTGGCAAGCTACTACCACAGAGACCAGAACTCGCTTTTCATGGTCCGGATCGCACAAGGTCTGTTGCACATGGGCAAGGGGACATTATCTGTCAATCCTTTCCATACTGACCGGCAAATTCTTTCACGCGTTGCCGCAGCTGGCTTGCTCACCGTTTTGGTGTCCCTCATCGACGCCAAGCAGTTCGTCCTTGCCGAATCGCATTACCTTTTGTATTTTCTCGTTACAGCCATGCACCCGCGGTTTTTGGTAACTCTAGACGAGAACCTCAAGCCTCTTACAGTCAATGTCCGGGTAGGTCAAGCCGTTGATGTTGTTGGCCAAGCAGGAAGGCCTAAAACGATTACCGGCTGGCAAACACAAAGCACCCCAGTGCTTCTCGCCTATGGAGAGAGAGCGGAGCTTGAGGACGAGCAGTACATCAGCCTGAGCAGTACGCTTGAAGGGCTGGTCATATTGAGAAAGGTAAGACGTTATATCACCTAACTTTACTAGCTGGGATCTATGAGCTAATGTGCAATGCAGAACCCTGAATGGGAAAACTAGTAGTTTGCGCCCTTTCTTATCCCATTCGACATTGATTTTAAAGTGCAAAGGATTTTATTAGAGTTATTTTCCGTTTGCACCCGGCTCATGTAAATATATGAAAGTGACAATGTGTTGGCTTGGTAAATGTAGCCAATTTGATGGCGGTTTACATTTTGCGTATCTAGGACTGACAACGATTGTAATGAAATAAATATTTACCACATTTTCCCTGCAACCCACGACGCCAGCGCCTCAAATGCTATTAGATATGGGCGGACATGAGAATGCCCCTCTTCTACTTGACCGTGGCTGTCTTGCGAGCCTATCCATCTTTAGCGACGCTCTTCTTTCTTGTATCTGATGAACCTCGCGAGATTTGTTGCCGCCTCATCGGCCTGAGCCCGCAGTCCAGGATCCTTTCTCTTGTCCACTGCTTTGGCAAGCTTTCGCACCTTGGGTAATGACGCTTCAAGGTGCCCCAGGAACCCATCCTTCCAGAAGACCGCCTGATCATAATCATAACCTTTGTCTGCATAGATATCGAAGATCTGATTGAGTGCTTCAATGGCATCCTCGACTGCAGTTTCTGGAATCAAGGAAATTCTAGACACAAGGAAGGCGCCGATCTCGCGGTTCACATCCACGCGGCCGGGACACTGCGCCAGTGAGCCCAATAAGCCGATGCACTTAGGACAGATCTCGTCCAAAGGCTCGGTCTCCTCCCCACCACGGCGCTTTACAGGTGCGCTACGCTGAGACCTGTTCTTCTTCATCTGCCCGGCTGCCTCATAGAGCGCCATGAACTTACGGTGCTCGTCTCCGGCAAAGTCCAACTGCCCACGTAGACTACGAGAGATAGCCCATGCAAGACTTGTAACAGACTCGGCCAAACTGATGTCGGCGGTCTGAGAAGCAACCACAGGGACAACGCATTCGCTCCAGAGCTGTTGAGCGAGTGCTGCCCAAGCCGGTCGCAGTGGCGAGTCTGAAGAGAGCGGAACAACAGCGCCTACAGCCCAGGTGATGTTGTTGAGACAATCTAAGCTCTTCTCTATGAGATCATTGGGCTTAGAAGGTTGCGAGGAAACCTTGGCCAGCGGAAGGATAGATGGAATAGTATCTTCAATGAGATATTGGACACCTTTCTCGGCGTTTTCGGCAACAAGAGCCCAACTATCCCGTTGTTCGCCGTCTTGATCTTCTCCGGTAACCATGTCCATGTCTTCTTTGATTTCGCTGTTGATGTCGGAGTCGTCATCATCTTCATCATCTGACATGCCCTCCATCTCCTTTGCCCGATCACCATCTTCCACATCATCGTCCTCGTCTTCTTCCTCATCTCCACTCGTCGCATACTGCTCCTCTGTCATCATTGCAGCGCTAGATTCATCCAATTCAGAGAATTGCTCGGCTTGACTACCAATTACAGCCGATATGGAGGCAATTGTTTCAAGTGCCATTTTGACCGTCTCGATTTGGTCGGGTGTAGTGTCATCTTCCTGACTAAAAGTCTCCACAAGAGCGCGATATGATCTCGTAATGGCAGAGAGCATATCCTTTGGCGGAATGCTATCGATCAACTCTGCGTCTTTTAGTTTCTCGGCTTGCTCAGCCAAAGAAAGATTATGGAGGACTCCGCAAGCTGCTACGCATTCGCCGCCCGTTTTTTTTGCGTTTGCTTTGAGCACATCAAGCCAAACAGAGCGAGCAGCGATTTGGCGAAGCAAGTCATCATTGTCTACAGACAAGTCGTAGACGCATTGCAGTGCGTTTCGGACGACTCGTGATGGCGCTTCCGCGAGAGAAGCCAGTCCAAGTTGGAAGTCGGGAACAGTCGATAAATTGCTAAGAGCACTCACAATGTCATCATTTGTTTCTGAAAGTGAGGACATAATGCTGTTCAGCGAATCGGCTAACTCCCAGACCAAGACTTGTTGGGCTTTGGGTAGGCTTGCGAAACCGGACTCCGGAGCCCTGAAGAAGTCAGACACCTGTGTATTGTTAGTGCAATGATAGAGAGGTAGTAATATTGAACCTTTCTGACATACCTTTTTGATTGCTGCTTGCAAGGGAGTCAAAATGTCCTGTCTATACAAGTGAATTCCGAAATCCCAACTCTCCGCGAGAGCCAGGTTTCGAAGCACACCCCATCCAGCAGTAATAACAGAAAGATCAGCATCATTGATGGTCTGTTCCATTACTAGACGGACGAGCTGCTCTCGCAAGAGGAGTTTGCGACACTTTTCATTTTCAATCAAATTGCAGATCACAGTAGCCGCCGTGACCCGGTCATGCGGCTGTGTGCTAGCAAGAGCAGACACTGCAGGCAAAATCTCCTGGTCTCGCAATTTCACACTTTCAGGATCTGCCAGGGGCTTCAGTGGACGACCACTGGTGGGCCCACGGCGGTCCTTGGGCTTTTGAGATCTTCTAGCCTTTCCCATGCTGATCCTTTGGCACCTCTAAATTTAATTTCGATATACAGTTAGACAAGAGTTTAAATATATCAATCTGTTTGTTTCTGGTGCAAATTTTGCTCTTCTCATACCTCTCTTTTCTTTCTAAGGAATCTAGATCATCAATGTCTTCCTCTTCGCCTTCTTTTCCTTGTATTCTTTTGATTCAGCACCGCCAAGTACGACATCGTGCTTCGTGTAGTGGCCCGAGATTTTTTTTCTTGATCATGATTACCATAAATGGTTTAGCGTTTGCTTCGCAAATCCGCTCTCCTGGCTCCTTTGCCGCCATGTTAACAGCCGGACCATTTCAAATGCAACTTGCAGATTTCCCAATAAAAGGAATGGGTTAATTGTGCTTTTAATCTTAACCAAATAAATATTTTGTGCGGCTTAAAAACCCTCCGAGATGTTTTCCAGATAGAGAATCAGGTCCTCTGAACTTTCAGCGCGCCGCGAAGTTTGTGCCGGAGAATAAGCTTCGGCAGAAAGAAGCCCCCCGAAAAATCCTGGGAACTACTATAAGTGACCGAACCTAGAAAGCCATTACGTCTACCAAATCATCTATACTTTGCCATAGCTCCGGTGAAAATCTAAAGAAGTGAAAGAGCCACATTCTTCTACCAGTCATTCTATTCAGAATTGCAAAGTCATTGCTATCCATCTTTATTATTGCTCATTGTCTTCTATACTAAAGCCCTCGCCCCTTTCCGTTGCGGCGCTTGGCAGAAAGTGTCACTAAAGGCGGTGAGGATCTAGCGTATCAACAGCTGCAAAAGCGACCCCCACATCGTCAAGAGATTGAGGGCGATACCGCCAAGGATCCGATCTCGACCCTCATCTCTCCCATCCTTGGTGAATTTCACTTCGCTGCAGAGCCAGTAGGATAAGTTTCAGCACTTCTGTCTCCGCCATGTCGACAACGACAACCACCACGACCACGGCTCCTTCGCAGCGGATCACTGCTGGTAATATACTTCAGCTTTTTCCTGATATTGACACCAGGCTTGCCGAGTCCACTCGTGCTCAGGCGCGTGACAATGATCTTGAGGGTTACGATGAGGAACAAATTAGACTGATGGAGGAGGTCTGTATCGTCCTGGACGAGAACGATGTGCCAATTGGAAGCGCAAGCAAGAAAATTTGTATGGTCTTTCCATCTCATCTTGAGCGTCACTTTGCTCAGACTAACGCTCGATAATAGGTCATTTGATGAAGAACATCGACATGGGCCTCCTTCACCGTGCCTTCTCCGTCTTCTTGTTTGATTCTGAGAACCGACTACTCCTTCAGCAGCGGGCATCTGAAAAAATCACCTTCCCCGGTAGGACTTGAACCAACGAATCTCGCTTTTTTCGACTTTGCGCTGATAGACTTTGTCCCTGAGACAGATATGTGGACAAACACGTGCTGCTCGCACCCCTTAGGTATTCCTGGTGAGACTGGTGCTGAGCTAGATGCTGCGATTCTCGGGGTCAAGCGCGCGGCTCAGCGAAAGCTGAACCAAGAACTTGGCATCAAGGCGGAGCAGGTTCCGTTGGAGAAATTTGATTTTCTCACCCGTATACATTACAAGGCTCCTAGCGACGGAAAATGGGGCGAGCACGAGAGTAAGTGATGTGCTTCCTCCTTAAAATACTTCGGATGTGAAGCGGCTGATTGTCCTGCCCTATCAGTCGACTATATCCTTTTCATCAAGACCAATGTTGATCTTGATATCAACCCCAATGAAGTACGCGACACCTGTTATGTATCTGCGCAGAAGCTGAAGGACATGTTCGCCGATTCGAGTCTCAAGTTCACTCCTTGGTTCAAGCTCATCTGCGAGACAATGCTATTCGAGTGGTGGGAGCATCTCGACCAGGGCCTTGATAAGTACAAAGGCGAAAAGGAGATTCGACGCATGTAGAAGCAACCGAAGAAATGATTGGATTACTTTGTGAGTCCACCCCGGGATTCCCTGGACTTTGATACCTTTTCGACGCCGGTTGCCTGAGCACCGTTGCATTTTGTTCTTTTTCGCTTGCATGTAGAGCGTTTCCATTTTTCGCATGCGAAGTCTCGCCGTGCTGGAAAGATATTACAGTGTAGTATAATATATTAATGCCACTACATGTGGTAGATATGTATTCTTCGTTTATAAGCAGCTCTTCAAGAGAAAGGGGTTTATCAAAACGTGAAGGAGGCCAAGCAAGCCGGTTCCCGGCTGAGACCATTCGCGACGAAAAGACTTCTACGTTGTAATCTCCTTGCCTCTCAAAATACAAATGAACAAGCATAGATTTCACTATTTCCATTCAGAGGGTATCTTAGTATATAACGTCCTTACCATTGGTCATTGCTTACAGGCGCCTAAATGAGAGAGGGAGTTCAGAACACAAATAGGAGCGAAGTTTACATAAGAAGGAGCGTCAGCGACGGTTGATGGCGTCAGAATGTAAATAGCCTTATCTGTGCCATTGTAATCGATTTCTAAGAACAATGACAATAAAATTACACAGAGTGAGGCGAGATTTATTTTGGCTCTCTCGTTAGTTACTGTTTCTCACTCTAGTCAACTCCGTTAATGAGTGGTTTCGGGGTCTTACGGAGTAGACGGCGAGCACGGCAACCTTACCCGGATGGGAATGTTGATGCGAGCCGACAGAGGCCCCGGAGGACGGGGCGATTAGAGGAGTTAGAATGGGGGTCGTTGGGGTTAGTTAGCATTGGGCCTCTGTTTTGCCGCGTACAACCAACGACGTCTTCCAATGCAGTCCAATTGCTTCCGGCTTAGAATGAAGGAGAACAATATGTGTGGGTGTAATTTCCCCTGCTGTTTCTATTGTAATGGGGGTCCAATCAGAATCGTTTGGAGGGCGCAATTTGATCTTAAACGCATGGTCTCCTAGCACACACCCTTGGTACGGTGACTTGTTTACGAGTAGCCCCATGCTGTATTGTACCCAAAGAGGAGCCGGAATTAAGTTACTCACTGAAAAAAAAAGCCTAGGTAGCTTTGGTTACGGAGTATGTTCAATGCCCGCGTGTGACGCTTCCTAAAGGACTCGCTGCAGCAGATACGCAGTAAAGAAGTATCGGAGTACGTTGAGGTTGCACGCAGGGTGACTTGAAGCAACATCCCGGTTTAGCTGCTGACTAGAGATTCCGACTGGTTGCCGATCCTGTGGGAGAGATTGTCCGCGCTAGGTGTTTCTTATCGCTCAAGCAAATCCACTTACGGCACAAGGCGAGGCTTGACCACAACGAAGAGGAGTCTGATGTGGAAATGTGAATACTATCTGAATTTCAATCTTTTGCTAATTGAAGGGCATTGTTGCTCTTGTCGCCACTCGGTGTTCGATCCGGTATCCAGACCTTGTCCTCTCTTTAACTACCCCGCCCCGCAGCTGGATGTGCAGCTTGCCCGGAGCAGGGTAAAGCTCGACCGACGTTAGTTAAGTTTTAGCCTTCGGGCTGCCGGCTATTATAGGTGTAAAGGGAAAAGGCGGAGCTTAACTGAGCGAGTGACCTGCTGTACCCACCATACAAGTGCGTACAGTAGTAATGACACAACTAATCATCAAACACGATAAACTCTCACCCACGGCAATATGCTCAACATCTAAACTACCTGACAGCCTTTCTCAATCCCTTCCCATTAGCCCACCCACGTTAGGCATGTCTATGCAGCACTCCCTCCTTGCTCTTTTCTACAAGCCCCCGGCTCCCCACCATACCTCTTATCGCGTAGTGTCCAAACGCCAGGTGCCTGGATGCCGATGCCTTGCGCGACCATTGCCGCCGCCATGACCATGCTGCATCCCATTTCGCCTCAAATTGGACGACATGCCCAGCATCCCTTCACATTGTTTCCTTTTCGTCCAGCAATTGCACCTGCAGCTTGCCTCTGTGCTTGTTCCCCGGCTTATTGACAACGCAGCTTCGTTCCGATTCCCATTTCTTTGGTCGCCTGACCTCGACGGCCCTCCTGCTACGCTCCGCCCTGTCTTTCAAATAGTGCCCCTCATCGCCCCTTTAACCGGGCTCGTTCTGTTCCTTGCTCTTCTATCTCTTGTGGTCCCTCTTCTTCTCGATCAGCTTTCACTTGTCTCACCACCAATTGAACTGTCTTTGCGGAGCAAATATCTTGCCCACCACTTTTGTCTGCGTGCAGCCAGTGTCGGCCTCTTTCAAACCCGAGTTCAATCCCTTATCCTCAAACTCCAGACGGCGGCCTCCGCGTCATCTTCTATATTGATGTCGGTTGATAGTCGTTTGTCAAGGACTTGTTTGCGTTTTCCCGCTCGCGTGGAAAACATTTCGAGATCTCAGCTGTCAAGCGTGCATACAGGGGATTTAACCAGACCTGCTGAAAATTCGTGAACACGGGATACTCTGCCAAGGTAACATTTTGGTTCGAGCAACCGCTTCCAAGCAAGTCTCAACAAAAGTATTCACTAACTCTGCAATCAGTTGTGATACACGTTTCGACCTTTTATACATTTCATTATATCTTGCGCGGTAGTATAGATTATTTCGCTCCGGGATTTAGACGCTTTGCATTAGAACCGTCCAAGAAGTGGATAGAGCATACCAAAGTAGTCCTTGAAATCCAGCATGGCGACCACGGTGGTCTCGGCCACGAAACCCCATGCTACGATTTTGTCTACTTCGCAGGGCCTTCCCACTACTGAGCAGGTCCGCATTGTGACAGTAAAGGAGTACAAGGAAGCTGCCCAATGTCTTGCTGAAGCTTTCGCCGAGGACGATGTAGCTCGATATTTCATTGACACTGAACATACCGAGCAATGCACCCCCGAAGAAAAGTGGAAATTGCACGTCAACATCCTTGAGTACGTGGTGTATGCCCACTGCCTCAAAGGCTTGGTGACCACCATTGGGCCCAACTATGACTGTGTAGCGCTATGGTGAGTAGTGTGCATCTTGTCACCCAAAAAACTTGCCAGACGTTCCCTTATTCTTGTCACTTGTGACTAAAATTCTTCTGAATTATCAGGATGCCGCCAGGCAAGAACATCGATGATCTGCTGACCATCTTCCGAAGCGGCATGTGGCGTCTGCGCTATCAACTCTGCAGCGAAGGGAAGAAGCGCTTTTTTGACGAGTTCCTTCCCCTGCTGCACGATACCAAGCTGGAAGTCATGGGTGACCGCGACGACGATTCCTACTATCTGGTGTACATTGGCACCAAATCGACGGCTCGTGGCAAGGGATACGCCCGTAAGCTGATTGACAACGTGACAAAGCAGGTATGTGCCTCAAAGTTTTGACAGTGGAGTTGCTCTCCCGTCTAATTGCAATCTGACCATTGCAATCTAACCTGCAATATTATCAGGCCGATGCCGAAGGCCGGGCATGTTATCTCGAAAGCAGCAATGCCATTAACCCAGCCATTTATCGCAAACTGGGCTTCGAAGAGCGCAAGAAGATTTTCCTCAGCCGTGCTGAAGCGCCGATTGAAATGGATATTATGGTTCGGGAGCCCATGAGACCGACAATCAGTAGCTCGAGCCTTCTTCAGGGTGGCACGACTATACTCCAAGCGACCTCTGCTTCGGCGGCTTAATTTGTGCCTGACATATTTCTCCGGAGCTCCCAGTCTTTGGTTCACACCTCCGTATTCTATGGAAACAAGAGCGCATTTTGTCACGGAGGAGCTTAAGCTTGGGATAATGGGGACCGATCCCGCACTAAAGGATTACTTCCTATTTTCCGTCCGCGAGCAAGGCCATTCATGTCTAATCCCAATCTTGGCACGCAGCTTTTAATAATTTCTTGATTTTCTGAACTGAAGTTATACTCAAGAAATTTTGGAGGAAAAAAAAAAAAAAAAAAAAAAAAACCCCGGTTGGGTTTTTGGCGATTTGCTTTTTATACTGAAATTTTTTATGTTGTCAATTTGTTTTTAATACTTTCATTATTTTCCTGAGCTATTTTATTTTTGGTCTTCCCCTACACTCTTTAAATTGATTAGTGAATCTGTTGCTATTGTGCAAGTTGGTCACTACATCGGATTGGATAAGTAACATGTTTAGCCATCCAAGCTAGCCTCTCACTATGAAATGACACAAATTTTGACTTTTGAACTGTAACACCTCTATAAATGTTACCTAGATCTGACGTGTTAAAGTTATGCCGTACATTCCTTTAGTATGGAAAATACATGTATTACTTGTATTTCTTTGCACGTATTGCTCCAGATATAGATGTCTCCAGAGATGGAAGGCATGCATCCTTAGTATAACTTATAGCATAACTAGCAAGCTTAGAAAATCAAGCTTTTTTTTTTCTCTTTCATATCTCTTTATATTTGCCTGCCGGATGATCAACATTCTATTTCTTCTGTCTTAAATTAAGAGTGAAAAAGAATGATGCTCTAAAAGACCAACTTATTCATTAAAAAACAAAAGTTAAAATAAATAATACTACCCACCTACGTTACATTGGATATTGTAGTATGGGACTTCATGATATTGGAGGGAGATGAAACACACGTGAGTTCAATAAAATTGAAAGGTGGTGAAAAAAGAGCAAAAAGCAAGAAAAAGGTATTCAAGATAAAATGAAGTAAAAATAAAAGAAAAAGGACACAGAGTAAGAGGGGAAAATGGACAAGACAAAAAGGGAAAGGGTAGAGGCGAAGAGCTTATGCGATATACATTGAGCGCTTATACAAAGTGAATTGAAGGAAGAGGATCTATTATTCTATCATTCTGTATCCGATACTTGGAAAAACCGTGATGGTCTCCTCTATGTAATTTGCGTTACGTTACGTCTATCTTTAACTCAACAACGCTCAAACACACGATATAATCCTTTCAAATCGGCTACTTCCACTACACCTCTCAGCAGACCCTTGGTAGCGACCAAGCGAGCCTTGAATGCAGGAAAGAGTACATCTTGCACCATCCGATTTAGTTGTGCCCGACGGGCGGTGATTTCTGGTGGCTCCTCTTGTTCTTCATCTCCATTCCCTTCCCTGTCTGTATCCATGGCATCTGGTCTTTCTGACAGAGTGTCATCATTTGGACCTACATCTCCAAGACTTACATCTTCGGCTCCGGCTGCAGATGCGCCTCGTAATTTCTGGGACGTAGATTGCGAATCTTTGCCAGAGGAATCTTGATGACCCTGCTGAGGAGACGGCGGAAGAGATTCAGGAACATAGAAGCTCGCTAGTTCGCGCAAGAACGTGGCGAAACAATTCTTCTCATCCGCCCAATCGACTGTCGGCCCTAGACGTAATAGGAATTGAGGAAGTTTGGCCATACTGGGCACATAGCCCTTCAGAAGAAGTGGAATAGACAGTAATTGGCCGTTTTCGGATATTTCAAGCGAGAAATATTCTTGGAGCATTTCGCGCATTTTGAGAATTTGCTCTTCGACTTTTGCAACCGCTTTGACCCAATCAATTGCTTCTCCGGCTTGTTTTTGACCCGCCTCTTGGCTTTGTCGCTTCTGCTCGTAGTCTGCTGCGATGACTAGGAGCTCGTGCAGATCGAGCGGCGGGTCGAATTTGATGACACCCATGTTCCCAAAGTCTGTGAGTCCGACTTGATAGAAGAATTCATTGCTGAGGTGGAGTCAGCCAGCCCTTGTACCGAGACATTGTCAGAAGACGTAAAAAGCTCCAAGCGTACCTGATCATGCCGTAGTCGATTAAGTAGAGCTTCACACTACCTTGAATGGCAGCAATTCTTCTTCTCTCATCAACGATACCGACAAAAAAGTGTCCCGCAAATACCCCCGTAAGTTCGCTGTGCATGCAATCTCGAACCTCTGCTCGAAGTTCCTTGACACTCGTCAGCCGACACAGCACCGTCTCTTTGTCTGTCTGGTCGTATTGGAGATCCTCCGGCAATGCACCGTCTGAGGAATCTTGTCGAGAAAGAGGTTGTGTTACACTAAGAGGAAGCATCGAGGTTATAGTTCTCATGCGAGAATCCGTTCGAACAAGGTTGTTCTCATACACCTTTTGTTGTCCAGATCTTTTGTTGTGCCCGACTACCAGACTGTCGATACCAGAGTCAGGCAGAGTCGCAATTGTAGGGATCCTCGCTCCAGGGAGAAGAGTCTGTGTCATAAATGTTCGACTGCTGTCGACTGTGGAGAGGCTGAGTCGGATTTTATCGCAGATTTGTTCGATGATTTCATCTTCATTGAGGAAGTTCACCTCCCGCTTCGTAGGATGCACGTTTACATCAACTCGTCGTGGATCGATATCTAAACTTAGATATACAAATGGATGCCCTCCCTTTGGAAGAAACGCCGAATAAGTCTGCTCAACGGCTTTTTTAATGGCCGATGACTCCACTGCACGGTGATTTATAAAGAGTAGCAGCATTGTTCGTTTGACATGGTAATTTGCATTGCTAACCCAACCTTGTGCCATGAAGCCGAGGCGATCGTCTTCATTTTTCAATTCGATGAGCTCATTAGCAACGGCAGCCCCATGAATCTGACGTATCCTATCAACGATAGTAGCATTTGCCGGCGTAGAGATGCCCATGCTGGTATCACCGTGTTTCTTGCACGTGAATGCGACACCATGACAATGCACAGCATATCGCCCTACCATGTCAAGAATTTTTGCATATTCTTCACTTGCGGAACGGAACGCCCTACGGCGCGCTGGCACATTGTAAAAAAGGTCCTCGACCTAACAGTCATATAGGTTAATGGTTACATGAGAGCAAATTAAGATATGCTCATTGACCAACATACTGTAATCTGCGTGCCTTGTCGCCCAGCAGTAGGCTTAGGGTCTGCACTCTGTCCAGGTTTAGCGGGCACAAGCTTTCCTCCAGAGTAATTGGCCCGCCAAGCACAACTCGATTCCTTAGGCTTCGTAGTCACGGTGAGATGCGCAATGTGGCTGATACTCGCCAACGCTTCGCCTCTAAAACCGTACGTTCCGATTGTTGAAAGGTCTTCAAATGCTTTGAGCTTCGAAGTTGTAAAACGCTCGCACAGTATGGGCAAGTCATCCCTCTGTCTTAAGCATGAGTATTTTCGCATTGAATAAGCTGTAGGGAAAGGAGCAACCTACATTGATACCATGGCCATTGTCCGTGATCTGAAGAAGTTTCAGACCCCCTTCTTTGACTAGAATCTCTATAGCTGTGGAGCCCGCGTCAACCCCGTTCTCGATTAGCTCTTTCAAAGCATGGACCGGGGCCACGATAATCTCGCCAGCGGCAATCTTATTGACTACATCTTGATCAAGGGCCTGTATCTATTTAGTCTGGTGTACCGGGAAGCAAAATTAGGCAGAATTTGGTTACTCTAATATGTCTTGGCTTGTCTGCCTGCAGTATATCTTCTGCTTTTCTCTTCGTCCCGCGCGGAATTTCCATCTCCACGTCCATATCGTCCGCCATTCTGGATTATACGCTGCTAAATTCTCTAGCCTTAGAAGTTCTTCTGAAAATGTAGATATATGAACCCTGTGGCAGCTTTGGCAAGTTCAGCTTTTCGCAGATCGGAGTGAGGTGCATCTAGTACCTTATCGGGTGCTTTTACGAAGCAAAGCCCCATGACCGAGTTATTACGCTTTTCTTTTTTGGAATTGCAGTATTGAACTTACAAATATGACAGAAAATAAATATCATATTATCTCCTTTTCATTTGCAAGGTATCCGAATTGGACAATAATGTCAACAAACGTACAATATTCCCCGGGCTCTGACGTCTGAGGTCGGTAACTTCCGCAGGGATGGCGGTTCACTTCCGCATTTGAAGCTCCAGCTGCTACGGATTCTCAACACGCCCATGTGTCTAGCAACACCTCACCTCCTGTATTCTCCCTCAAAGCTGACAATAACCCTTTCAATGCGCATTGCTCTTCTGAAGCATCTCCTCATGGAGCTTCGTTAGCCTGTTACATGCTCATTTGCAGTTGTAAACTGCTGGACGTCATTGCGGCTTCCACCATTGGCGCATGATCCTTGCTCCGCAACTGCTTCTGCCGAGCTTCCAGTCGCCGTCCAAACACAACTATGCTACCACCAACACGAACATTCAGTCCCAAACAAGGGCTGGAAAAGCGTGATGATGATCTTCGGCCTAGAAAGGCTGGCGCAACGGCATCGACATGGTCAGCTATGGGAACCGGCTCACGATTGCGCCGGAGACGATTTCTCTTTGTCCTTCTCGCTCTTCTCATCGTATATCTATTTGTCAAAAACATCCCGACAGACCTAGGCCCAGCTCCTGCTCGAATGGGCTTTTCGTCCCCGCCGTCTGCAACCTACCATGCGCCTGGCAGTCCGGACGCTGCCTTAAGAAACCCCCAGGCGCGACTGCCTCTGAGAGAATCGGCGCCGACATCGCAACACAATTTCAATGGTCCAATCAAGTTCTATAAGCTTGCATCTTCACTGCATGCTATTGCTAAAACCATGGGCCATCGCAAGATAAACCGCAACATTCTATTTGCAGCGGCAAGTCTGCAGAGCGCTACTACCTTAATCCCTACGGCGTGTGAAATGGCTCGATGGCGACGTAATTTTGTTCATTTTGCGCTCATGGGGCGGGGCGATATAACAATTCAGGAGTTACTAGAGATTAATGGGATTGGAGACGAGTGCGAGGTTTATTGGCACGGTATGATCCTCTCAATTCTAGACCAAGCCAAGGGGAAGGCTGATCGTGAGCGTTGCAGATGCGCGGCCCGACTTTTCAATCCAAAGCACGGATTTTCGAATGAGTGTTAGTGTCTCAACTGCGCTAAATCATTTGAACGAATATATCCACCCGCAAGCTATCATCACAGACGCGCAAACAGCTGAAGAGGAGTTCTTCACAAAATCAATCCAGGAGAAGGCGGAAGACATAGGGCGACCTGTCATTTTCGTACCGAAAGATGCTGTAGAGAGACTCAAATGGATCACTAGATTGGACAGTGGATCTCTTGGAGGTAAGTGCGCACAGCATAATTATCTTTCTCTTGTGTTATTCAATGAACAGGAAGTGAGCTAAATGGCATAAACTCAGCCTGGAACAAGGCGAACGTCGATATACTCGTAAATGCTCCCATAGGCTCATCTGGGACATTGATTCGACTGCTTCAGACATTGGCAAAAGCTGATTATTTCCTATCACAACCGCCGCGACTTACTATTGAGCTCCCTGCGAACGTGGATTTGCCCACACAACGATATCTCGAAAGTTTTAAATGGCCGCCATGGACTAGTCAGGGCAAATTCCAGTCCAATCAACTCACGCTCCGGCATCGCGTTCCGCGCCAATTATCCACCACGGAGGATGCTTCCAGCCGCTTCGTTGAGTCCTTCTATCCAGCCAACCCTGTAAAGTCTCACGTCCTCGTTCTATCACCACAGGCAGAGCTATCACCTCTCTATTTCCATTACCTCAAGTACACCCTCCTAGAATACAAGTACTCGAACTATGGCGCCCACGACTCGGAGCAAATTCTCGGCGTAAGCCTGGAACTGCCCTCTCAACATCTCAACGAGACCGCCGCCTTTGAACCTCCGCGAGCAAGACTTGATACCACTTGGTCAAATGGTGAACAAGGGGCCACTTCATTTCTTTGGGAAGCACCAAACAGTAACGCCGCGCTCTACTTCGGCGACAAGTGGGTCGAATTCCACAATTTCCTGAGTAATCGGATGCAAGTGTACCATTCGCAGATGGAGGCCCGCCAACCGTCTCCTCCCCGGAAGAAGCTCGTCAGCGAAAAATATCCCGCATGGATGGAATACATGCTTGAACTTATTCGCGCTAGAGGCTACTCGATGCTTTATCCAGCCTTCAAGCAAGAAGATGCTTTAGTTGTCGTCCACAACGAACTCTACCAGATTCCTGAAGAATTCCAGCATGTCCCAGGCGAGATGACTGAGGGCGTCAACTCTGCTGATCCGGAAAACCCACCCCCTCTTGACCCCAACGAACCATTTCTCACCGATCCTTCCACACACAAAGCATTCACGCCGTTGAACGAACCACCTCTCGGCTCCCGCTCTATCGTGTCTATGCTTCCTTACGATGGCGATTTGCCCGAAGTAGCTATCATGCCTCATCTCACCTTTGACGGCCGTGAAGTGTCAGCAGAAGAATCAATAAATGAGGCATTAGCATTCAAGGCAATCTTCCAATCTGAAGTTGGCGGATGCCCTGAGCCAAAACCCCAAAAAGTTCGCCCCATGGGGGCGATTGACTTGTTCTGCTTACAAGACGAAGAAACCGGAGGAGAATATTTAAACAGAGATGATGAGCAAACGGGTGCTTATGATGCCAAAGGCGTCCCAGCCGTCTCGAATGATATTTTCCCAAGCGAGGATAAGTACGGACCAGCTGCTGGAGAGGAGAAGACTACTTCTGGTTTTGCATTTGACGAGACAAGTGACAAGCCAACTACACGAGGTTCGCAACCGGCATCTTAATAGCAAAAGACGGAGACGCTGGCAGCCGGGCAGCATATAAAAACGCAGTCGAAAACCCAGGTCTCGCTAATATAACCATGCACTTTACGCAAGTGTTTCGAAAAAATCTCACGGAGCTATGCAGTGGTTTGATATCGAGTGAGACATCGCAATTTATTTGGACTTTTTTTGGTCTCCTTAGCTTTTCCCACGGATATACCATGTCATGTCCTTTTTATTTGATGGGGTTCTAAACATCTATGCAAATTTTTCTACTGCGACTCTGCACTAGGTGTTTGGGCGCAATGTAAGGGTAATGAGATAGTGGGAATTGGATCTTTGACCAATTATGATATCCTGCTGTAATTGTTTTAACATCATGGCATTGTTTGCCCTATACAGATAAAGTTAGGATGATTCAATACCAAGTTCAAATTCTCGTCTATTCGTTATATTATTGAGTGTACAAGCACGCTCTTGCTAGTTAACATGTTCGAAGTGATGTCTCTCTGCTAAGACAAGATAACGCGAAAGACATCTAACACGATATCAAGGAGAATACAATACCCCAATGCGTTCTAGTAATCTCCTACGTAAATAGACAAGAAGAAGAAAGTTACACAGGCAAATGCAGATGCTTGAACCAAAAATATGCACAATTACTCACACTCTGGAGCAACCTACATATGCGTGCAGGTTCTTCGTAAGTAATCAAGTTAATGTGTTTCGTTTTTGTGCTTCTTCCACAGCATGGTCCCAGCTCGTGCGTGCGATAAAGATGCCTTCGATGAGAGCGACGCTGGAGATATGACAAAAGCCATTAGTGATTGCTTTTTGCAGGCGACTAAAGCCGGCGAAATATGCACGTCGCTGTAAAAGAGCAACACATGAAATTGTTTGAGCACGAAAGGTATCGACTTACAGTCCGAGGGCAAGAGCCGGACCAGTCCACAGACCGAACAAGTCCCAATGAAGAACAAAACAGGTGCTAAATGACAAAGGCATGGCAATCTATAACAATTCGAAAGAAGAATCTTGTCAGCAGAAGTCGATAGGCGTAAGACGTCTTGTTCAAGAGGTATTGGAGAGAAACATACAGCATAGTAGCAGAAGAGGTTGGCATAGCCACCAACTTCCTGGCGGCCGAGGCCGCGAAGGATACCACCGCAATTGGCAGCTAGGGCATCAAAAAGCTGGAAGGCGGCGCAGAGCGGCAGAATCTTGGCAACAAGCTCAATGACATCCGGGTCATTAGTGAAGAGCTGAGGAATGTAATTGCGGAGGGTGCTGAGCAAGGTAATATTGCAAATGCCGACGATGCAGGCGACGACGATGCAAACCTTGGCAGCGGTTTTCGCCGCGTCGGAGAGTGTGGCGCCGATAAGATTGGCAATGCGGGTAGAAGCCGCGATGGAGATGGGAAAAGGGATTTGAAATGTGATTGACGTGATGGTGCTCAGCACCGACTGCGCCGCAAGATGCGTTGTCGAAATATAGCTCGCGACCAGAGTCAAGATTTCAAAAGCGAGGAATTCGGCTTCAACCATGACCAGGCCGGGGAGAGCCAATTTGATCATGGGCCCCCAATTGTGGAATGCGCGCCAGGTAAAGCCTCCCCAGCACTCGCGGCCGGCGACGAAACGGACATAGAGGAGGAGACAGAGAGGCAGGGCGGTATCAGTCACCGCGACGGCAATGGGCGCTCCAACGAAACCGAATTTCAGCTTCTATTTATTATTAGGTTAGGGCACAATCCATACTTTAAGCATGCGAGGGTGGATGATATTCTAACTTACCCAAACAAGGAGCCAGTTCAAAAAAGCGTTGAGAGGAGCACAGAATAATAGCACGTACATGTTGGCAGAGAACAAGCCTTGAGCCTGGACAAACCTCTTGCCACTCTCAAATGCTGCGTAGCCTGGTGCACCGATTAGGAGGACTTTCAGATAGAGTCCCGCTAATTCGGCCAGCTTGGCTTCGGGAATGATGTGCTTAAGGATGGCCGATGCGCTCAGCCAGATAATCCCAATTGGGATGGTGATGACCCAGAGAAAAAAGACCATTCGCTGGAACTGCAGACCAACGAGGTGCTTCCGTCCCGACCCGTACGCCTGCGCACAGAGGGTGTCCAGACTTGTCGCGAGGCCCTGATAGATGGCGTATCCGAAAATATTAGCTGTCATGCTGGCCAGACTGACAGCACCAAGCTCAAGCTTTCCCAGGCGTCCGACGGTGAAGATACTGGCGACGGTCAAAGAATATTGTAGCAGGAATGTAACAATCAGCGAACGAGAATATTTGCCCAAGACTTTAGCTTCTCTTTGCCAAGAAGTCTGGATCTTGCCTGCAGCAACCGCCGCCTCCCACTTCCTATCAATATTATCTGGTGTATCTTCGCCGCCATAGGGAAGCTGATTGTCCCCAAGCAGGGCTGTGGTCTCCGATGGTGGCTCATCTGCTGGGCCCGCCTGTGACGTCCCTGCAGTCTCTTCGTCATGCTTGCTCTTTCTCCTATCGCCGCGAATCGACAACTGTCGACCGATACGACTGGTGAAATGCCCGGATGACTCACTCAATCGTCGCGGATGTTTTGGAGGTATCATGTGATTGTCCCGAAGTAAACTCCTCTCGTCGTTATTGATGCGTTCAATCTCCTCCTTGGTCAGGTAGTTCTGATCTGGTAACTGGAGTGATGATAACACGGTACCCCTGGGGCCTGAGGCCACGAAGCTGGGACGATGATATGAGCCCGTCATGGAATAACCCATTGACGATTGATGCTTTAAAGGTCGAACAGTGGAAGATTCTGAATCACTTGCGGCCTCGTCTTCGCTGCCGGTTGCGCCGTCTTCAAGCGAAGCCTCTGGATGACGCGGATCCTCAACATCATCGCGAAGATCTCGAGCTATAGCTTGCCGTGCTAGAGGAGATGTCCCGACATAGGAATTCCTCGGAGAATATTGGTGGTGAGCTGCCCCTGCGATTGGCCGGCTTGTTGAAGGAGCCATTGGTTTGTAACGGTCAACAAGCGGAGAAACAATGTAAGATGGTGTAGTGTGTGCTTCTGTGGCAGTTGCAGAGAACAAAAGTGTACATGAATGTGTGCGTCAAATTTTCGGCGGATCTGCTCAAGAAGAGTTGAATACCTGCGCACCGCGGACGATTGCCCGGAAGAGATTGAGCTCAAGCAGACGACTTTGCTATGCCCAAAATCTACCAAATATGTGTTTTGGTGGATAGAAGTCGGAACGAGATAAAAAGCAGCGGCTGGATTACCATGGGTAAGTGATAAGTTAGTTAGACTGAACAGTTTTAGTCACCTCGACTATCGTCGGCGATAAGCATGCGGGGGCCACAAGCAAACACTTGCCTAATATATATACTCCGCATATCATGACCGACCCAGATGTCAGGGATTTTGATCCGGATAACAAATGAGTTTCTGAATTTGGGAAAGTATCTGTCGGTTCTAAAACGATAATTCTTGACTCTTCTGTATCTCTTCAGCTCTTCGGTGACCTGGCTGCAAAATTATTTTAATTTTTTATTTTGTATGTTTGATTTTGTTTTCCTTCTTCATGATGCGCTCGTCGAGTATACATGCATCAATTTGGTAGGTCCAGCCTGAATTGCCCACCAAACATCACTGGATAGCGGAGCCAGTGCCAGCTTGTCCGATTGCGGTATGTCGTGCCGCACGGAACGAGGGAAGTGTGGCCTGGTGTTCTGAGTTTTGTTGTAGTGATTGGGGGATTTGAGGTCATTGGCCCGGTTTTCGCACATGCACGTGACCACGTTGGTTGAGAACCAAAAGGATCCTTGAATGCGTCAGTGACAAGAACAAAAGGTGATGGCCATTGAATGTTGATATGGTAGCGGTGGTATCGACGCCTCCAATCTTAGGCACTACCTGGTTTGGTTATTCGCATTGTCCTGCTCTTCTTGTAATCTCGAGGATCCCATAACAGCGCCTTGTAGTGACAGCCATGGCCGGGGCACAACGCATTGTCAATTCGTATTCACCCTTTTACAGCCCTTGTACCCCTAAACCGGTCCTCGTAGATCAGTAAGGGTCATATAATTTATCTGGAATACCTCTTAGGATATACATTGACTGATCATGTAGGAACCACGATGGTCGTCTCCTATTGTCGCGGCCTCTGCTAGGTCCACTTTTGTTTGAGAATCAAAATTCGGATGCAAGGGACCACTGTGCTAACGAGCGAAGTATGTTTCTTCTCTCCGGCGCCTGACTCGCGCTGTATTGGGATTGTCCTCTTATAAAGTCCCAAACAAGTAATGTATTGACTAATGCTGGTGGTGGCTCTCAGCCTTCCTTTCATGGCTGCGTCTCTCAATATACATGGCTATTGTGTCAGTCGCTATCGTCATTTCGTTTCACTTAAAACAACAGCCAACCGCCCTGGAGAAACGATTCGCATTACCGCTTGGTATCATCTTTTGGTTTCTCGCCTTGGCTTGTCTGGGCTCTGGATTTGCAAACTATATCAAGACCGTCACACGATACAGCAGACGGCGTGCCCTTGTTCAGTCTGGTTGGAAAACACAAGCGGTAAGCTATTCGACAATCATTCTCTCCGTTCGGACCAGGTCTGTATGTGTATCAAGGAAACTGGCTGAATGAATCTCAGATATTCACGGTCGTCGCAACCGCCATCGTTGCTACTTGCGTTTTATTTTTGTCTACAAATACTCGGCAAAGCCGCTGAGAGTGATGCCCTTGAGTTGGATTTGATTGATTACTTTATTTGTAGATACCCGGTAATTGCGATCAATAAATGAATAAAACAAGAGCCAAGTGATTTCTCTGGAACCTTTCGTACATTCTTCTTTCGTAACGCCCAATGAAAAGCCAATCGTGGATGCAAGGAAATATGTAACTCGCCAAAGACGAAGAAAATTCGAACTTCTTACATGTCCAGTATGGCCCAAGTGTTATCGTCAACCGTTGTATAGATCAAACCCTGGCTCAGAAGCTCGTCCGCTGCTTTCAACACGTCATTAACTTGCATTCCAACCCGGCTAGAAATATCTTGCACGTTGAGGCCTTCGTTGCTCTGCGGAGACGTTTCAAGAGTATGGTAAATTTTTCGGGCTGGGCCGGATAAGGGTGGCAGGGCACGTCCACTCTGGCCGCCGCCATTATCAGCAGCATTGCCGCCAACTCCGACCTGCTGTCCAGGGGCAGCGCCTCCCTGAGCAGCATTTCCTCCCTTCTTCAGCTGTTCCGGCGGTCCCCTCGTAAAGAATAAGTGAACAGCAGTAGCCTCGAGAAGGTGATATTGGACCTCATTGTGATCGGTGATTGGTCGAATTATATGAGCCCCCACATGCCTCTTACCACTGAAGCTCTTCAACTTGCCCCATACTCGAGCATATGAATTCTCCATCAATTTAGGTTTCGCATCCGTCGCTGTGTCCATTGAGTTTACCACATCCGAGTCGACCCACTGCTTAACCTCTACAGTACCCGTGCCATCGTCAATCTTGTATGTGATATTGGTGGTTTGCGTGGAAATATTCCGAATTTGTCCCACGAAAGTCAGCTTCGAAGGTTAGCTACACAAATGTACATTCCGAAAGGAATCGCAAACTCTGATAAAGTACCTGCGTGACCTCCACACCATCGACTTTGAAGTCCGCATCTGGGTGTGCTTGTTGCGCGTCGATAATCTGCTTGATAGTGACCGGTCTCAGAGTGTCTTTTCCGTATGTCTGCACATGTCGAAATGAGTAAGTAAAGGGAGCAGTCGACGGGGCTTAACGCATACCTTTGAGGCGCTGCCGCCGGGGCTGTTTTCCCCAATTCCCTGGGAGCCATTGTTCATAAATCCTCCACCCCCGGCATTATTTTGATAGTTGCCGTATCCGTAATCTTTCTTAAGTTAAGAACAGTCCTCAATGGTTGAATGGCATATAGGAAACCTACCCATACTTTTGGGCTGTGTACTCCTCCCGGCCAAATAATGTCTCCCTGGTACGCAGAACGCGACGCTCTATTTTCTCGTACAGGTAATGCTATAGTGTCGATGCTGAAGTCTTATATGGCTTAAAGATCCGGACTCAAATATTGTTAGGAAGACTGATCCTCAGTAGCAGACCTTTTACCGCAAACGAGTTGGAGCAAATCTTTGGTATACACGCCTCTCTGCGGCCAGGGCGACGCGCCTCTCGCGAACGCGTCTATAATTTGAAGTGATTATCTAATCTTATCTAGATACAATCTTTCCGTCGACGCCCCAAAAAATTCAAATGATCGTAATTAGCAACGTACATCTAAAAACAATCATAGAAGGGGTTTTCTGACGGTCACCTTTTCACCTTTTCCACCGGAATGCGGCGTCGCGACGTGTCTCCGGCAGCGTCGGAGAATGAATTCGACATTTCCAAAGCCCTTGTCGACCAAGTCAGTGACTCTGAAGCTGGCGACCTAGAAAATTCCAATGGCAAAAATGTGCGCCAGCCTGATCCCAGAGCCATTTTCGACTTTGATGGCGAGACACAAGATTCGGACGATGAAGCTTTCATTGCAGCCCACCAAGCCGCAACTAATCGAAAGTCTGCAAATGTGAAAGGGCGAAGTGTGAAGAAGGGGGGCGGATTTCAGGCCATGGGTATGGTTTTTGCTATTTTCTTTTTCGAACTTGTTGCGCGATACTAAATGTATTGTCCCCACAGGTCTTAATGCCAATCTTCTTAAAGCTATTACTAGAAAAGGATTTTCTGTGCCTACTCCTATCCAGAGGAAGACGATCCCACTGGTTCTGGATGGTCACGATGTTGTGGGTATGGCGAGGACGGGTTCTGGAAAAACGGCCGCTTTCGTAGTACCTATGATCGAAAGACTAAAGGCACACAGCGCGAAAGTTGGTGGCCGGGCGTTGGTTCTTTCTCCTTCGAGAGAGTTGGCGCTCCAAACTCTTAAAGTCGTGAAAGAATTAGGCCGTGGAACAGATTTGAAGAGCGTGTTGCTCGTTGGTGGTGACAGTTTAGAAGACCAATTTGGTTTTATGGCTACAAATCCGGACATTATCATCGCCACGCCAGGGCGTTTTCTACACCTTCAGGTCGAAATGTCACTTGATTTATCCTCGATTAACTACGTTGTCTTCGACGAGGCCGACCGACTTTTTGAAATGGGTTTTGCTGCCCAACTTACCGAGATTCTTCATGCTCTGCCCTCCTCGAGGCAGACGCTTCTATTCTCAGCAACACTACCAAAATCCCTTGTTGAGTTTGCCCGAGCTGGCTTGCAGGAACCAAGCCTCGTCCGACTAGACGCCGAGAGCAAGATCTCACCCGACTTGGAAAGCGCTTTTTTCACCGTTAAATCATCTGAGAAGGAGGGAGCTCTCCTTCACATCATTCAAGACGTTATCAGGATACCAACTGGGGAGACAGAAGCTGCGAAAAAGGCGAAAGACCAGACTCGCCAAGGTAGCAAAAAACGAAAGCGCGACCCGGATGATCCGAAGGCCAACGAATCACCTACAGCTCATTCCACGATTGTTTTTGCAGCGACGAAGCATCATGTGGATTACCTTGCTTCTCTCCTTAGACTTGCGGGGTTTGCAGTGTCTCATGTCTACGGTTCCTTGGACCAGACTGCTCGAAAGATACAAGTGCAAAACTTTCGCACTGGTTTGACCAACATCTTGGTCGTCACAGATGTAGCAGCTCGTGGAATTGATATCCCCATTCTGGCAAATGTCGTGAATTACGATTTTCCGGCTCAGCCAAAAATCTTCGTGCATCGCGTTGGTCGCACTGCTCGAGCCGGACAAAGAGGTTGGAGTTACAGCCTCATTAGGGAATCTGATGCGCCGTATCTCCTCGATCTTCAGCTTTTCCTTGGCAGGAAATTGCTCTTAGGACGAGAGGGTGGCGATCATGCTAATTTTGCATCGGATATTGTTGTCGGCAGTTTCAGTCGTGAGCAGTTGGGGAGTAGCTGCGAGTCTGTGACCAAATTGTTGGACGACGATACGGATTTGGAAGCTATGCGCACTGTCGCTGCCAAGGGCGAGAAACTATATATGAGAACTCGGAACTCTGCATCCACGGAGAGTGCCAAACGCGCCAAGGAGGTCGTGTCGTCTGAAAACTGGATGGCTTTGCATCCACTTTTCAAGAATGATGCTGATCCAATGGAGATTGAGAGAGAAAAGATGCTCGCTAAAGTGAGTGGTTTTAAGCCCTCGGAGACCATTTTTGAAATTGGTAACCGCGGAAGTGGCGGTGAAGCGGCCGAAATTATGCGGAAACGGAGGGAGAAGATTGAGCCAAAAAGGAGAGGAGCGCAGAAGGATCAGCAGTCTCAATTCCCATCAACTGCAGTTTCAGCTGGGCATGGCGAATCAGATCATGGCGAGGATGGTCATGATGATGAAAACGAGATAGAAGGGATCGCGACTGGCGCGGATGTGAATATGGATTCCGCATCTGAGGATGAATTGGAAGTGACATTTTCAAAGCCAAAGAACAAAAAGGACAAATCTGTGGCCGATCCATGGAAGGATTCTGAACATTTCATGTCTTACACGCCTGGCTCCAACAGCCTTGCCGAGGAGCGTGGATATGGCGTGCATTCGGGATCACAAGGATCCAACTTCGTTGAAGCAGCCCGCGGGGCCACCATGGATTTAACCAACGATGAGTCCAAGTCATTTGCTGAGCCCAGCAGAGCTGGACGACTACGGTGGGATAAAAGGTCCAAGAAGTATGTCTCACGAGCCAATGATGAGGATGGCTCCAAGGGTGCAAAGATGATTACAGGCGAAAGTGGTCAGAAGATTGCCGCTAGCTTCCGAAGCGGACGGTTCGACGCATGGCGAAAATCTAACAAGATTGAACGACTTCCCCGCACGGGAGAGATTGAGAGGATACCCCATAGTATTGGAAACATGCCAGGCAAGCAGTTTAAACACAGGTTGGAGAAGGCGCCGAAGGAGGCCGATAAGTTCAGAGATGATTATCATCAGAGGAAGAAGAGAGTGGCTGAAGCCAAGGAAAAGCGGATTGGCAGATTCAAGGAGGGCGAAGGGAAACGAGAAATCAAGGGCACGGACGACGTTCGGAAGCAGAGGGAATTGGCGGAGAGACGACGCCAAAAGAATGCTCGTCCTTCCAAGAAGAGGAAGTTTTAATTACTCAGAGCTCATACTGGCATGGTACTCTTCAATATCTTTCTCATCTAAGGTAGTGATGTGTGGCGATTTTGTATTACACTCATCTTCATATATGGCGTTTGATTACAAAACTAAATTTCAGGTCTTGTGAGATTAGTCGAGAACATCAGGGACTTTCATGTTTCATGTTTCATCCTCACATCCCTTTTCTCTCCCCCCCCCCCCTGGCCCTCAGCTTTGAAACCCCCAAAACTTGAAGAAATTTAAACCACTTTTTCGACAACATTACCTCGAAAAGTCGCCTAGTGATGCCATGTGAGCCGAAATTCGAAACCATCCTCTGTCGCCAAAAGGTCGGACAGCGGGATTTGTGGAACAACAATAACCCGAAAATGAATACTGACAGTGAACGGAGCGGCATCATGTCAAGTCTGTCTTAACATGGGCCCATCCTCATAAATTACACAACCATGATTCCACTGGACGGCCAGCCAGTGTAGCACACAAGGGGCGATAAAAAGCAGACGGAATTAGTGGGTCCTCCGTGTTCTACGGACCCATTTTATTATCCCAAGTCTCGGAGGATTTTACTTGGGCTGACCACAAAAATCACCCGATAAACGACTCCAAGATTTCTATGCATCCTGGGGTGTTTCTTCCTTGCACTTGAGCCCGCGGACATACCCGGTCGGCGACAGCGGAATAGTATCATATACTTCCGTACGTCACCGTACCTTGCACAGTCTCAGCGGTCAACAATTCTGTCACTGCCGAGATTTTTTCCCGGCAAAAATTTTTTTTGGCAGGGATGCGAAGAACCGCGTCTGTTTTCTGACCAGAAAGCTGGTATGCTATAACCAGCAGATGCACGGATCAAGTTGCTTGCCGACAGAGGGAATCTGGGTTGAGGACACCAGCCTGTACCTGAGAGAATTAGAGACAACTATTCCTGGCATTGTATTGCTGACATGCGAACGCAGCTAGGGAGTGGTTGCACAAGCACCAAGACACATTAACAGAGAGATTAAGAGTCTGACGTGAACATGCCAGGAGAGACATGGCCCATGGTATTATTGAGCCTTAAGCCACCAACCTGGGACCATTGAAGGGCAAAGAACACGGTCCTGAAATCACTTCTCTGCCCGATCGTGAGAGAAAATACCCCGAGCTCGGCCGAATTAACTTACAACAACTTAGCACATTGTGTCTGAAGACGACAGGGATAAGGGTTTTCTATTTGAATTTTGTGCTTGAAACGCCGTTCGCTCCTTCGTCGGAAATGGCTTCGCGCGGAAGAAGTGGCGGACTCATGGCTTATGACCCACTGAGGATTGGAACCCTGGTCCACTGCCACGCGAGGTATGCATAAAGGCACAGGACTGGAAGATTTGCGTCCGACGCTATCCTTGCACCAAAGTCCTAAAAATTCGTCATTGGCATGAGACGGGACCGACAACCGAGTTACCGGGCAAGGGGGAAATTGGTATGAACGAGGAGGAAGGCGTCAAAAAGAAACACACGCAGAAGTCTTCAGTTTGAGCAACCACTTTACGGCTTACGGGATGAAGCAAAAAAAGGAAAAGATCCTCTTCATTCAATGCCTGCATGGGGCGGGATAAATCTGACGACCGTGGACACGGGAATGGGGGGGTTCAATTTGAAATCGCCGTTGGCATCATCATTTTTGACGGCGCTATTGACCAGTTCTGCTTGCTTTTGCAGATTAGATTGGAAAATGTTCGGGCTCAGTGGCTCCTGTCGAAAATTTATGCAACACCATTATTATTTATTTCCGAAGGAACAGGGATTAACTGCATTACAAAGTACATCATGTCGTTGGGCCTCTGACTCGGTGAGTCTTTTTTGCGCCCGGCCCCTTCCCTTTTCCCCCTTTGGGCCGGCCAACCTCTATTCACCCGAACAGGGCTCCAGCGCTTGACGACCAAAATGAGCCTAACAAAGCGCCATGAATCGCTTCTGCGACCACGGTCGTACTCGTGGTGCTGGCTGTGGTGGAAACTGGCTCACCGGACGGCCGTGGACGATCCTCGTTACGTTTTGATACGGGCGAAAAGTATACATTTTCCGCGTTTCTTCTTGTCCCTTCCCTGCGGCTCACTTGTTTGCCCACCGTGGCTCAGTCGGCTCAAGCTAAAAGTCGGGTCATGCCATCGCCATGTGTTTCTTGGATTTTGGGCGGACCCATCGTCTCACTCCACTCACTCTTACCCTAGTGTTGTGAGCTATCGCCGATTGGGTCTTTCGTTTGCATCAAGTGTCACGAGTCTTGCAGAAAGGTAATAAGCCATCTGGACGCGAGGGACAATCTGCTTTGGGCTACGATCTCCGACATGCAAGATGCAATGCAAAATGCAATGCAATCAGCCCAAAATCGCGTGTGAGTCCGAGCTTTTTGGTCAAAATTTCTGCGAGTCGTCTCAAATAATCTGCTCCAGAAAGGGGTCTTCACGACTCTGCGTGAATCGCTCTCCAGGCACCACGAGACAGTTTTCGGGGAGCCGGTACCTACCTCCAAGAATTTCTGAGGTTGGTCCTGGACCAACTGACTCGTGGTCGCGCCCCACATTAGCATGGTGCTGTCGGGTTTTTTCTCCTTGTCGACAGCCGGGCCAGCTACTGTACCAGAGCCAATGCTAGCCACACACCAGGGCATATACACACCCATACATGGTCAAAAACCTACAGGGAATCGACCTCTTTCAACCACGGAAAGGGGGCAATAGCAAATCACCGGGACGTGGGACCCTGTAACTCGGTCCACCGTCGACCTGGCGCAGGGGTTCTTAGGGTAGTGCAGCACCAAGTCAAAAACGATTGTGGTTGCTTCGTGGGATGGTGGCATATTGGACGGCAGCCACGCATCGACAATGCCCTGACTCGCGACCGCTTGAAAAATGCCCGTACAAATTTCCTAGTTTCTCTTCGATGCCGCTCATTAGCGGTCCTTTGCCACTCTTGTGCGGCTGCATCAGAGCAGAGACCATCATCCCCTTGCAGTTAAGCATGCGACATTGTGGGTGCCTCACGCGCTGTGTTGGATCCAAGTCACTTTGGTTGGAAGCACTCGTTTGGTGCTCAGCATAAGGCGAAAAGCATGGCCAGGGCGACTCGACATGGACTATCGATCATCCCGTCCTTTCGGACACAACCGAGGAACCGTCTCGGACCCGTCCAGCAACCCGGTTGTTCTACCCAAGGCTCTTATGTGCATTTTCGAAAGATAGGACGATATGGATTTGAGTTACGTTTATAGGTCCTTGCGGCCCCTCACGGTCCAGCAAGTTGGTATCTCCCAGCCTGATGTAGCGTACTGCACGGTACCCTGCCTACTTTTTATTACCCAACGCCGCCGCCTTACGGTCGACCAAAGTTTCGGCGTAAACAAGGGTTGAGATCAAGATCTATAGTTTGTTCAATCCTAGCAACTCTTTCCATGTGTCTTGATGAGCCTATCTGAAGCCAGCGTGCCACCTTTCTGGTGCTCTCGCTGTTACTGATTTGCGACATTCGCCGAGTGAAACCTGACCTTCCTCCGGGTTCTCTCTTGAGAAGGTCACCGATCCCAAGACAAGCTCCCGAAGCCTCTGACACACTTGCCCACTCCCCCGGGTATTCATTGCTCATCGACTCGCCAATCTGCTCTGGTTTCAGAGGTGAATTGCCCGGAGGGCTATTCCCGCCTCCCAGGGGCATACGATATAACGTCAGTCGTTGTTGCTTCATTTCTTCTGCATTTCGCCAACGAAGGTCGACGTGGATGTACCGCATAGTGCTACGACGGTATGCGGTTCTGTTCTTGCGCCGAATCCTCATGGGAAGCTGATCCATCCTGGGGTGTACCAGATATTTCTCTCTTTCAAGACCCTCAAAGGGATACTTCCGGCCGATCAAGTTTGAGGGAATCATCTAACTTGGCGCCGTGATTATCCACAGCGCTCCTGGATCCATCATCCCGTTCGTGTCGCTTACTACCGTCTATTCTGAAGTCTTTAGGCCATTCAATGTGCCCACGATTAACTCTCAGTCATTCTCATCCTAATACACTATCGTCTGTTGCTGAGCTTCCGCAGTGTTGTTGATCCAGTTTGTTAAGTCACGCTGAATTTTCCCTTGGATTGTGCGCAAAGTGGGGGACCTCCTAGTCTTTTCCATGTCTCTTCCCGGGACCCCCTCTCACGGTTCAGGACGCTGGGATACACAAGATGAATTGAACACGTTGGCAACGATCTCACGAGGTCTCCGTCTTGATGAGATTACAAATAAAGAGCCTGATGAAGGTCCCAACGTCAGAGGCCACCGTGTAGAGGCTGGACCTCAGTATGAAGCACTTCCAAGCCGATACCCCCAGATGCCATACGATTCCTTTACATCCAGCCCTTCGGAGAGGAGCCCCTTTCTCCCACAATCTGGATATGTCGCGCATCAAAATAAACCGATAGCACAGTCTGGCTCCTTCTCCCCTTCTGTACAGGACTCTTTCGAAGTCGGTCGACTTGGCGCCCAAGACGATCCATTGCAATCCGGAAGAACTCAGCGCAGATACAAAGCGCATGTTCCATCAGCCTGTCTGAATTGCAAGCGTGCTCATCTGAAATGCGAGTCGACAAGGCCATGTCCACGCTGCTGCGCCATGGGAAAGCAGGCGAGTGGTTCCCACGACTAGAAAGCGCCATTTCATTTTACTAATCTTATAGCAGGATAGCTGCGTCGACGTCCAACATAAAAAAAGAGGGAGGCCTCGTCTGCGAGACGAACGAGATAGAAGTTCAGAAGGCGGCTCACAAAACGTGCCACAACAATCGACTGGACCTCCTCTGCTACCGCAGGAGCAGTTTGCGACGAACTCTCCTTCATTTCAAAGGCTACAATCTGAATTTGACGCAAAACGCACACAGAGCGTTCCCTTTCAAGGTGAGTAGGAAGTTTGTGTTGCCTTGACGCATTCGAGCTAACCTGCCTACAGAACGAAAGGGCTTCGGCTCCCCTCAGTCCCAGGCGGTAGCTCCTCCTGAACTTCGGTCTGCCGTCATCGCCACTGCCCTTTTGTCGTTGGATCTTGTCATTGCAAGCTACGATCAAGCTTTTCAAGAAGCCATTGCACCGGGAGCGGACATGAGAGGACTGAGCTTGATGGACTTGGTGGCAGAGCATGACCGACCCAGTTTGCAAAACTTGAGAAGAGAGCTTAGAGACGAACGTGATACCCGAGAGCCCGCATACTTAGCTCCAATTTACGGCTCCACTGAATTGGCCACGATTGGGTCGATTCCACTTCAGGAAGCCCTGTCCTCGACGGCTGCGTATCAGGAGCGGATTGATACCTTCAATTTTAATTTTTCTGGTTCGACGCCACGACGGCTTCAGGCTCGAATCTGCCTAGCTAAGACGATACCATTCTTTGCCGTTGTCTCGCTTTACCTACCCCCTGATCCCAGACTGGCTCCTCCGTCGCCTTTCAGCACTCCCAGCCAATATCAAATGTCTCCTCGGGATGTGGCCTTGCCAGATGATAGCCCTGGTCTTCGGCGACTCTCCAGCGCATCATCCGTGTCGACTTCCCAGTATTACACACATTCAAACACAAGTCCGGCGCTCACTCAGCTGAATTCCTACCCGCGGCCGCCTTCAGATTTCTCTCGTCGCGCCTCAGCTAGCCAGCGGGGTTATGCATCCGCTTTACTCTCTGCCAAAAGCCTGCCCATGTCCGGAAGCCCACCGTTTTTAGAAGGTAGAGGCTCATATTCAACAACTACCGAACCATATACCTCTCAGGCTCAGGGGCTTGGGATCCGAGATGATAGTGGGACAAGGGGACTTCGACTGCCGCCACTTCGCGCAGTAGGCTCTCTTCTACACACAGACGATGAAGCGTCAGAGCCATCTCACGTACCTCGCGTACCTCCTCAAGAAAACTCAGGCGGACAGTCTTCGGATGCCCCTAGCAGCCCAGTAAGAAGGAAACGGTTGAGGATCGAAGAGATGATCGAATAAGCAAATACCTTGGCCATTACGCTTGACGTAAGGGCATTAATTTGCGATCCGGTCACTGTATATTGACTGTCGCCCAACTCATCATTTGGACTAAGCGCGGGAGGATAATTTTCTACTCTTTCTGTTCGTATCCAAATCTCGCTTTGGAGGCACACTTGCCGAGAGAGATGCCAACACTTCGTGCGCTGATATCTTTCTGCTCATCATTTTCACTTTATCGTTTCATCCGAGGCGGATGCTATGATCAACCATATCGCATAATACCTTTCTTTCCCTATGTAGTATTGGGAGCTGCTTGCATACTTTTAGGTCACCCAGTGCAGCATTTCTAGCGCAGGAATTGGTCATATACGGCGTAGCATTTTGTGTGGCATAGCGCTCTGTCCTTAAAGTTTCCTTTCCTTTCCTTTTATTTTCATTTTCTCTTGCGATTCCTTCACTCTAGACTTGGCAACGAGAGCATTTGTTTCAGCACAGCCATATCATTTACTTCCTCCTTTTCTGGCATAGTCTTATTTTGTATGTACATACAAAGTCATTAAGCTGCATGAGCGACACTAATCTAGTCGTCACTTTCCCTCTTTTCTCTTTCTATCATTGCCTCATTAATCGACGGCAAATGACAAGATTACACATACAAATATAATCAAAAGTAACTATTACAGTGTTGATCTAGGAATTATTTAATATAATTATACACCCAGGCACGCACATCATCACTCAGGAAATCTGAATATCTTCCAGTCAGAGAAGCAAAGTGGAAATAATCTAAGCTTTGTTAATAAAGCAATATGCCAATGGAAATATCAATATACTTCCACGGAAGCGTTGTCTTTGCAAACAGCCAACGGTTGTGGATATACGCGCAGCCAAAATGCCTAATGAATGAGCAGCAAAAAGCAGTAAGTTATGTCCTAGATCGGCCTAGGGGTTTTTATGCCTGTAACGCCATCTTTCGCCCTTCTTCATGAACTTTCCCACGAATTCACGTATGCGCACGGAATAGCAGTCCTACAGCGCACATGTCGCTGATCCGGGTATACTATCCCAGCGGCTTCTGTTTCTTCTTTTTCTTCTTCTCCGACGCCTTCTGGAAATCTCTCCAGCTACCGATCCGCTGCTCTCTGCTATCCTCCCACGCCTGCTCATGTGATCGCTTCCGTTTGCGCATCTCAATATCCTCGTCTTCCTTCTTCTGCTGACGTCCTTCTTCTTGCATCTGTGCCTTGATCTGTCTCCGTCGTCGGAGCTCGTTGTCCATCAGTACCGCCTTGGTCTTTTCCCGCCAGTCCTTGGCAAATTCGGGCGTCTTCAGTTCCGGACTGTCAACGGTCCATTTGCGTTCGCGAATCAGTAGCATGCGTGCATCGGCAATGGCTTCATCCAAGCGTTCTCGCGTCTTTTCATCCAGGAGCTCGGTCTGCGCCTTCTTTAGCCGGTCGAAGGCGTCGGGTGCGGATGGGTTGGTTGTTTTGTCGGGATGGATGAGAAGTGATTTCTTCTTGTAAGTTGCCTTGATGTCGGAATCGGGAACGCCCGGTTGGAGATCCAGAACGGCGTAGCTATTCAAGAACAAAACTTGAGTTAGTTTTTGCGGTGTGAAGGCAGCACGTGGGGTCGGTGCGTATGGTGGAAGGACAGGTGTAAAACGTACGCATCTAGTCGAAATGATTTAAGAATTCCTGTTGCAAAGAAGGAAAAGATTAGACAGAATATAACAGAAGCAGGTTGGCAAAAGAACATACTATCTATTTCCGCGTCCTTGTGTGCAAATAACGTTAGTTGATTCGATTGGGACGAAGAAAGTGACAGGATGTGTTTTTGCGCTCACTTTGTTGAAGTCTTTCTCTTCTCGCTCAAGCTCGGCGAGAATATCCCTGTCGTCGTCTGCCATTATGTTTCAAAAAGCGACTCCTGGGAGAGTATTCCCCCACGGCTTCAAGATTCGAGTTGAAGAAGTCGAGATATCAGAATCACTGCCGACGTAGTTGCTTCAGGCAAGAGTCGCGTGTCGGGGTGTCGGCGATTGCTGGGAAAGACGGAGTTTAGCCGCGGGTCTAAGCGAAAGATCTTTTCCAGCAAGTGAGATAACTCTGTTAAAGTTACTTTTTGTCCCGGCTGTCCATGTCTTCACAAGCAAAATAATTATAGTCAAACCTGAGACATAATTCCTAACTTCACAACATACACATATCGACTTGGACAACCAACTAAAACAATAAAAAATGGCCCCTGCGCTTCAAGGCGGGGTTAAGCCCTCCAACCCCAAGAATCAAGCGCGCTCGCTGAAGAGAAAGCGTGGAGAAGAGGACCTGTCTAAACTGCAAAAGGCGGTGGAGGAGCTGGTAAGTTGTTTTGAGGCTGTTCATAAATGTGAAGATATCACGTTGGAAACTTGGCGGGCTGATATGTTATATTCCCAAAGGATCCGAAAGAAGCAGAAATCAAAGATGTTGCCGACCTGCCGCTCTCGACACCGACGGCTGACGGTTTGGAAGCCTCTCATTTCAAAACTCTGACCGATATTCAGAGAAAGGCTATTCCGCTCGCGCTCAAAGGGAAAGACTGCTTGGGTGCTGCGAAGACGGGAAGCGGAAAGACACTGGCGTTTTTGATTCCGGTCCTGGAAAACCTTGTACGGAAGAGATGGACTGAGTTTGACGGGCTAGGTGCTCTGATCCTGTCGCCAACTCGGGAATTGGCGATTCAGATTTTTGAAGTTTTGCGCAAGATTGGACGATACCATACATTTTCGGCAGGATTAGTCATTGGTGGAAAGTCTTTGAACGAGGAGCGGGAGCGACTCTCGCGAATGAATATCCTCGTGTGCACGCCCGGCCGAATGTTGCAGCATATGGACCAGACAGCGGCATTTGATGTGGATAATCTGCAGATGTTAGTTTTGGATGAGGCCGACCGTATCATGGATATGGGTTTCCAGTCGACAGTGGATGCGATTATCGAGCACCTTCCCAAGGAACGACAGACCATGCTTTTCAGTGCTACGCAGACGAAGAGAGTGTCGGATTTGGCTCGATTGAGCCTGCGCGAACCAGAGTACATCTCGGTGCATGAGGCAGCAACGAGCGCGACTCCTTCGACGCTTCAGCAGCATTACGTCGTCACACCACTTCACCAGAAGCTTGATACGCTGTGGAGTTTCATTCGCGCCAATGTAAAGTCGAAGATTCTGGTTTTCCTCTCGTCAAGTAAGCAAGTTCGATTCGTCTACGAAAGTTTACGCCATCTCCAGCCTGGTATTCCGCTTTTGCATCTACACGGACGTCAGAAACAAACGTCCAGATTGGATGTCACCTCTTCTTTCTCAAGAGCAAAGCACTCTTGTCTGTTCGCGACCGACGTGGTGGCTCGAGGTTTGGACTTTCCGGCTGTTGATTGGGTGATTCAATTTGACTGCCCTGAAGACGCTGATACGTATATTCACCGTGTTGGACGTACCGCCCGATACGAACGCGACGGTCGTGCCGTCCTGTTCCTCGATCCGAGCGAGGAGGAAGGGATGCTGAGACGTCTTGAACAAAAGAAAGTGCCCATTGAGAAGATCAATGTGAGGCAAAAGAAGCAGCAGAGTATCCAGAATCAACTTCAGAACATGTGCTTCAAGGATCCCGAGTTGAAATATCTCGGGCAGAAGGCGTTCGTTTCCTACGTCAAGTCTGTTCATCTTCAAAAAGACAAGGATATCTTTCATCTTGACAAACTTCCTCTAGAGGAATTCTCTGCTAGCTTGGGCTTGCCCGGAGCACCCCGTATCAAGTTCCTCAAGGGTGACAACGCGAAGGCTCTCAAGAATGCGCCTCGACAGGCGGTATCTGACTCAGAGGAAGACTCAGAGGCAGAGACTAAGAAGAATAAGGAGGACAAGAAGAAGGAGGTTCGGACGAAGTATGACCGCATGTTTGAGAGGCGGAACCAGGACGTCTTGGCCGACCACTATGCGAAGATGATTGGCGAGGGCGGCCACGAAAAAGACCATGAGCAGGATGCCGACGAGGACGATGACTTCTTGCAAGTCAAACGACGATTCAATCACGACGAAATTTCCGACCTATCAGACGCCGAGGACAACGGGGCAGAACAGCGCGCTGACAAGAAGGCCAAGGTGGTACCCATTGGCAACGCGGAAGAGGCTCTCGTCATCGACTCGAAGCGCAGAGAGAAATTGCTCAAGTCGAAGAAGAAGCTTCTCAAATACATGGGCAAGGGAACGAAGCTTGTGTACGACGACAACGGCGAAGCACACGAAATCTACGAGATGGAAGACGAGGATCAGTTCCGCGAAAAGGGTCCTGCCGAAACTCAACGCGTCAAATTCTTGGACGAGGAGCGCAAGAGGGTGCAGGAAGCCGACATTGCGGACAAGCAGCTCTTCAAGGAGAAGAGACGGGAGAAAAAGGAAAAGCGCAAGGCGAGAGAGGCTGCCGAATCTGCGCCATACGAAGAACCCGAGGAGGGAGAAGAAGAAGGAGAAGACGTGGAAATGTCCGATGCAGACGTCGAGACCGAGCCATCTGCAAAACGCCCGAAGAAGTGGTTCGAGGATGCTTCAGAAGACGAATCGAAGCCTTCGAAACGCCGCGATGTGGCTGCTGCGCACGAGCCGGAGACATTGGAGGAATTGGAGGCATTGGCTTCAGGATTGCTCAATTGAGCGGATTGCAAAAGTTTTATACCATATTTTCTTGTTTAATAGGCTTAATTACATTCATGTGGGCTCCCATTTTGATTTCGACACTCAATTTCATAGCGTTATCATCCGTTATCCATGTAGCAAATCTGGGTTTAGAGACAAAACTTTATGGTGTTGATGCTTCAAGTATTCTCTATGACAGGCATGATTCGATTTTGTTAAAGCTGAGACTTCCGTCATCAGGATTATAGCTTTTGCGTCAAGACCTGCAATCGAAATGGTGGCACTGGAGATTGTTTTGACCTTGTGGGTGATGATGAATCCGAACCTTCTAGGCCCGTCGCGGAATTAGGCTGACCGCCTTCGGGCCGTGGTGTCTTGGACCCGGTAAATCAGTCATGACACATCTCTGATAACGAAAACCCCCATATTATTTCCCGAGTAAACTGTTACTCTAGTCCCCTTGTCTATCGACGTGAACAAAACAATCCTACATCTGTCCATTTCTCACGCCTCTCTCAAGGTCTTTTAGCCGCCTTCCCGGAGATTAAGTCGATTCCAGATGGAACGGGCGTGATTGACGCCTACGTCCTACTACCCCGCCATGCCCGACAATCCTCATCTCAATGGCCACGCTGCTCATAACGATGCATCTGCTGGCTCAACTGCAGAGTCAGACTTTAAAGTCATCTGCCGCCGCGTGAATGAGCGCATCAATGCCTTTCTTCTTTCCGATGCGCCCTCAAAACGTCTCAAAACCGTCCAGAATCAAACCCGGATATCTCTGGACGTTATCCGCGAGGCGCTTACATTGTACAGGTATGGTTATGGGCAATTTGATTCCACAGTGATACCACATTCTCCTAGATGGAGGTAAAATGTGGTTTGGAACCCTTGAGATTTGCAGTCTATCAAGGAATCATGGAATTGGCTGTCGAGTTTCTTGCGCTGACAATTGAACGTTTATGTTTAAGGCTCGACGAAGTTTCTCTTTCCTACAACGGCGGAAAGGATTGCCTAGTTCTACTTATACTCTTTCTTGCCGCGCTTTATGAGATACCCTCTTTCCGATCGTCGCCCTCATCACATCTTCAGTCCGTCTACATAGTATCTCCCCATCCATTCAAGGAAGTCGACGACTTTGTCGAACACAGTATTAGCACCTACCATTTAAACCTCGCAAGATATGCAAAGCCCATGAAAGAGGCATTCGCGGACTACCTCCACGATCACCCGAGCGTCAAAGCCATTATGGTTGGTACGCGGCGTACAGATCCACACGGAGCGGAATTGAAACACTTTGATCCAACAGATCGAGGATGGCCGACGTTCATGCGCGTACATCCGGTGATAGACTGGCATTACGCGGAAATTTGGGCAGTAAGTGTTTCGCGTGTTCGCTTGATTATCGCCATAGCGATGGTTCCAATATGACTGGGAAACTAACTTGTTGGCAACAGTTCATTCGGCATCTGGAGATACCCTACTGCCCGCTGTACGATCGCGGTTACACATCACTAGGCGGAACCACGGATACCCATCCCAATCCGTCGTTGCGGCTAAATTCTGCAACGGAGAATGAAGTCGAGGCATCCTCCAAGACACATTTCCGCCCAGCATACGAACTTGTGGCGGATGATGACGAACGGCTTGGAAGAGATAAATAGAAGATCGAGCATGGTAGCGATAGCAGGAGCGGCGTTTATAGAATTGCATTTTTTGGACGTTGAAGAACAAGAATAGTGGATACTATTACGTTGATTCCAATGTTTATAGATATTGTATGTAGTAGAAGATTTATCCTGAGCATTTGGAGGGCCCTTTCTGGATTGCACAATGTCCCGTCGGGATACACTGTGGCGGCCCTCACTCTTGGCGTTTGGCGAACATTTTGAGCATTTTGTTATATAGAGAAGAGGACCTCGTCAATTTCAAAGCGGGATGTATCGTTAGAAGACTTCCTAACTGTATCATGGGGCGGCAATCTTCTAATGACTCTTCTAGTCCGTACCAGTGGGCATGAATTTTTCTATTTGGTCATCGTATTCCCCAAGTCTGCCGTCCTTAGCTCGCCATTATCATTGATTGAAGAAACAAATGGAAAAGGAACACCCGAGAAATTGGTATCTCCCATCAAACCATGTCAAACTGTGTCAAACCAAGCCCAGAAACTCCAAAACAAACCGAATTCCGGTGGAAAACAAGTATTACCGCCAATAGTTCTAATGGACGTTCTTCCGCAAATACATAAGTCATCTCACTTGCTCTCTTCCCAGGGACTTTCTTTTTGTTTCATCTCGGATAGCCTTCAAAGAAACTACGCAATTCCGGGCACTCTCTTGGCCTCTTGATGGAGCTCCGTGTCGCTCACTCACCCATCACTCTGTGGATAGTGCAGCCCAAAGCCACTTAGGTATAACTTCCTTAGCTGGTAGGGCCACAGATTCGCGACGAAAAGCTTCAATATGCAATTCATTCACGACGCGAGTGCGCCGGGTCCCGGTGAAGCGACGATATTCTTCTAATGCACTGTGGAATTTCTATATCAGTAACTCAGTTGCGATTGAGCATGTTTGGGAAATGGCACATGGGTGTAGGAGAGCCAAGAAAAACACAAGGGGACTTACGCTGCGAGATTCCATCTATTCCCATCCAAGCAGGTAGATGATTAGTGTTAGCATATGTGTCAAATCCCAATGGCACGAAGGGATAGAGTATAAGGTAGAAAAGTCTCACCCTTGTAACCTCCGCAGACAGCCAACTACTGTGCCAGTTCGATGCCGACCCATGCCACAGCTGATGAGCAACGGGAAGTTACTCAAATTGATGACCTCGTGAAGAGCATCGAGAACACATTGTTCTGTGAGAGGGTCCCACGGATTACCGCCTGATGGCAATAATTAGTTTGGAAGCGAAACGTGAAACGAGTAATGCATGGGGAAAGGAATGACGATTAGAGAAATTGACTCTGAGGAATCGGGGTGGATCGCCTCAATTGCAAATGAGAAGAAAGAGTTGAGAATTGCTGAGTGTAGTCAGGAGAAAAGAGGAGTGTCGGACCTTCTGCTAGTCCCATGTGGTGGATCGTCAATTCATTTTCATCTGCAAACGCGAGGACCATTTCGTTGGGTTCCTCGACAGCTGAATTGTTAATGTTAGCATATTATTTACTTAATTTGTTTTGTACATGCTATGCCATGCAAAAGCTCAAATGAAGGATTTTCTCGGAGACAACAAGGACAAAAAGCATGAAATTTGAAAACATTGATAGCTTACCAAGCCATACTATCGTTTTGAGTTTGAGAGATTCAAGAAAAGGTATATTGATAGCGGTCGGTTGGCCGGCACGGTAGACACCTTCTTCAACCTGATTTAATGTTAGATGAGTGAATGCAAAGCCAAAAGGAAGCAGAGGAGAAATAATATGCGTCATACCAATGCAAAGTTTACCGGCGGGACGAAGCGGCTGAATGTTGAGGGCATGGGTGATCTGAAATCTAGTCAGGAACCGGTAACTATTTAGTATGGTTCAGGCAGATATAAAATGCAAAAATGTAAGACATGCAGCGAGGAAGAAGCATAAATAGAAGATATTTCAAATTCTTAGCAACATGAATTCCGTGTACAAGTCACATTAAATGTTGAAAGGCGCAGTGAGAATGTTCTGGCGCAATTGAGATTGGACAGCATAAGGATTTTCCATCAACCAATTCAAGGTCATGGCATTATAAAGAGAAATCAGAATAGATAAAGAAAGTAAGAAAATAAAAATTAATTTACCTGAGTGCAATGCAAATAACTGATCAAAGATGGGATATTAGGATATTATGCATTGTATAGGATAAGTTGTCGCCGATGTCTCGGAGCTCCGGGGTGGCTTGATACGGACAACTAGATGGCCCATAGATGCAACATCACTTTTCGCCGAAACTCCAAATCCACAACCAATTGAAGGTTGATTTTTGGACAGACATAACCTTCCTCATCAACGCAATGGCTACCAATGTGCCTGCACTGGCCGCAAGGCACTTCAATCTTGGTGGGAAAGAGGTTTACCTGTTAGTTGCCATTCTCCAAACGTTCCGCTTGCCGTCTCCTTACTGATCATACATGGTGCAGGCCTAATTTTACCCTCACTCTCCTCCGCACGCCCTTTCTGCCACCCAATTATGCCAGCTTCATCGTACCATTGAATCTGAACAAGCTCGACATTCGCGACTATCTTTTCCATGCCTATGGCGTCAAGGTGGTCAGCGTCCGATCATACGTCCAACAGCAACGAGTGCGACAGGACAAGCCGGGCTCCAGAATGCCTGCGCCTAGACGGTGGTACAGGCCGCGTTCAATCAAGAAGATGACGGTAGAAATGGATAAGCCTTTTGTTTGGCCCGAGGAACCTGAGGACTTTTCGTCGTATGTTGTCATGTCTCGTTTTCGTGATGCAAAGTTGGATACTAATCGGCAAACAGTTGGGAGAAGGAACGTTACGATGCCGCTGCGAAATCTCAGGAAAAAGAGCAGGAGAAGTACCGACCAGACTATGCTGCGAAGCCGACTGCTGAGAGAAAGTCAATCGCCGAGCAGGCGCAAGCGTTGCTATCAGGCAAGGAGCAATGGCGGCCACAATGGGTGGACAGCGGTGCACCGGTAGAAGTCGAACAGGATCTGCCTATGTCGCGCGATTCGCGACCCTAAGGAAGGGGAGGTTTGTCTTTAAAATACCCAATGGTCAAAAGATATTGAGAGAAGTGGGTTGTATAAACGCGGCCGTGCACAGAGCGGTATTGTATATTATATATACTGGGGTTTCATTTCGATGGCGCAGGATCAGCTTTTCATCAAATACGGCATTGGGCATGATAGAAATTTTATTCAAAGACTTTAATCAACAGTCCTATTGATGCTGATTATGTGGTTTGTTTGGTGAAGAATTGATGTTCCTCAAAGCCAGCCGCGTTATGTCTCACTGGGCGTTTAAGGGTCTTGAATTCACATGTTATATTTAACGAGATGGCCTTGAGCGCAAAAAGAGTCTAACATATATACATAAGCGTCTAGGTTTTAGTGAAAAAGCTTTTTGATTTGTTCTGCAACAGTAGATTGCAACCCCCATATTGCTTAATCTGGAGGAGTAAAGAAGTCGGAAAGAGATGGTGGTTTGAGTTATCTTCATCCTCGGTTCGGGATGACATGATGACATGACATGCTATCGCCCTGTCGCCTTTCCCCCCCAACCATCTACAACGATCATCCTCTCTCACACTGTGTACAACTACTCTCTCTCTCAACAATAACACTCTAGATTTCATTGTTTCTTCTCAATAATATCTTTTCCCCTGTAAATATCGCAAATAATCCCAAAGTGTCTATATTCCACCAGTTCTACTGTCCTGGACCGTCTGCCGGTCCGCCCAACTCACCCAACTGTCACTCGACCAATTGATCGCATCATGGAGCCCGAACAATACTCTCAACTGCCAATAGTTGCATTAGATGATCAAGCAGTTGTGCTGCCAGGCCAGATCCATACCACACCAACGGGAGATCGAGCTGATCTTCTCGCTATTACTAACAGTTACGCAAATCGCAAATTGAAATTGCCTACTGCTTACAGGGGTTCTCTAGTGATAGGATGCTTTCCTCTAAAGACGAAAGGCGGGGAGTATAATGCAAACAAACGATTTGAATATCAACCAAAGGACCTTTATGAATATGGCACGTTGGCGGAAATCTGGGGATGGGAAGACAAGGTCGGTTATGGCGGAGTTAGACTCCACGGCGTGGCAAGGCTGAAGCTTGATGGGATCGATAAAAGACGACCGTTTATAACCGGAAATGTGACCTGCTATAAAGATCAAAGTATGGTCTTTTCAGATTTGCTAAATGAGTATGGTCATGTTTATTAACCTGCCTTTGATTAGGTATCGACCCCATGGACGTAACTGGAAGGGAGCTTCTCAGTCAACTTCAACGTCTATCGCTCGAAGCAATAACATATACAAGATTAACTTCTTTGCTAAGGTTTTCTCCTTTTCCGATTACGGCGGCTGCAGAGAAAACAATTCGGAGCAAAGGGCTGGATGAAGCCGGTGAATTGGCAGACTACTTGGTGGCGCTTCTAAAGCCTACTTATGAAGAGCAGTTGCGTATTTTGTCAATGGTGGATGTGAAGGAGCGCATGAAGTTTCTCATCGATTTGTATCAAAAACAACTTTCGGACATGCGGAATACCATGACGATCACTGCCATCACCCCAATCAATCAAACGCCATCGTCCGAGGGAGGATCTGTTGACCCGCTTGAGCTGTTTAAATTACGGAAATTTTACCCGATTCAAAATCTGTTTTCGGATGAACATCTGACGATGGATGAAATGATTCAGAAAATGCGCAAAAGGAGAGCCACTAGGCTCCCGTTCCCCAATGGACTAACAAGCGGATCTCCACATGGAACGTCAAGTGGATTGCCAAACAACTTGTCAAGAGGATTGCTCAAAGGGCTCCCTAGTGGTATCGGGAAAGGGTCCGACGAAGGTGACGAATTTGAAGAATTAAAGAAGAAATTGGATGATGCCAAGCTTAGTCCAGAGGCCGAAAAGGTCGCCGCGCGGGAATTGCAAAGACTGAAGAAGATGAATCCGGCTCAAGCGGAGTACCAAGTCTGTCGGAATTACCTAGAAAACTTGGCTGAAATCCCTTGGACCACTTCGACGGATGACAGGCTTGACGCGACTACGCTAGTGAGAGCGCGCAAGCAGCTGGATGATGATCATTATGGGCTTGAAAAGATCAAGAAGAGATTGTTAGAGTATCTGGCCGTGTTAAGACTCAAGCAGTCGGCCAATCAGGACCTGGACGCTCAAATCGAAAAGGCCGCTGAGGACGCCGCGGCAGTGGAAAACAGCCTGGACGATGTCGACGACGAACATCAGAACAAACCAGAAGACATCAAGGTACAGCTCCTGAAGAGCAAGCGTATGGTAGACAAATCGCCCATACTTTTGCTGGTTGGTCCACCGGGTACGGGAAAGACGAGCTTGGCCAAGTCCGTTGCGACAGCTCTTGGACGAAACTTTCATCGAATTTCTCTAGGCGGTGTTCGCGACGAAGCGGAGATTCGGGGCCATCGCCGTACTTATGTTGCGGCTATGCCCGGTCTCATTGTCTCTGGTCTGAAAAAGGTCGGCGTGACAAACCCCGTCTTTTTGCTGGACGAGATTGACAAGGTTGGCGGAGCTAATTTCCACGGTGACCCTTCTGCGGCCATGCTGGAGGTGCTCGACCCTGAGCAAAATCATACCTTTGTGGATCACTACGTGGGCATTCCCATGGACCTAAGCAAGGTCCTCTTTATCGCTACAGCCAACAGTCTTGATACTATCCCGGCCCCTCTCCTGGACAGGATGGAGACCATCCAGCTTTCTGGATATACGACACTCGAGAAGAGATCGATTGCGCGACGGCATCTTATTCCGAAACAAGTCATCTCGAATGGGCTGTCTATTGAAAATGTTGATATATCAGACGAAGTGCTGGATAAAATTATTGCTTCCTACACACGCGAGGCTGGAGTCCGCAACCTTGAGCGGGAGATTGGCTCCGTGTGTCGGTCCAAGGCGGTGGAGTATTCCCAGGCCAAAGATTCGTCGAGGTTCGAAAGCTATCGGCCTCAGGTCTGGCTGCCAGATCTAGAAGAAATCCTTGGTATTGAGAAATTTGATGAAGAAATCGCAGAAACGTCTTCCCGGCCAGGAGTAGTCACTGGTCTCGTGGCATACTCTACAGGTGAGTCGCCTTATGTCCACTACTTCATCATTGAGGTTTGCATGATTCTAATCATTCAACGGTTCTTCAGGCGGACAAGGAAGCATCCTTTTTATCGAGGTGGCCGACATGCCCGGCAAAGGCAGCGTCCAGCTCACCGGAAAGTTGGGCGACGTCCTTAAAGAATCAGTCGAAGTGGCTCTGAGCTGGGTCAAAGCTCACTCATACGAGCTTGGCCTGACTAGTGATCCATCCATTGATATCATGAAGGATCGCAGCCTGCACGTGCACTGTCCCGTAGGCGCCATGCCAAAGGACGGCCCTTCTGCAGGTCTAGCCCACACGATTGCTCTCATCTCCCTCTTCTCTGGCAAACCCGTGCCGCCAACGCTTGCAATGACCGGCGAAGTTTCTCTCCGTGGGCGTGTCACTGCCGTTGGCGGTATCAAGGAGAAGCTTATCGGGGCTCTTCGCGCGGGCGTCAAGACTGTGCTGCTCCCTTCTCAAAACAGGAAAGATTTGCGCGATCTTCCGCCAGAGGTGATTCAGGGGTTGAGCATCATGTTTGTCCAGTAAGTTTTTAGCTCATTCACTCCTTTTATTCTGCTTCACTTGTTCTCTCCTTTTTTCCCGCCTACTAATTTCAAGCTTTGCAGACACATTTATGAAGCCCTTCGCCTGGTTTGGCCCGACGGCAGTTGGCCCGGCCAGGCCCACCCCGCAGGCATCGAAAGTCGGCTGTAATTTGTTCCGCAGTATATCTGAACTCTGATGACCCTGGCCGAGCATGACAAGACTAGGATCTTTAATTGAATATCGAAATTTGACTTCATCTCATGTTATCATACCTCCCTGTACTTAATCAAGCTCAATGCAAATTTACGCACAATGTGCACTAGTATTGGAACATTTAGACCATGTGGTATTGTAATCGTAACTGTAACCGTAACTGTACCTACCTGGGTCATTCTACCTAAGTCAATTCATGTGTCAAAGAAGAGATACATATATCTCGACTTTTTACCAGAAAACGGGGAAAAGAAATAATAGTACACGCATGGTCATGCAATACCACGGAAGGTGTAATAAAGTACCTTATATGTGTGCATTGAGCTACTACCTACCTAGGTAGGTAATGTAGGTAAGGTAGATAAACTACTCCGTACATACATAACGAAGTACAGTTGTACAATATATATATCCCCACTGTAGGTAATGTCGAGAAGGAAGGGAACACAAAGAGAAATAGAAAAAGTTAACGACACAAGGAACGATAATAAAATTTATTTGATAGTTTGAAGTTGATATAAAAAGTGAAGATAAAAAGGCAATAAAATACAAGAATGAACAAGAATATCTGAGAGGAAATAAAAAATTTGGTCCTGAATAAATGACGGGTGGAAGGGGTATGTGTCTGAAAGTAAAAGAAAAGAAAAGAAAAGAAAAGAAAGAACAAGCAGGGAGAGCATGACCGGATGAATGGAAGAAAAAGTGGGGAAAATAAAAAATAAAAATATAAAAATAAAAAAAATAGAAAAGCAGATAAAGAAAATAAAAAAAAAAAGAATAAAAATAAAAAATGAAGATAGAAATAGAAATAAAAAGTAATCGGAAGAATATTGGCAAGAAAAGTGTTGGAAAAGATAGAGGAGCAGTAACACAAGCTAAAGGGAGTAGTATATTTCAAGAAAGGTATGAGACTCGAAGGGAGGAGGTATATATATATAGAAGCGATGGCTAAATGACAGTCAGTGGCTGACATCTACCCGATGAGAGCACGAATACCGCGCTTCTTCCCATCTTTTGGTTTTTCTCTCTTGCCGATATTTTGGACGCCACCTGTAAGATGAGCATTCCATACGTCAGTACACTGGTTTGAATTCAAGATGAATGGAGAGATGGTGGTAGAGCTAAACTAGTGAATAGAAAGGAAGAGCAAGGGGAAGAGAGATATAAGACAAAAAAAAAAAAGAAAAGTGATACTTACCTCGACCGTACACTCTTGCTTCCGAAAAAGGTCCGATTTTCCCAGTATCCTTGGCCGAGCTCGCTCGGTCTCCAGACAGAGAGCTGCGGCGACTGTTGCCTGCACTGGAGAGGCGAGGCGCCGTGGATTCAGCCGGAGAGTCGTACGCCGTGCGGGACTGACTGCGCGAAGATGGCCCACTGGCTGGATGAAGCCGGTCAAAGCGATCATAGACGGGACTAGAATCACCAGATGCGTAATGGCCGTGTCCGTGATGATTGCGAAGCGACTCGAATCGCTGTGGCCGAGGTACATCCCCAGGTCCGCCCGCTGCGGGCGACGGTGCTAAGCTCGGCGAGGAGGTATAGTAGTCGTCTCCCCCTCCATAATAGTCGTCTGGATTCTTAGAAAGATCCGGAGGCGCAGTGGGGTGGCGCCGTAGGGGCCCCGGAAGTTGCGCCATGGCTGAGCCGGCTTGCTTGGAAGATGATCGGAGAGGCGCATGCCCGTCCAAGGCGCTCGAGAAGCCAGCGATCGGTCGAGTGTTGAGCGTAAATGCAAGATCGTCATCAAATTCGGCGCCGCCACCGCCAGTTTGCATGTCTTGTAGGCGTACCTCAAGCTCGGTATATCGGTTGAGTAACAGGTTGTGAGCCTTCTTGAGCTGGTTGAAACGCATTCTGCTCGAGGCGAGGGCGGAGTCCAGCATGTGCTGAATAGCAGGGGAGTTTTGATCGGGAGTCTGAGCCTGAGAAGACTGAACCATTGTTTCAAGATCGGCAACTCTGCGCTCGTATGCCCGTTTAACCCGCTCGCGCTCCGTATCTTGGCTTCTAAGCCTGAGATTAACAGTCTCAAGCTGGACTCGAATATCCTCGTCTTGGACCTTGATGCGCTCCACTTCATCCTCCTTGGCTTGGTATTCTTGGATCCTGGCGTTCAGGTTGTCGACTTCGGCCCTTAGGTTTTCGACTTCTTCCATGTTGGTTTCAATCGACTGCACACGCTGTCTGCCTCGGAACTCACGGGCTTCGCTGTCCACGATGAGCTTGCGGAGACGGTCGCATTCGACTTGGATGCCAGAGAGTTCTCGACGCAGCGTGTCTTCGTCGGATTTCCATCGCTTTTGATCCTCGCGCAGGATGCGTACTTTGCTATTCAACTCGGCTTCCCACTTTTTGGAATTGTGCTTGCTGGTCATAGTTTCCTTTTTCAGCATGGCAAATGATTGCTTCGCGTCCTCGAGCTTGACTTTTAACGCGCGGTTCGTGTTGAGAAGCCTCTGCGTTTCGGCTTCGGCCGTAGCTTCTTTGATATGTCGACGTTGTAATTGGCCAATGTGGGATAAATGTTGCTGTCGCAGATACCTCTCAAAATTGAGATCGTTACGAAGGAGCATGACCTCGCGTTGCAAGAATGCTGCGCTGGTTTCGCCGCCGATTGAGGCCGCTCTGATAGCTGGCGAGCGAGGGACTTTGTGGTAGCTGTGACTGGGGGCCAGAGGGAAAGCTTCCAAACGAGGTGACTGCAGACTGAGAGCGCGTAGCGACGCAGCGCCTTCACTGTAGTTGCTTTGAACAGAGTTCTTCCGAGGTGGACCTTGCGTCTGAAGAGTCGTCACTTCGGTTGTGGTGGTGTGTGGAGGCAGAGTGGGACTGTCCAGGATGGGATCTCGGGGCTTCAGATACGGGGACGCTGTTCGCGACCCAGCTTGGTTCAGGCTTTGGCGATGAGAACCAGGTGTTGGAGTATGATGGTCGCTTGGGAGGGAACCGGCATGAGATGGAACCAACGTAACTTGGGTGTTACGCCAGCTAATCGTCCTGGTGTCTGTAGGAGAGGCCGGACTTTCAGCCCCCTCATCGGCAGAGAGGAGACTTTGGACCGGAATGTCTTCCGTGGGCACGCTGGACTCTGGAATGTCCGGAAGCTTAGACGTCGGGGGAGGTCCAGGGTCGTTCAACACCGTTGCAGGCAGCACGGCGCATTGCAGCCCCATGCATTCAATGACAACATCTGACGGGTCACTCTTGACCCATCGATTATCCGCCAGCTCCATTTCCGCAGTCAGGTTGTAAAAGTTTGGATGGAGCAAGTGCATCTGCCGGAATTGCTCACTGCGGTTTCGAATTGCTTTTGGATCAAGATCCAAGAGTTTGGCATCTTTAAACCCGAAATTCTCCAAATACACGTAGGGCTGCCGAATAAAGTTCATAAAGTTGAGAGGATACAGGCCGTAAAGGAAGGTGAAGTAGTGAGCCAACTCGGGTGTCATGGAGCCCATTTTTCCAAAGGAATTCTCCAACTTGTCCCAAGATGGATCCGTATATTCTGAATTCCTCGCCATCTCTGGGCTGCTAGAGTATCCGTCGTCCTTCTCGCTATCGTGTCCATCAATTGCGGTTTGACCGTTTTGCGCTTCCCAGCAGAGCACCCGACTGTACACAACAAAGAGTCGAGGCAAGTAGTTGACAAGAGAGCTCGGAATGTGGGGTAGAAACATGACCAAAGTCGTAAGCGCCAGGGACACAACCGTCGTGGAGGTATCGATCATCAGGCACTTGAGTAAATGTTCGATCAAGGCGGTCTGCGAAACTTCGTAAAGGTGTGGGGGCTGGCATCGGACGAATGCACAAAGAAGGCTCAAAGCTTGAACTCGCTGATTCTTGTTCACCACTAGGATGTCAACTGCATCCATAAATTCCTATCATCACTGTCAGCTACGGTTTGGAATCGTGCTTCAAACGAGCCTAGGAGCAATGACCTTTGGTTTCCTCTTCCCAAAATCCACGAGGATTGACTCTAGATGGTCCGACACAAAGTGATTGGCCTCCTGTTCGGCCGGATTCACATTCTCGCCCACAACGTGAAGCCGAGTCCGGTCGAGATAAGCCTCGAGCAGCTTTTGCGCAAAGACGGCCGAGGCTTGCGCTCGCTCTCCATTCGGGTCCTCGTCTTTGTCATAGACCAAAATACTGAGCAGCAGCCTTCTGGTTTCCTCAACCACCGCTTTTTCTTGTCCCAGCGCCGTGACTGTCCTCCGAATGATCAGGTCCCACCACTCCAGCCATCTTTCTGTCCCTTGAATTGCAGGCCGCAACAGCGCCAAAGCATTCAGAAACGCTAGTTGTTTTTCAGGTTGATCCGTGACGTTTCGGTGAAAGATGGAGAGGAGCTCATCTTGTACGCGCTGGGACTCATGGGCGTCGGATTCTTTGTGCTTGTCCAAGTAGCTGTCGACTGCATCTTGAACTTCGTCGGGGAGTGGATAGGGCGGCGGTGTCGAAAAACCGAAGACAGCAGTGAGGCCTTTTGCGGCCTCTTTGAGAGAACTATGGAGGGTTAGCTTCGGATCAAGGCCACTCCTCACTACAGAAAATTTCATCGCAGGCTATCTGTTTCGTGCGACGGAGCCTTTGGAGTCATGACTGCAGAATTTGGGATGCCGCACTCACCCTGAACTCATGGCCGTGTGACCGTGTAAGGGTTGCCGTCAGTCGATCGCACGTAAAGCTAGGTTGACATTGAGACTATAGTCGCCCGTCGAAAGCTCTAAAGCTATAACATGAAATAATCAGGACATCAAAACTTCTCAATCTGGAAGCGCAGGATGTAGGAGAAGTTCCGAAAAGGTTCAGCAATACTTGGGAGTCGGAGAAGGCCGAGGAATCATGACGAGGATGTGTATCTACCGTGTTATATATCCGCAGGGGTGCGATATTGTTACAGCCCACCACCACTTGTTCCGTCGGATTTTGCTAGACTCTCTACGTTGCAATTTTGCATGAATCCGCCGTAAATCAATTTGGAAGGAGATGAATTGCCGATCCTTGGAAAAGCTTCGTTGCGGGGAGGGTTATAGAAAGGGTTAAAGGGCCCAGTAGAGGGGTCCCGCAGACAAGCCCAGACAGCGCTGTGCAGAGACGTGGTATAACTACAGTGGCGTCAAGGGTGCGTTATAACCAATCCGAATGATATATAGTCGGGGACAATTCTGGTAGTATTCTCAAGTCACGAGCTATAAAAGCCAGAGCAGCGAAACACACAAATACAAAGGACATACGGGAACTCCGTAAAAATTATCAGCCGTTTAATCAGTCTTCGTTATTGCCGGTGCCTGATTGCGGGAAGGCTGCAGTTGACTTGAATGACCGCCTTCGCCACCGCTCCCTCATCGGGGGACTACCAGGGGTCCTTTAACTGGGTTACCGCTCCACTTCATATGCGGGTTGGCCGCATCGCATCTTATTCGCTGTAGTTATAGCACAAAGCTGATAGAGATACCACTCGGCGCTGCCCGGTTTGTTCACCACGAGGTGCGAGGGGTGAGCGTTGACTCGGAGAAATTCACCGTTAGATTGCAGATCGGGCACCTTGACTCCCTTTAGGCCAAAACGCTTTCTGCAGGGTGCATGTCGCCTTGACGCACCTTCTGATGAGACCCAGTTCCAATACATCATCCGATTTCTTGTTTATCCTGGTTTAGTGGAGCCTCTATTTGTCCAGCTCTCTCATTTCTGCTCCCCCTTGTCTGAAGTAGGTAGGGAGCTTCCGACTTGGGAAGTATTCCGGGCCGAGGAAAGCTAAGACCTGATGGTGCTCAATCAAATCAGCTTTTCACACTTGCCTTTCCTGCCTTTGCCCGTTTTGTTTCCTCATGCACCCTTTGCTCAGAAGGAAAACCAATGATTTGCCTTGATATTCAGATTCGATTTGAATTTGGTAACGAGTTCCCTCCAAGGGAGTACCTATCCACTGCGTCCCGAGATGAAACGGTTGGTAGCGACATGGGCTTCTCCGGGGAAAAAGGGTTCCTTTGGTCCCCGTTCCAGTCCCTCGGGATCTCGGGAGGTTTTCTAGAAGCGAAGATCTTAAGGTATCCTGAGATCCGAGATGATGACTGAAGAGTTCTAATAACAGATCTCGATTGGCCCAACACCTACATTATTGTTTCTCCTCCGCTTTAATTGTGAAAGTGATATTTGAACTCTGAGATCATTCTGTTAGATCCTAACTTCAGGATGAACGTGTCGTTTCAAATTTCATATATTTTCCTGTCAAATCATCAGGTGGTCTCCAATGCAAGTCAAACTATGGCCGGGTCAACCACATTTTGTCGAAATGACCCTTTTGCTTGTCCGCGCTAATTTCAGGATATTTGATGACTTATTGCATTGCAAGAAAGAAGCATGATGACTGAGCCAGACCTCTTCATGTCGCTATTGCTGTCTCAAGAGTCCTGGAGCTTCGGAATACTTTCTAAGAGACAAATCCATTTCAGTGAATTTCGGGCAAGCCCCAAATTCACTTGGATGTTGGCCATGTCAAATACGACGCCTCACCCGCTCACCCGCTCACCCGCAAATGCTCATAACAAAATTAATCACTCCAAGAAATCGAAGCCAACAAGTGGTGAAATGGCGGATTCTCCATCCGCCACTCAGCAGCCTGCGCGTGTCGTCCTCTGGCCTCTTCTCCTGGAGCTTCCGTCCCGCCTGCCTTCAGGGCCCTGGGTGACCTTGCCCTCTAGGATAGACTGGTCCTGCGATGAAGCTCTCTGACAGGAGCGCTCACCAGCCTTGCCCCTTCATTTGATTGTTGCCTTTCAAGGTCAAATAATGCTTGACCCGGAAGTAGGACGTTGGGATCACACTCGAAGTGTTCGGGTCTTGCTCCAGACCCGCCCCGTCAATCCCGTTATCGTCAACAAGGGCAAATTTGATTACATCATTCAGAGATTAAAGGAGGTTGACCCAGTGAGCCTGAAGGATCTTTTCAAAGCTATAGCACTGCAGGTAAGCGACCAAATTGACGTGCGTCGAACCGGTTTACCAAATGAAATAGTCACGAGGTGGAGAGCTTCGTCAACCTTGTGACCAGTGTTTGCAACGCTCAGGACACTTTGCTCAGTGTGTCGCGCATCCTGAGATCACTGCCGGAGGCTGTGCCAATTGTGTTTCCGCCAAACAAGCAGCTAAGTGTTCTTTTCGTAGGTGCCCAAATTTCTGCTCCAGAAATATTGATATCCTCAATTCAGAACATATCTTTTCCAATCTCCCCTACCACTGCTGGAACGGAATGCTGATCTCCACACAGGAACTTCTGGCAACAGATTGCCTGCTGTACCAGTGGCCTTTGGACTTGCTGCCACAAGCTTGCCCGCCTTGCCGGCAAGTCAACAGCCTAGCACGTCGATCAAAAACTCCACGAATGGCAGAGGCGCCAATTCTCAGGGTCATTCACGGAATAGGAGTGATTCTCCAAAGCGTTCGCCCTTGACAGCTCGCTTTCGAGAGTCCCGCCTCTTCCCACCTTCTGCTCAGGTAGCTTTGGATTCAGGCAAATCTCCGGCCAGGAACGCCGATTTGGCGCTACCTTTTCGGAAGCCAATGCCTGGCCCGGGAGAGCATCGTCGCGGCAGCCTCACACGGAATTCGACAGAGACTCAAAAGATGGAAAGAGAACCACCCCGTTCAATCCCGCAAGGGATTCGTCAGCACCTTCGCGGCGCAATGCACTCCTTGGAAGGAGACGCGCTTTACACGGCATGGGACCAGCAAAATCGCGCAGATGCAGAAGCTTTACGACTCGAATCCCGATTCACCGCGGAATTTGGCGCTGATGCACTGTCCCTTCTAAAAGAGATGTGGTTCGCCGAGCGTCGCCGAGCAATGCAACGGAAGGAACATGATCACATCCCTAAGAACTAAGGTGATGGCTTTTGTCTGTGTCGCGGGTTTCTCTGGTTATAAACTATTGTCTGGTGGTTATGATGGGGTTTCTTTTCTACATCATGATACTATTTTTCGCGCTTTTCTCCCAGAAAAGAGTTAGAAGAGGAAAAAAGGAAAATATGAAATTTCTTTTTTGACTCAAGCCTTTGAGTCTGATCAAATCCTGCTGCGTACGGCGGTCATGAACGGAAGTCCTTAATAATCTAAAAAAGAGGATTATTTGGTGTCTATTCAGCCCTCTCAGAATCGTATCTCATACCGTGCATTTCGGCGCAATCATTCCCACGATAAAATATCAACACCCATCCTTGCCTAAAACCCTGAATTACTGCAGCGTAACTTTTTTTTTTAGACTTGTCAAGCCTAGTTTGAACCCATACTTCCCACCCCCTCCCGGTGGTCCCTGTAGTCGGGTATCTTTCGTGACTCCATGACCGGACCGCATCTCGTCAATGCATCATGCAGGATGCCTGCATGTCACCACAGCCCTAGGCAGCCATTCTCCACTCCACCACCATCGAAAGCAAAAGAGTATACTTATACCTACACTCTTCATCCTGGCACTCTAACCTCCTCCCGTCCACTTATTTTAATGTATAGATACCTACCGTACCTCAGGTAGTTTGGATTTCCCCCAAACAAGTCTTCATCCACAAGCGCTAGAGCTACCACAACCATGTCTAAACCGGCTGCAGCCGCGCCTCTGCCCAAGATCGTCCTATTCGGCGACTCCCTCACAGAATGGTCCTTCGCGGAGCGCTCCCCTCATTTTGTTGAGAATGGATTCGGGACTGTCCTGGAAGAAAAATATGCTGGGCGGGCTAAAGTGTTAAATCGAGGTGCGTTTTACTTTGGATTTGGCGAATTGATATTCCTCTTTGATGTGGTTTGCAATTTGCAGTCTGCACATAGTGTCCTGTTTCTGCGGACTCGTTGTCAATGGTGGATACGAAGTGGCTTGTTTTTGTCATATGCAAAGAAGGGCTTTTTAAGAGATGCGGTTTGCTTGATGTAAAACGTCAATGATATGTCTAAATGCAGTTACTTGGATAATGCTATTAGGCTATACTGATGATTTGAGTAGGACGAGCGGGGTGAGCTTTCCCCTTTGTTGATGTTGTGACGCTCGACCACGCCCTTCCCTCAAGAGCAAGAATTCTTATCACCATTCCACCAAAAGAAAGGAATTTAAAAAAAAGAGACAAAAAGGGGAAAAATAAATAAAAATAAAACAAAATAGCTCAATGAAGAAAACAATGCGCGTTCCATTTGCTGACTCCAGCTTCTTTGCACATATAGCCAAACAAGTACGTCGTTACTGGACTACTTCAACGATATAATCCACGACCTCGAAAACGAGAGCTGCGAGTATTCCAACTGGGCGTGTCCGCTGTTCTTCACCATCTTTCTTGGCGCAAACGACGCATGTCTGCTACCATCAAAGGGCACCTACGTGCCGTTGCGCGAATTCGAGGAGAATATCCGGTACTACGTGGAAACGTTGCTCGAGCATGAAGTCACGCATGGGACAAGGATCATTCTCATCACGCCCCCGCCAGTCAATGTCCGCACGCCTTTACTGAGCGAAACATCTGACTTGGAAGAAGAGACGCGGCTGGCACGGCAAGGCAGAGGGTATCGAACGTATGTAAGTAAGAAAAGGTTTGCAGACAAGATCAAAGAGATTGCTGCGTCCTACGAAAAGAATGACCGAGTCGCGTGTCTGGATCTGTGGGATGCGTTGATGCAGTATGGGAGAGAGAATGGAAAAAGCGATGGATTTACTCCGCTTGACGGCGCCAAAGATGATGATAAGGAAAAGGATGATGATGATGAGAAGACTCCGGGAAGTGGACTCCCTGGTGCCAAAGAGTTTAGTAAAGATGTCTTTGTGGATGGATTGCATTTCGGAACTGAGGTAAGAGGGTGCTATCGTCTTCGCTTTGGGGTTTTAGTGAATTGCAAAAGTTGAAAAGAGACGATTCGCTGATGATAGGTTAGGGTTATAATCTTCTTTCTACTAAGTTGCTGGAATTGATCTCCGCTAAATGGCCGGAGTTGTAGAGGGAATTGAAGTCATGTTAGATCAACGGGGTTAACCGTTGGCTCAAACGGAAAAGTCTGACGCAGGCATGTGAGGAGAACTGCATTGATTCTCTATACTGGCTAAAATAGGTTTTGAGGAAATGGTAGTAGGTAGTAGGTATCTAGTTGGTATCATCACCGAGCGGGAGTGCAAGTGTATATTGTTGTATATTGTATATTGCCTTGCCAGCGCCAAAACGACAGAGTGTGAAGAGCCACAGCCATGTTTTATTATCCCCGGTTGATGGTGTTTCCAGAACCCCTAGAAAAGTCAGTTTATCGTCAAAGCTGATGCAGGGGTCGCATGTTACTTACTTGGGATTGGCTTCTACAAATTCGTCCCACTCTCTTGCCTTCATGGTTTCTTCGTCGGCCTTTTCAAAATTATCCTCATCCGGCTCCGGCTGTATCTCAGACTGCGGACCTCCGCCCTCAATGATACCACCCCGCCGTTTCTCTTCCTCGAGATACTCGTCGATGGTCATTGTCGGGAGACTATGTCCCGGGCGGAATACGCCCTGTTGTAACCGTTGCCTACTATCCAACAGGGTAAACGGCTTGAGGGGCTTTCCGTCTTTGCTGAGAATAGGGCCTGCCCTTCCACCAGCCAACAGTTCCGAAAGTGGTCTATCAATCCGGTCCGAGTATCCGTCTCTGTTGCGTTCACGTTCCCTGCGGTCATCTCTGGGTGCTGCAGCTCCTGCAGGAGGCATGGGCGGCGCCAGCGCCAAAATCTGAAGCTCCTGCGCGATAGACTCAAGTGACTGGAATGCTTGATGAGTGCATAATTTGATTTGCGTAAGATAGAGATCTCGGAAGGAATCTTCATCGTTGTGAAGCACAGATGGATTCTGCGAGAGGTACTGGAAAGAAGCCGTAAGCAATTACAGCACTATTAAAATATGGATACCCGAGCTTTCATCTTACCTCGAGCTTTCCTTTTAATGCTTTTTCTTCCTTAAATCGAGCAATTTTCGTCTCCCGGCGAGCAGCTGCATCAGTCGTGGATGCAGTAGAAAATCTGTCCGGATTGTCCGAATACCGTTCGTGAAGTTTGGAGTCCTCTTTTGAAAGTATCTCATACGAGTCGAGCAGATCTATGTAACGCTCATATGCTTGTCGAGCCTGGAGTAATACACTCTTGCGACTCGGCGCATTCTGCCTGAGCAATAGCTCCGCTAGATAAAAGTCTATGAGGAGATATCTAGCTTGATGGTGAGCAACACCAAGCTTATTATTTGAAGGGTTCGACGGGCGTACTGCAAATCGCGAGAGGAAATATCTTCCAAAGTTTCATTCGAGCTGAATAACGCCACCTGGCTCGCTATTTTTCGGCATTCCTCATAGGTCCCTATAGCTGCTTCGAGGTTCTCCTGGTAGCTGGCGCCGTTTGTATCCCATGATGATTCGAGCTGTTTTCGGCGTGCTTCGCCAGCGTTGAAACGCTCTCGGAGACTCTGAGGATTCTCAGCCATTCGATAAAATTTGAATTTTCCGATCCTAGATCTAAATATGAGCTGTATAATGCCGAAATTCGTCGTCAATTCTCCGGAAATATTACGATTATTTGGCAGGTGAAATGGTGGCGCTCGCCGGGTAAGAGTAGATCTTCAAACGATCTAGAACATGTGGAGTGTCTTGGACCGTGCACCTTTGACATGCGGACCCTGTCAATCTCTATAATGACACTCAAATATCCCAATTCATTGGACTCGGAGGATGATTCAATTGAGTGAAGTATTGTCATGAAACGGTCTTTGAGATAATTCACACTTCACTTCCGAAACGTTTCGTCAGGCGCTCCAAATCAAACATACAACACTCCTTCAATTGCACGGAAGAGTTTAAAACAGACTTATTTTCCGATTATGTGTGACATTTGTTTACATTGATTCCCACTCAGCGAATGCCGCAATTGCCTACCCTCTATGTTGCCTTGGAAATAGGGTTTTCGAATAATTGATCGTTGATTTTTGTCTTCGAAATTCTTTCTCAAGTTGTCCCAATTTCTGTGGGTCTATTTCCACAAATATTCACAATTCTTGTGAACCTTGTTTGTTTCACTGCATCTCCCCGTGGCGCATTGTCTTTTATATATATGCGCTTATGAGGTGCACACGACAAACTCTCCTTCAAACAACGACTGATCACGAGAATTTTTGTTCATTTCTCTAGCCTGGTGCAGTCATGCATTTTGTTTAAATGGTGTCCAGAGTGACCTATCGACTGCAGTACAATTTTCTGACGGTGTGCAGCTGAGGAGGTCAATTCCAGGAAGATGGCTCAGACAGACTTCATACTGTCTGTACCGGAAAGCTATAACCCGGAAAGGCAAAACATCTCGGGCTTTGAAATGGATCAGGAGATCGACTTATTAGATATCGATCCTATATCGATTGCCGATTCTGCGGACGAGCCATTAGAAGATGATGAAGAGTCAGAAGATGATGATTATTCAAGTCCTCAGAATGGTCTTACAGATGCCAGAAGGCAGCAAGTCGCAAGCTTCCAATCATGGTATATTAGCAAGTGATGAAAGAGCAAGTTCCGCGTCTCAAGCTTACGAAATCTTAGGTTTGCGCAGAGGGCTGCTTCAGTTACTAAGGAAGAGACAAGAGCTGCGATATTGACTGCGGCGGATGATATGCTGTCAACAAAGAATCTCATATCTAAGCATGGATTGTCCCAAATCATATCGTCTCCTCGAGGATATCAGGTCGAATTGTTCGAGCGAGCCAAACACCAAAACACTATAGCGGTTCTCGATACCGGTGAGTTGAACTAGGATAATCTAGTGCATTCTTCTCATACAATGTGCAGGCTCTGGCAAAACTCTCATTGCAGTACTGCTGCTTCGGCATATGATTGATCGTGAGCTTGCAGACCGAGGGGCCGGAAAACCTAAACGTGTCTCTTTTTTTGTTGTAAGCTATACCGTTACGGACGATATATATTGGGTTTACTAACTGAAAAGGTCGACTGCGTGACGCTTGTATTCCAGCAATATTCTGTGCTTGAATGCAATCTTGATCATAAAATGGAGCGATTTTGTGGGGAAATGGGATGCGATCTCTGGTCAAAAGAAACCTGGCAACAACACTTTGAAGAAAACATGGTCATTGTTTGTACCGCAGACGTGCTATATAACTGCCTCTCCCATTCTTTTCTGAACATGAGTCAAATAAATCTTCTCATCCTTGATGAAGCTCATCATGCAAAAAAGAATCATCCATATGCAAGGTAAGCAATTACATTTCTCAATCCACCAGGTGACGTCGAACTAAGTTTACAGAATTATCATGGATTTTTACCTTTCGGAGCCTGATGAGACCAGGCGACCTAAAATCTTTGGCATGACTGCATCGCCAGTGGATGCAAAGGTGGACGTAATACAGGCAGCTAGGTATGGGACACAATTACCAATCCAGATGGTCATCGAGTAACTCCAGACAGGGAATTGGAGACGTTGCTTTGCAGCCAGATTGCAACGACCTCTGATCTTGCTCTTCTTCAAAAGTCTGTGAGCCGACCTCTGGAAATTATTGGGACTTACGATCCCCCTCCTTCTGCATATGAGACACCCCTCCATCAGCAATTAAAGTCTGTATGCGGCGACGTTGAGGTTTTCTCAAAGCTTTTCTTCCGTGCCAAGGAAGCCACCGCAGAGCTTGGTCCGTGGTGCGCAGATCGCCTATGGGAATGGACTCTCTTGGAGGAGCATGAAAGCAAGATTGAATCTCACGCAGAAAAGAGAATTCTCGAGACTTCCGACCCTAATGCTGTGGAGAAACTCGATGCTGCAATGGAAAAAATTCAGCAGGCCAGGAAGTTTGTCAGTGAGCATACTTTCCAAGTCCCTAATTTAGATTCCAAGGGAATGAGCGCAAAGGTCCGGCTGTTGTGTCATTACTTAAATCTGTTTTTTGAGCGTCCGACTCAGGCGAAGTGTATAGTCTTCGTTCGACAACGCCATACTGCGCGATTGCTTGTTGACCTCGTTCAACGGATTGGCACTGAGCACATTAAAGTCGCCCTTCTCGTTGGTACTCGAGCAGGAGAGGTCGGAGACCTTAGCGTTTCTTTCCGGCAACAGATGGTTACGCTCATGAAGTTTCGCCAGGGAGAAATCAACTGCCTTTTTGCGACATCGATTGCAGAGGAAGGCCTGGACATCCCTGATTGTAACCTTGTAATCCGATTTGATCTCTATTCCACCTTGATCCAGTATATCCAATCTCGTGGACGAGCTCGCCACGTCAACTCCAGATATATTCATATGGTCCAGAGAGGACATGAAGCGCACGCGAAAACAGTTCACCATGTTCGACGTGCCGAAGGTATCATGCGGGGCTTTTGTGAAGCACTGCCGGCCGACCGTATCCTTCAAGGGGATGATTACGACCTAGATGCTGCTCTGTTTAGAGAAAAGGACTACCGCGCATATATAGAGCCCGAGACCAAAGCTAGATTGACTTATGGTTCCACCTTAGCCGTACTTGCCCGGTTTATTGGCTGCTTGGTAAGTCTGTCAAAGGACATCAAAGAACCAGTTCTGACCTCTATATAGCCTCATGACAGTGAATGTGTGCCAAAGGTCGACTTTGTAATGTCCTCCCACGGTCGAAGCTTTATCTGCGAGGTGATTCTCCCTGAAAACGCGCCAATTAGGTCTGCTATCGGTCGTGCATATGGGAAAAAATCGCTTGCAAAGCGGTCAGCGGCATTTGAGGCATGCTTGCTGCTCAGAAAGAAGCATTATCTAGACGCCAATCTTCTTCCAACGATTCAAAAACAGCTCCCAGCAATGAGGAACGCGCTTTTGGCATTGAACATGAAGAAGACCAATACATACACAATGCGTGCCAAACCTGACTTTTGGGAAGAAACATGGGGATCAGTGCCAGAGGGACTTTTTATGACGGTACTGGAGCTTGCGAATCCGGAAGCGCTGGGCCGTCCCTACCAACCATTGGCCATGTTGACTCGAAAGCCATTTCCTGAGATACCTAATTTCGTATTACATCTTGAGGCAGGACAAACCTCTGAAGTCAGATGTGCACAATTCAAACCCATTATGAGTCTATCCCACGACTTTCTGGAGCGGCTTACTTCATTCACTTTCCGTATTTTCCAGGACATATTCAACAAAAAGTACGAAATCGACCTCAATAAAGTCTCCTACTGGCTTTCTCCAATTCACAAAGACATGGATATTAATGAGCATATCACGAGTCCTGCGGACCTTCTAGACATGCAAACAATTGAGGCTGTATTCGAAAAGGAAGAGCTGGAATGGACGCCTGAGACTCCTGATTCGTTCTTGGAAAATCGATTCCTAGTAGATCGTTGGGATGGCGGAAGGCGATTTTTCTCCATTTGTGTTGATCCGACCATGCAACCTCAAGATCCAGTGCCTCCCGATACTGCGCCAGGAAAGTATATGGAAAATATTCTTGATTATAGTGTCAGCCTCTTCAAGAAGTCCAGGGCAAGAGCGAAGTGGATCGAAAAGCAACCAGTGATCCTGGCTGACAAAGTTGTATATCGGCGGAACTGGCTTGATGCCATCACGACAGAGGAACAAAGCATCAAAACCAAGTGCTACGTCTGTCCTGAGCCATTAAAATTTTCTGTAGTAAGTCATTAGACTAACATCACAATGCAAATTGCAAAGACACCTAATTTTTTTCTAGCTACCAACCAGTGTTGCCGCTATGGGAGTCATCTTTCCGGCAATTGTCAGCCGGTTAGAGTCCTATTTGGTTGCCCTCGAGGGATTCGCAACGCTTGGTCTACAGGCCAAGCCAGAGCTTGCGCTTGAGGCGATGACCAAAGATTCTGACAATACAGAGGAGCACCGAGAGGAGCAGATTCACGTGCGGCGTGGCATGGGCAAGAATTACGAACGGCTTGAGTTTATTGGAGACTGCTTTCTTAAAATGGCCACTTCAATAGCATTGTTTGCGCAAATGCCAGACAATGATGAATTTGAGTACCACGTCAAGCGAATGCTCCTTGTTTGCAATAAGAATCTTTTTGAAGGAGCCAAGCAGCTGAAGCTCTACGAGTACATTCGAAGTCAAGGCTTTTCCAGGTATGGTTGAATCCCTCTCACATCTCTGCCTTGTAAGGATTTATGCAGCTGAGAACCCGTATAGACGCCTCTGGTACCCCGAGGGTTTGAAGCTCTTGGAAGGAAAAGGCGCCAACAAGACGGGTAAAGAGGTGCACACACATATCCTCGGCGACAAGACTGTAGCAGATGTCTGCGAAGCAATGATTGGAGCGTCGCTAGTTTCATTTCGTGAAGGAGACGACTTTGACATGGCAGTCAAAGCTGTTACTGCCCTGGTCCACAACGAGCATCACCACATGCTTCAATGGAGCGATTATTACAAGGCTTACAAACGCCCCGCATACATGACTGCTAGAGCGACGGCTTCGCAGCTCGACAGCGCGGCAAAGATTGAGACCAAACATGCATATCACTTCAAATACCCCAGACTTTTGCGTTCGGCGTTTATTCATCCATCGTGCGGCTTTAGCTTCGAAAAAGTTCCAACATATCAGCGATTAGAATTTCTGGGTGATTCCCTACTAGACATGACTGCCATCAACTTTCTATTTTACAATCATCCTAACAAAGACCCGCAGTGGCTCACGGAGCATAAGGTAATGACCCATAAGTATCAGGCTCATACATCCCATCTCATAAGATTCATGCTAAGTGTTGCGTTGTTTTGACAGATGGCCATGGTATCGAACAAGTTCCTCGGCGCGTTATGCATCAAGCTCGGCTTTCACAAACATCTTCGATACCATGGACCACTCGGAGAGATTACCAACTACGTAACAGAACTCGAAGAGGTTGAGAGAGAATCAGAAGGAGCTAGAGACTACTGGACACAAGTGTCCAACCCGCCAAAAGTGAGTCAACGTCCCCTCTCATTGCATAACCGCCTTTACTCCCCTTTTGTAGCAAACGTCTAATGGACCATAATATTAAAACAGTGCCTTCCCGACATTGTTGAATCATACGTCGGTGCCGTGTTCGTCGACTCCGAATTCAACTTTGCCGAAGTGCAGCGCTTCTTTGACACACATATTCGGTGGTTCTTTGAAGACATGAGCATCTACGACACATTTGCCAATAACCACCCTACTGTACGTTGCCTCTTTTCCTCCCTTCCCACCTACAATCTCCTTCCAACATCAACCACCAACAGTCATCTCATACAAATACACACAAAAGCTAACAGAAACATGTCAAAAAGACCTTTCTTCACAACCTTCTCCTCCACAACTACGGCTGTCAGAATTATCGTCTCCTCGCACAGGAACTACCCGCTGTCGACGGCCTCAACGGCGCCCCTACACAGGTCGTAGCCGCCGTCATCATCCACAACCAAGTCGTCGCCGACGGATCCGCAGCGTCGGGCAAGACAGCCAAAGTCAAAGCCAGCCAGAAAGCCCTCGAAGTCTTGACCGGGCTTGCACCTTTTGAATATCGCAAAATGTACAAGTGCGACTGCGAGGTCAAGGATGCGGACGGTAACGTGGACATGACGGAGTCAAAGATAAAGATAAATGTTGAGAAGCGCGGGGACACTGTATCCTCTCAAAGTGGTAGAACTGCAGCTGAGTCTACCGCTTTTACAACATCCATTTCTCCTCCTACGACGACGACGACGACTACAACAAATACTGTTGCGGGGGTCAATGCCGATATGGCTATTTAGATTTTCTATGCTCCCTTTTTCCTTTTTCTTTCACTTTTCATCTTATATTTCCTCTTTCCCCCTTTCACTCATCCCAATTATACGCTTCTGTGCTCGCCCAAATAGTCTCTATCGGAAAAGAAAAACAGAAAATTACAGCGAAATAATGCAAAAACCTACAAGACTTGAGATTGTAAACAAATACACACAACGACATCCCTTTATTCCTCAAGATATATCGTAGACTCGTTGCACAGACTCACTGGAGAAGAAGGACAATATGCTTTTTCCGTGTGCCCATTATCTTTCGTCACCAATGATCAATATAAGCACGCTTCGTCCTGTCTTAATCCAATGTGGCCCATAAACTTCATCTCCCTGCCATAGCTGGATCTATAACGAATATCATATACAGGCCCATTAATTAATACAACGCATTGCACAGTCAGTCTGGCTTTAGAACAATCCGCGTCAAGACATCAAACGGCACACCCTGATTTATCACCTTACACTTCCCACGAACAAGACTACATAACTTGAAATAACCTCAAAAGCCCAGTCATTGCACTTCGAGAATTCTCACTTAAATTTTCACTGAAGCATAATTTTTCAAGGTTCATGAATCTTTTCAGAAATGATTGATATTCATATCTATAAAGAAGGGGGAAAAAAGCTGGGAGGGGCGAATCTCTTTACAGAAAATATTTGTTTTCGAAAATGAGAACCACGCCCCTCCCGAAAAACCCTCTAGAGTTGATAAAAAAAAAAAAAAAAAACCTTCGTTTGCATGTAAAAGAGGAAAAGGAAACGAAAAGTGTAAGGTAATATATTGGACGACCTACCGTAAGAAAGGACTTACCGTGTGGACATTGATCCAAGCAAAGAACAAAGCTTGTTGCATCTTGAAAAAGAACAAGAACAGCGTCGTATGTTGTATATTCCTAGATCTATTGAAGATCCATAACCTGTCGTGGAGGAAGCCTGTCGCAGAAAAGAATGTCGTGATCCAGACCAGTTGTAGATCAATCCCGCCGCTAAGTCGCGCCAATCGCCAATCGGTTAGTGACCCATATAACCGAACAGCCGACCCCAAAAGTAAAAGAACGCCAAAAAAAAAACACGAAAAAAAGAAATGAATGAACGCCAAACGCAACGAAAACGAAATACAAACAAATACACAAAATAAAAACAAATCACGTATCCCACGGAAAACGGAATACACATGACAGAATACGAAAAGAAAAATATAGTGGACGTAAAAAACTATACACTACACCACTATACTACATATACACGTAGCAATCTATATTACACGCTTACCACTTGTTTGAAAATTAACAAGTCATGGTAGGGTCTGTAAAGACATCAAAGGACATTAAAAGAACGTCAAAGCAAACCCAAACTTTTAATCTAATCGCCGTAACAATCGTCGAGGGAAAAAGAAAAATGGAAAGCAGATACCATCTAATCTCATGCAGTGATGACGAAAACGATGATAAATCCCATATGCGAGCCCAGCTCAAAATTTTGCTCAGCCAAAGAACACAGAGTGACCAACTCAAGGAGCCATGACAAGAGCAAGCAAGGCCATACGGCAGTAAAGACCATATCTCATCTGCATAGAAGTGTTAGTAATGCCATAAAAGACGGTAGAAGGGAATGAGTGGGAAAAGGCCTCGAGAAGAAACAGTACATACCTGTCGGAAGTAAGCCGCACGCTGGTCAAAGTCAACCTCCTCGCTAATCTCAGCATTGCGCGGCAGAGGGTGAAGGACGATCATCTGGCTCTTGGCGTGCTTGAGCACAGAGTTGTCAACGACGAAGCTGTCCTTCAGACGTTCATACTCCTCCAAGTCAGGGAAACGCTCCTTCTGCACGCGAGTGCAGTAAAGAACATCGGATCGAGCGACAATCTCGGGAGTCAACTCGTGAGATTCGGCAATCAGCTGCCCGGAGCTGACAAGCAGTTGACGGACCTCCTCAGGAAGGGCAAGAGCAGCGGGTGCGACGAGCTGAATCTTCACGTCGTAGTGCTGAAGCAGCTTGCACAAAGAGTGTACAGTGCGGCCATACCGAAGATCACCAGTGAAGGTAATGGTAAGGCCGGTCACTGTACCAAGCTCTTCACGGATAGTGAAGAGATCGAGGAAAGCCTGAGTGGGGTGCTCTAAGCTGCCGTTACCGCCGTTGATGATCGGGACAGGGGAGAACTTGGCAGCGGTAGCTGCGCTGGACTCCTCAGGGTGACGGAGCACAATTGCATCGCCGTAGCATCCGAGAGTTCGGATAGTGTCCTGGAGACTCTCGCCCTTCTTGATGCTCGAATGCGAAGTTGTAATGGCAATTGTACGTCCACCAAGGCGCTGCATAGCAGCGTCGAACGAGGCCGAGGTGCGGGTGGATGGCTCGTAGAACATGGTGGTCAGAAGGCGTCCCTGGAGGATGTCCAAGATACCATGACGCTGCACACCGAGACGCATCTCTTGCGCCACAGTGAAGAGCAGGTGGAGCTCAGTGCGGGTAAATTGGTTGACAGAGAGAATGTGTCTCTGCTTAAAGGGCGACTGAGCAAGGAGTTCAAGCAGTGAGGGAGAAGCAGCGCGAATTGGCTGGTGCAGCGGGGGACCAAACTGGTTTCCCAAAGCTTGAGGAGTCCGCTGAGCAACGACTCCGTCAATCTGCCTCGTCTGAGTTGCCGGCCGCGAGGGAAGAGCAGCAGAACGACCAACATAGGGAGTCTCAGGACGAGGTGAAGTAATGGAATGGCGGCTTGGCGATTGAGGTGCCGCAATCGTGTGGCTAGACATGTCGTTACCGTAGGCGGAGCCACCGACAAGTTCGCCATCAAGGCAGACGGTCTTGTCCTGGAAAATAATCCGCTGGATAGCTCCCTTGACAGTCTTGCCGACAAATGGCGACCAGGCCGCACCGCCTTGGTAGACATAAGAGCGATCCACCTCCACCTCGACAGAAGTTCCAGCCTGATCGTGGAGCTCAAAGATCTTCTTAGGGTTGCGGTTGAGACGGGCAATAATGTCATCAACAGTCAGACGGCCATCAGAAACGGCAGTGAAAAGCAGAGGAATGGCATCGGCGATGCCAACATCAGCTGACACCTCGTGCTTGGTATCGCGAGCGACCTGGTAGGGAAGGCTGCCAATGGAGAAGACATCGATGATGTCCAGTCGCTCCCAGAGCGCCTGCTGGTCCTTTTGCGTGGGCAAGTAACTACACTCGGGATACTCGTTTTGAGTAAGGAACAAGGCGTAGATAGACACGTCGCAAGTGACGTCCAGGCCCTTCTCCTTACTGAGCGCAATAAGCTCAACATCGTCTTTGCTGGTGACGGATGTGACATGGATCTTACGGTTGTGAAGGCTGGCGAGCAAGAGGATCGAGGCAAGGTCGGTCGCCTTGGCATCCGTGACAATGGGCTTGTTGGTGGGCCATACGGAGAAGTGCTGAGTCACAGCAGCGACCTTGTTGATGTTTCCGCTCAGGTGGTTAAAGGGAATGAACAGCGAGCCCACCTCTCCGGTAACCTCACTAATCAGGTTCGAGTTCGAGGCAGTCGAGGCCACAGAGAAGTTGTAGTCACAGAATCCAGCATTGCGGCTGTTGGCCTGAGCAATAGCAAGAGACTTGGCATCCGAGACGGAGCTGTCCAGACCCACCGGCATGACGCGGATCATGCTGAAACCAGCTGCGATAGATGCCTTGGTAGCCGTCTGGAAATCTTCGCTGCCAGGAGCGGCAACACCAGGCACAAAAGCGGCGACATTAACGAGACCCGGAAGATACACCAGGCGGTGGCTGGTCTGGTAGTCAACCTTTACAACCTCTAGCTGCCGGTGGCGCGCAATAGCCTCAATGAGAATCTTGGCGTTCTTGACGTTTGTCACAAGGGGCGTCTGGTAGTCCACTGCCATACGTCTGGTGCGGTAACCCTTGCTCATGTAGTTCGCAGGTCGCCTGAAGCGGTTGCTGCTGGGAAGATTGATGTACAGATCAATGAGGTTGTTGGCCAAGTGCTGCGTCAGAGAATACTCGGACTTTTGCTGGTCGGCCTCTCCTGCAAGAATCTCGAGGTACTGCACGGGAAGACCATGCTCCTGCAGGAAGTCGGCCGTTCCGGCAGTAGCGAAGAGATTGTATCCAAGCTTGTGCAGCTTTTCAACCGAGGGCAGCATCTCCATCTTGTCTTTGAATGATCCAATGGAGAGGAGAATGTTCTTCTTGGGGAGCTTGAATCCGGTGGAGACGAGTGCCTTGAGGTAGGCCTCATACTTGTCGCGACCAAAGCAAGCAACCTCTCCGGTCGATGCCATCTCTACACCAAGTACGGGATCGGCACCAGACAAACGAGAGAACGAGAACTGGGGAACCTTGACACCAACATAGTTCTCAGGGACATCTGTAGGTGGGTATTCCGCGAATGGAATGCCCATAATAGACTTGGTCGCCAACTCAATCAGGTCGACACCCATCACCTTAGAAACGAAGGGGAAGGATCGCGCAGCGCGGACGTTACACTCGATGACCTTGATATCATTGTCCTTGGCAATGAATTGGATGTTATAAGGTCCAGTCACGTTCAGGGCGGCACCAATCTTCCTGGTAGCGTCCTCAATACGGCGAACAGTCTCGGGAGCAAGGTCCTGAGGAGGCAAAATCAAGGTAGCATCACCAGAGTGAACACCGGCGTTCTCAACATGCTCAGAAATGAAGTGTCCGACCATTTTGCCATCCTTGGCAACGGCGTCCATTTCAATCTCCTTGGCATTCTCAATGTATTTGGTGATGACGACAGGATGGTCGCGAGAGACTTCAGCAGCCTGGTTGAGATAGCTAGCCAGGTCATCTTGAGAGTACACAGTGTTCATGGCCGCTCCGGAAAGGACGTACGAAGGCCGCACGAGCACAGGGTACGAAACCTTTTCGCAAAAATCGGAAGCTTCTTCAAAGCTCGTGAGCTCTTTCCAGGCCGGCTGGTCGACACCGATGCGATCCAACATACGAGAGAACTTGTAACGGTTCTCAGCCGTGTCAATCAGCTCAGGAGAGGTACCGAGGATCTTAACATTGAGACGATGAAGGGGCAAAGCAATGTTGTTTGGCGTCTGACCACCCATGGAAATGATAACACCCTTTGAGGACTCGAGTTGGTAGATGTCAAGGACGGTCTCCAAGTTGATGTTCTCAAAGTAGAGCTTGTCGGCCTCATCGTAGTCAGTGCTAACGGTCTCAGGGTTGTAGTTAACCATGACCGTCTTGTGGCCCTGCTCGCGAAGAGTGCGGATGGCGCGGACAGAGCACCAATCGAATTCGACGGAGGAGCCAATACGGTAAACACCAGAGCCGAGGACCATAATGCCTTGATCGTCAAACGAAACGTCGTGCTCAGAGCCATTGTAGGTCATGTAAAGATAGTTCGTGAAGGCAGGGAACTCGGCGGCAACAGTATCAATCTGCTTGACAGCAGGAACGATGCCAGCTTCCACTCTCAGACGACGAACCGCGAGCTCATTGGAGCTCACAAACTTGGCAATCTGCCTGTCGCAGAAACCGAGCTGCTTGGCACGTCGGAGCATCGACACGGGCAAGCTGCCAGCAGTGTAGTCGGTAAGAGTCTTGCTAAAGTTGCTCAGGCCCTTAAGACGGCTAAGGAACCACTTGTCGATCCGGGTCATCTCCCAGATCTTGTCGACCGAGTAGCCGGCAGCCATGGCATTGGCAATGGCAAAAAGACGCTGATCAGAAGGCGTCTGCAGCTCATTGTCAATGGACATGAGCGCGTTGGTCTCGTTGAATCCCAGGTTGTGGAAGTCGACGGAACGAATTGCTTTTTGAATTGCTTCCTCAAAGGTACGTCCGATACTCATCACCTCACCAACACTCTTCATAGAAGAGCTGAGCGCGGTTGAAACCCGAGTGAACTTCTTAAGGTCCCAGCGAGGAATCTTGACAACAACATAATCAAGAGATGGTTCAAAGCAGGCGCAAGTAACCTTGGTCACAGAGTTGGAAACCTCGTTCAAGGGGATACCCAATCCCAACTTGGCTGCAACAAAGGCCAGAGGATAACCAGTAGCCTTTGAAGCCAAAGCTGACGAACGAGACAGACGAGCGTTGACCTCAATAATGCAGTATTCTTTGGAGTCGGGGTTCAAGGCATATTGAATGTTACATTCTCCGACCACACCAAGGTGTCGAATAACATTGACAGCAGTGGTTCGAAGCATGTTGAAGTCTTCATCAGACAGAGTCTGCGAGGGAGCAACGACAATGGAGTCACCCGTGTGGATACCAAGCGGGTCAAAGTTCTCCATGTTACAGACCGTAATGCAGTTGTCACGAGCATCACGGACAACCTCGTATTCAATCTCCTTCCAGCCCTTCATACTCCTCTCGATGAGAACCTGAGGACTAGCAGCAAAGGCAATGTTGCAAAGATCGAGCAACTCCTCCGTGTTGTCGGCGAAGCCACTGCCCAAACCACCCAAAGCATAGGCAGCACGAACAATGACAGGATAGCCAATCTGGTCAACGACGCCAAGCGCTTCTTCGACTGAGTTGGCAGAAGCGGACTTGGCGCACTTTTCGCCAATGGAATCCATGCTACGAGCGAAAAGCTCACGGTCTTCGGTGGTGATAATAGTATCAATCGGCGTACCCAGGACCTTGACGCCCAGCGCCTCGAATTCGTCCTTGAGCTGGATACCGACCTGCAAAGCAGTCTGACCACCAAAGGTGACGTAAATAGCATCAGGCCGCTCGTGCTTGATGACTTTGCGCACAAAGTCGGCGGTGACCGGCAAGAAATAGACCTTGTCGGCCAAGCCCTTTGAGGTTTGCACCGTGGCAATGTTTGGATTGATCAGGACAGTATAGATACCCTCCTCCTTAAGAGCCTTGATAGCCTGACTTCCGGAGTAGTCGAATTCACCAGCCTGTCCAATGCTCAAACCACCACTTCCCAAGACAAGCACCTTCTTGACATTGACACGGGGGTGGAGACGCTCATTCTCCTCAATGTCACCGCCAGGGAAAGAGACGGGTTGCAGAAGAGCTTCTGTCGAAGCCAAAGACTTTTGAATGGTATTGATGAAGACGTCAAAGAGGAACTCAGTGTCGCGGGGACCCGGATTGCTCTCCGGGTGGAATTGCACACTGAAGTAAGGGCGGCTGACGTGACGGATACCCTCGTTGCTACCGTCGTTGGCATTCACAAAGAGTTCCTCCCAGCCTTGAGGCAGATTCATCGCGTCCACCGCATAACCGTGGTTTTGCGAAGTGATGTAGCATCGGCCCGAGAGAAGATTGGTGCAAGGGATGTTGTGGCCGCGGTTACCGAACTTCATCTTGAGCGTGGATGCACCCGCTGCGCGAGCAAGAATCTGGTGGCCCAAACAGATGCCAAAGATAGGGGTGCGGCCCTCGGCCATAGCAGTGGCGACGTGCTTGACGGTCTTATCCAGCATTGCTGGGTCACCAGGACCGTTGGACAAGAATAGACCATCATACTCCTTGCCGGCCAGTTTGGGGAAGTCATAGTCCCAGGGCACGACTTCGACCTCTACGCCCCTCTTGAGGAGACAGCGGAGTTGGTTGTACTTCATACCAACGTCTACAGTAACTACACGGACGGGGCGTCCAGAAGGGTGACGCAATGCCTTCGAAGCGGGGGGAGAGAAACGACGAGGTTGTCGAATTGACACTATTGCATAACACAATTAGACACTTGATGCATGATGAGAGAATCTCAAATATCTTTGCTCACCTTCCTCGACAAGATTTTTCTCATTGGGATTGTACCAAGGGATCTCTTCAAATCCGCTTCGCCATTCTGTGGTAGCCACGGCCTCGAGCTGACGGCCAGACTCGGCGGACTTTTGGAGTAGCATACGGCCGAGCATGCTACCTTCCTCTCGGATCCGCTTGGTGAGAGAGCGGGTATCGACACCATGAATGGCTGGAATGCCCTGTTCCTTCAACCAGGTACCCAGTGAGGAAGCGGCCAGATAGTGAGAGTAATCCTCGCCGGCATAAGTAGAAGTGATGAGACCGGCAATGTGAATCTGCGAGGATTCAAAATGGGCAGGAAGATCGCCCAGGAGCTCGTCCAGGGTCTCTCGCGATGGAACGCCATAGTTACCCACCAAAGGGAACGTAATGACGAGCAATTGACCCCGGTAAGAGGGATCCGTAATGGACTCGGGATAACCAACCATACCGGTCTGGAAAACAAGTTCACCGGCAACGCTCTTCTCGGCACCATAGCTGTAACCCTGGTAGACGGTGCCATCCTCGAGCTCAAGGCTGACAAGACCGCCATCCTGGGCCAGCCTGGGGGAGACGGGCGGGTGAGGAATGCCTTTGGGGATGCCCTTGGAGCCATGTGTGGTCAGCACGGGACTCTGGGCAACCTCAACGCCGTCCACGACGCCAGCCGCTTGAGCAGTGGAGAGCGCGAGTGCCGGGCTCTGTCCAGCCCGGTGAGGGGAAGTTGGAGAGGAAATGGAAGGCATGTCGTCGAGGGACTACCGTGTTTAGAGGTGGAAAGATTTAAATTAGAGAAGGGATATTGAGGGAATATAAGGAACGAAAAAAAAAAGTTTTGACTGCGGGTGACAATATAGAATTGAGTGAACAATTCAAGGAATTGGTATCAAATGATGAATTGAGAGTTATTGATGACCCATGGAGAGACCTCGAGCAGCTCTTTTCCCCGTGGGCAGTGGGCTTCTCAGAGGGTCAGTCTACCGTGTTGGTCACACTGTAGATAGATGAAAGTCTCACGAGCAGCTACTTCCACGACGTTTTGCTTTCTATCTCAGAAATTTTCCCGTAGCGGGACAGCCAGGGTTCGTCAAATGCAATGCAAACAGGACAAACTCTTTAGAAAAAATTTCCTTTCAGGTCAATCATTTGACCCAAAAACGGATAAACAAGCGAGGTTGATAGAGCCAACGAGGTAAATCAACCAGGCTATGATGACATACTCTAGTCTACAACAGGGTTAGCGGCGATCCGATGCAGCTGGCAAAATGCAAGATGTGGAAGGAACGAGGGAACGAAGGAACGAGCTGGGAAAATATACCACGGCAGAGGTTGCCGAGACTTTCCGATGCCAGCCACAGCAAGCTTTTTCTTCAGGTAACCACTACTTTGGTCCACTCGCGACCTTTTTCACCTGAGACCCCAGAAGTTCATCCCTTCTCTCACTTTTCACTCTTGAGGTGTGTTCCCATTCGACGGCCTTTTGTTGATAGCTTTGTGCTCCGGCCAATCACCAAATGCCCCTCCTTTGTCTCACTGAAGACGGAGGGCACAGACCTTTAATATCTGTTTGACTTGCTTTTTCATACTTGGTAGATCATAGGGTCATCAATGGCCGCTTGGTTCTGTTCAAGCTTCACCCAGCCTTTTGCTCACTCTTGCGCATCTATCATCTAGCGCATGAATTTACGTATGAGATTTCAAGCATTGGGCGGGCCCATGATATAACAGAGTACTCGGTAACAAGCATTCTTCGGCTATGACGATAGCTCATTCGTTTACTTTCCAGCTGCCGCCAAGGCTAGGTAGGAAGGTATGGACCCTGAAAAGATACCTCACTTACAAATGTAGTACTGGAGAAGAAGAAGTACGATGCGAGATTTTGTCCTGCCTGCCGAGTCTGGCCTCTTGTAATTTTCTAAAGCACCTAGCTTCAATATACAATACAGCAGAAAGTAATGAAAGACGGCAAACGAAGGGTTGGGGCTCTGTGTGGAGCAAGTCACACGGACTTGAAAGCTGCAGCCGTCATTGGGCGATAAAAGCGGTGAGGATCCATGCATGGTAGGCCCTGCTCCAAAAAAATATGGTCAAAGCCCATTGCTTTTCAGCGTCCTTTTGCGGGTCCAGTCTGATCATGTCGACAACAACGAAAATAGAACGGCCTCAGTAATGATGCTAAAAGCTGGAGGAGGGGCTCCTGCTTTGTTTCCCCGCCGCATTCATGACGAACAAGCCGGATATGCGCCGCTCTCGAGTACTTGTAGTGATTTCGTCCCGTAAACACAAGATCATCGTAGTACGTGGATGCGCTTTAGAGCGAGCAATCAGCCTTTGTGACTCAATGCAGTATAAGGCTTCTCTTTTGCTCTTCACTTCTGCCCAAAAAGCTCTTTATGGAAAGAGCGACACACCAAGCTAAGCCGCTGCCTAAATCAAAGCAAGTAAACCTTGGGGCGGCGCGTCGCAACAAGCGTGGATAATCATACAGGGATCAGGGTAACAAATACACCTTGGTTTCTGCCCCGTTATCCTCGACCTCGCATGGTCTCATGATTGATAGCCCTCAATGATGAGTTTATTTCACACAGAGACTACATTATTTTATCCCTTCTTGTAGCCTGATATCTTATCCATAAAGACGATACTCATTTTCTCTCTCGATTTGGTTCTCGACTGTGGTTCACCCGGATCCCTAAGAGTCGGTTTCCAGCAAGCAGTCTCCCATTAGAGATCCTGCTCTGTCGCTTTCGCGGCCGTTTTTGCGTTCGCTCACATTCCGTTCAATTTCAAAGTATCTCTCATCCGAACGAATGCATCGATAACGACTCACGGAAGCAAAAATGTTGTCGTCCTTGTTTCGGCCCAAAAAGGCGCGTCGGCGGGTTGACAGATCGCCCTACTCTACAGATATTGATAGTGACGAGGGGCAGTCGCCTCATGCAGGGCGCTACAAGGCAGGGATGAATATGGGACCTGACGAGAATCAATCCGAAGACGAAAGTGAAGACGATTATGACTATGATGACGGGGAAGAAGACGATGATGAAGATGGTGATGATACCCCTCTGCTTCCGATTTTCTCTGCGGCACATCTAGGTATGCAATTTCCAACCTTCTTTCGCTTTTGGAGATCTAACAGATGAGCAGATTCCCTTCCCGTCTACAATATCACGCATACCATACGTATATTGATTGTCCAGCGCTGTGAAACTACATTGACCTGGGAGCAACTTCGCTCTCCTCAGGTTTCGCAGTTCCTAGTAAAGCCTATACAGCAACAGATTCGCACGTCCCATTTTTCTCGTGCAACTCTATACGCCTTGATGGCGAATTGCCTTCAGTTCATCAAGGAATTTCAAACGAATCCCGGAAACAGTGGGACGAGCAAGACAAGAGCTTTTATCTCTGAGCTGCTAGCCATTAAATTGCTCAAAGAATATTCTACCCGAGAAATGGTACGTGTCATTTTTTTTTCTTCGCTGAAAAACCTCCCTCTCTCTGTCTATCTTGCTAACACGATGATGTAGATTGGTTCGTCATTTTGTCCTCCATTCGCCGTGCGCGCATACTGACGTATACCGGCTTAGATGCTCTCTCATACGACTTCAATCCCCTTCAAGGTTTGGGCCCTCCCGTCACTGGGCATTCGACGCCTGCTGTCTATCGCAAGGCCGGAGCACCCAGAATCTCTACACTCGAAATTGCCATCAGAGCCCAAGCCAAGCGATTCCTTGCTCACCCACTGGTGGTCCAGCAGCTCGAAGCTATATGGGCTGGCACAATCGTCTTCCACTCCTATGCAGATAGCCTACACCGTGCATCACCTAAACCAGAATCCCTTCCTGCCAGAGCCTATGGTGCGACGGATTCGAGGGATACACTACGCCCCATTCCTGAAGGGATCAGAGTCGATGACGCCGTGAGGCCCTCTGAAGCCCCGACTGTCACATCAAGGCGGTCGGTGACTTTGTACGATCCACGGGACGCTTCGCTCTTCAAGCTTTCGCGACTTCGAGTGCCCCGCTATCGACAGTTTCTGTCCACGTTGTCTCTCGCCATTTTGTTGATTTTGTTTGTTGCCGTCCTCAAGAAGCGATCGCCTGATATTGAACCGCTGGAGGTAATCTTTTGGTTCTGGAGTGCAGGGTTTATGCTCGATGAAGTTGTCGGCTTCAACGAGCAAGGTTTTAGTCTCTACATTATGAGCTTTTGGAATGCCTTTGACCTGGGCATTCTTTTGCTTCTGATGGTGTACTATTGCATGAGGCTGTATGGTATCCTTATGCCAGTTGTCAGACGGCATCACATTGCCAATATGGCGTATGACGTATTAGGAGCGAACGCCGTCTTACTTTTTCCACGCGTCTTTTCGGTGCTCGATCATTACCGCTACTTTTCTCAGCTTCTGATTGCATTTCGCATGATGTCTCTGGACTTTATAGCCGTCTTTATTCTAATCCTTATCGCCTGCAGTGGGTTTTTCATTGCCTTCACCCTATCTTTCGGCGAAAATTTCGATCCTGCAGGAGTAGCGTATGCTCTCTTTCAAATCTTTCTTGGTTTCACCCCGGCTGCCTGGGAACTCTGGCCGACTTATAACCCCGTGGGAAAAGCAGTGTTAACGCTGTTCCTGTTCATTTGCCATTTCCTAATCGTCACCATTTTGATTACGGTCTTGACCAATTCCTTCATGGCCATTGTTCAGAATGCGAATGAAGAACATCAGTTTCTGTTTGCAGTGAATGCCATTTCCATGGTCAAATCTGATGCACTGTTCTCTTACATTGCGCCATCCAATATCCTAGCTTGGTTTCTCACTCCGTTGAGATATGTTTTACCCTTTCGCCAATACGTCAAGCTTAATCGAACAGTCATCAAAGTCACTCATTTCCCGGTTTTATTCTCCATCTTTTTCTATGAAAAGGTGCTGCTACGTTCAGGTTTATTTGAACCGACGGATTTGGTTGAGCACCGTGATCGCAATGGAAAGAGGACGCTCACCTTTGAAGGGAATGGCGGCACCCTTTTTGATCCGGCAAACCGACGATTGAGAGAGCATTCAATTGTGACCTTTCAAAAGGAACGCGCTTTGGACGAAGTCTTTCGTCGACCTTTTCGTGGGCCGACCGTTGTGGAGACGCCGAATGAAGAAGACCAGCGGGTTAATTCGAGTCATGTGGTTAATTCATGGATGCAAGCGATGGGCCCTGACTGGAAAGCAAGTCCGCCACTTGAACAGCCACAGTCCATTGTTGAAAGGTTGGAGTCTCGCCGTCCAATGCCTAGGTTTCGAATGCCAACTACGACCTCCGCACGAGATTTTCTCAGCGGGACAAGGTCGGCAACATCAGATCCAGAGGAATTCGCGACCAATGCTTCGCGTTCAGAGCTGAGGTCTTTTCGTTCTCGCCGCCAGCCTCACAATCTAGAGAGCATCATTTCTGAACATGTTGCTGAACATACTGATGGCGATGGAGACGACGAACTGTTAACCAACGATGAAGATGACCGTGGAACGTTGGGAGCTGGCAACAATGCTGAGAACAATGAGTCCGACAAGGAAAATAATACTGAGGAAATTGATTATTTTCACACACCGACTGCTTCTCAAACCCGAACTCCTCTTGCGTCCAGTTCCTTTTTAGGTCTTCCTGAGGTCGGCAGTGGTCCAGCGCAGTCTTCCAATGAGGGCGTTTCTCCGCGACAGGTTGATGACGCTTCAGCCGCTGCGCGTAAGTCCCATCACCGCATGGCTTCAACTACCACGATTCTCTACTCTCCGCTACCTGATCATGAAAGCTTTACTGCGTCCCCGGTCCAGACGTTCTCTAAGCCAGTATCACGCCAATCTGCGGCGGGAAGCGGTGCCATCACTCCCGCATCTGGAAGTAGACGGCCTGCCAAGCGCAATCGTGAACGACAGCTTGAAAATGAGCGAGAGCGAACTCCTCTAAGATCTCTTCCTCGGCCGATTCCACTCTCCCGTACACAGTTCCAAAGCGCCCCTAATCTGTCGCAGTTGGAGCAGCCTCAACGTTACCGCCGTCGTCGAGCCTCGACTGATCTTGGATCCGACTTTGGTGAAGAACGTCTTGCGCGAAACCCAAAGACTGCCCAGATGCTAAGCGCCGTGCCGTCGAGCTTTGCAACCCAAATGGCCATTGCAACTGGTGCCGTTGGTGGCACACATCACGCAGATGCCGCTGAAGACCTGCGCAGAATGAGCCGGCTGATGCTCACCCGAATGAATGCTCTTGAAGAATCGTTCCGCAACGTTGTCCAGGAAGTCAAGGATTGGAAGCGGCAAGAATTTCAACTCCTCGCAGAAGATAACGATGTACGTCGTCGTAGCCTCGACCGACCGACTTCTCACAAACGGGGTAAACTTCCCGAGCGACGATATCCCAAACGCGCGCGGTCATCGGCGAGAAAGCTTCGAAGCACAGGCGATGCTAGTCGGAGACACAGCGACGAAGGCGACGCAGCAAGAGAAGCCGGCGATGGAACTGAGGCGAGCATGACTAAGGGCAGTTCCATCTAATCGGAATGGTCAGCTGGTCTACTTGCGTCCTCCTTCCGCTTCATTATTTTCCCTCTTCTTCTTTTTTCTTCTCTTTGTTTTTCTTGTGTATCTCACCGATGCGGCGAAATTGGCTAGAGTAGGCTTTGACCTGCATGAACACGAAGCATGAATCAGCATGGTTAGCATTGTCATTGATACACTTGCATACAGATGTTCACATCAGTCCCTTTTTCATTTTGCCCTTTTATTTTCTTTTCCTTTGTCCCTCTACAAGCATCAAAAGGCGTTGTCTTGAAAGAGCGAAGAGCAAAGTCTGTCAAATTTTCCCACAACATTGTATTATTCTTTTTTTTTTCTTTATTTCTCGCGCTTTCACAGTTTCCGCAGTTTTACAGCATGCAAACCAGGGCGTGTACGATACCGCCATAGAACTAGTACAGTTATGTTTTTTTGCTTGGTTTATGATACAGATAAGACTGTGGTGCGGTACAGTCGGTACACGAGCCTACACTCTTTCAATGAGTCGATGAGATGATTAGTCACAATGAAGCCATGATTTTATGATTAAACACATTACCGTGTCCTATCTGCTTTAATTTGCCTTGTCTTGTCCGACTATTTAATACGATTACCTTGTCGTGAATATTATGGTTGTGTCTGGGCTTGTGGCAGAGTATGACTGGCCTAATTGTGCATAGAACAAGCAATATACAGTGCGCATATGATTTACACAAGCTGATAACATTCGCAAAATGTGTAATGTATAAACATACGCCCCATGGGGGGGTTTGGGATGGAAAAGAGAAAGACAGTCCGACATGATATTCTTGATCACATGTATTTTCATTTCCATCATATCTCTGGCCCTCCTTCTTAAATTATTGTGATTTTGTGTGCGTTGTGTCATTTACTCGTGATTTGATTGCATAAAATCGTGCAGACTCGCCGATTCCCGTATTCCGTGCCATTGTTTGCCAATTTCTTCTGCCCGATTCCCAAAACGGGAAGCCATTTTGCGTATAGGAATTTCTGCGCAAATGATGAATCTGGTAAAAAAAAAATTCCCTTCGAGAAGATAGAATAAGAAAGAATATAAAGAAAAAAGCAGGATAAAAAAGAGGGATAAAAATTGAGTGGGGGAAAAAAAAAAGAAAAAAGGAGATGAAAGAAGCAGATATACTTGACAAACGAATATTGATAAGAATATTTTTGCAAAGATGGACAGATCAGGGATCTCAAATATGAGAAGTGAGGAGGTCGTCAAGGCTTAGACTCCGCCGCCTAGATGATGGGATGATTAGTGTGAAAAGCAAAATATGAAAAAGTAAAAGGCAAATAAAATAAACAAATAGATAGATCAAAGAGGTAAAAAAAAAAAAAAAAAAAAAGGAAGTTAGATCAATGAATGAACGTACCGCTTCGCTGTGGATCGACTCGGTAGTCGCCCTCCGTCCGATTCTTCTCCCGCTTGAGCATGATGCTGCGAGATTTGAGACCGAGGTACAAGGCGCCCATGCTCACGACGGCGAATATGGGCAGATTGCGCCGGCTTTGAAGCTAAATTAGAATATCGTCCGGACATAGGGCTAACCAGCGGGAGAACGTTTGTGACAGATGCAGAGCAAAAACACAATGCATTGTACAAGTTTGGATACGGAGAGAAAGAAGTTGGGTATGAGGAGAAACGTAATTTAGATATTTGACGTGAATTAAGAATCGGATCATAGATTGCGGGATAATATAGAAGAGCGGAGCATCGTTTATAGCACGAGAAACAATAAATGTATATGGTGATATGAAGGCTTAGAAGAACAAGCATAAGGCACGTCTTGAAATTACTTGACATGAAGCAAGAACAGTAGATTTGAGGAAAAGAGAAGCGTACTTGAAGTGAGGACTATATGCCATGGTGGACTGCCTAATGCTGATTGGATTTTATCTGATGATCAATTCGAAGAGATCACTTTGACTGGTTTCAGAGAGCCAGCTTCTTCAAGGGCTCGTTTGCACTTTGAATAGCCGGAGCCGGTCCGCGGGGAAGTAATATATAGGATGTAGACGTGGCGGTGTATGTTCGCTATGTACAGTGCTGCGATACAACACCAGGTTTGCAAGTGAAAGGATAAATTGGCGCAGCTACAGAGAGCCACAGACGAGATTCACTCTGAGTTGATTTGAATGACCGTATATATACAGTTCTTGGAAATCCCTAGAAATTGAGATGCAAAGAGACAAGAAGGAGATGAATATGAAAGGCAAGAGTACAAATGTTGGGATATTGCAGCCATAAGTGGTTGGGCAGGGGATCTCTCGCACGCGACACATGACCAGCAAGAGTCTGGGGTAATATTGTTGTATCTACACCATGACGAACACTCATGATAAGTGCAGATGAAAGTACTGCTACTTGATAAGAATAACGTGGCTATCGATAAAGATTTTAAGGTTGCTGGAACGGTGGGGAACTGACACCACAGTGATGTGTCTACGCACAACGGGGGGGGGGGGGGGGGAAGGACAGCATCATTTCCAGAAATGTCTAGAGATGACTGAGCAGAGAAACATTCAATTAAGTCTAGCAGATCAAATTTATTTCATTCAATATGACACAAGTAATTGGTTTTTCACGATTGAATGCCGTCATTGTACCTGGTATGCATTACCTCACTTTTAACATGTCATTTGTCCCCGTTTTAGTGATCGGCTCGTCCCGAGTAAGGATGACTAAGCGTCCCCAGACTTCATCATCATCATCAGCCTCATCTCACTCGTTGTCTTCTGATTATATTCGATAAACGCAAAGTCCTTTCAGTCAACAGCATCGTTGTTGTATTGTTCATCTTATAGTTACTGGAAAATATTACAACTATTGCTGTGTTCTTGTCAATAAGAACATTTCTCCGAGATGGCATCTTCGTCGACGCCGTCCACGCCCCTCCTCTAGTACGCGGTCCTTTCAAGCCCCCCTCCTTGAGCTGTACTAATGGCTTGCTTAGCTCCTGTATTGCTTATCATACGACCATTCTTGCTGAACATACATCATCACCCTCGTCCAAAGCATCTTCTCTGGCGTCGGTTATTCTGCCCAAGATCACCCATGATTCTCCCCAAAAATTGACCTACACCCACAATGACAACTATATCCATTACATTGCCGATGCGCCTTCTGATCACCCTGGAGCCGATCCTTCGGCTGGCGGATTGACTTACTTGGTTATTGCTCGCAGCGACCTTGGTCGTCGCATTCCTTTTGGGTACCTTGTCGAAATAAAAAAGCGGTTCCTCGCATCTTATAACCCGCAATCCACCGATTTTGGCGCCCTGCCATCTTATGGCGCCGCTGCATTCAACAGCGAACTGAAGACCCTCATGACCGAGTATGGAACGACAAAAGCAGGTCAGGCGGATGCAATTACCAATGTTCAAAACGAGATTGAGAATGTCAAGGGCATCATGACTGAGAATATTGAGCGCGTCTTGGAGCGCGGCGAGCGCATCGACCTGTTGGTTGACAAGACGGATAGGCTTGGAGGAAGTGCACGCGACTTTCGTGTACGCAGCAGAAGTCTGCGGCGGCGCATGTGGTGGAAGAACATCCGCCTCATGTTTCTCCTTGTCGTGGTTATCATCTTTTTAATCTATCTCTTTGTCGGCTTTGGCTGTGGGCTTCCAGGTATGTAGAACTTCCAAACGCTATCCTGTTCGACCAAGGTACTAATGATGCCGCAGGATGGTCCAAGTGTATTGGATCGCACAAGTAATTTATAGCTGTTGCTGCTTGTCCCATACGAGGACGATGTAGGTTCTAGCACCTATCATCTTTTCACGCTGGAAACTTTGTACTTTTATGATTAGGGCCTTTGTCCTTGGCTGTATTCCTCGACTTGATTCATTGGTTTAATTGTTTTTGTGATATCCCATCCTTCGTTGCTAGCCAAATATAGCGTCATATAGCATACCAGGTATCGAAAACATAATATTGAACACAGTAACGGATATAAATAAGTAGTTGATAAAAGGAAATGGTAACAGAAACAGATGCCTTTCTTGCTCGTCGTTATAATTTGGTTTGACCTTCTCGAGGGGCCTGGCCTGCTAGACGACCCGTGTCCCAGACGTAGCCTAAAGCGACAGGACGATCTGTGGAGCCAGCAGTGGATACTGGGAAAGGAGGCTTTTGAAGGCCATTTGTAAAGAAGACAGGATGACGAGTTGCGGGGTCATACGCCGTTGGGGGCATGGCTTCTATTTGCGAGCCAGGTCGATGCACTTGTTGCGTGGGCGCCGTCCCTGACGAAGGCCCACTTTCATTTTGGAGATGTCGTACTTGCTGTTGCCCCTGAGATGACCGCACTGGCTGTGCAGATGGGAACTATATATCGTTTCAGCATTGGACTGCCATGGTGGGAAGGGGTGGGGTGCAGATATCAACCTTTGGCCGAGATGGCTGCAAAGACGAAATCATGGAGAACGGTAATTACTTGAAGTCAAATAATATATTTATAAAGGAAATAATTACCACGAACAATTATTATATTCTCCAGATTTCCAGAAAAATGCTGGGTATAAAAAGAGTGTTGATAGATACTCCGTAGCTGATACCTCGGAGTTGCATACTGAATCCGTCTAATCATCGGACGTCATCGGCCCGTGATTGTCAAAACAACCGTCCTCCGTGCGTGAGTCAACACCAACAGCGACAACTGATAGATAACAAAATATAACCCAATTGGCGGTTACATGGGCTGAAGTAACAATTTTTGAGCTTCAGATTTGGCAATGCGACGCCCTCTACCGTTTCGCCGCTGGTGTAACCCCCAGCTCCTTACCAGGGCAGCATCGACCAAAGCTACAAAACCCCCAATTGTTCGGATCAAGGATGCAACATTCTACCGCCAATATCCTCAGCCCGGCTCTTCTCCAGAGGAAGAGAAGAAGAACCCACCTCTTTTCCCCGAATTAAGCTTCTCGATACCCTCATTCTCGTCCGAACCGCAGCATTGGTCCATTATCGGCCCTTCGTCCTCTGGAAAGACTACGTTTCTTGAGATCTTGCGCGGACAACACCTCTCCTTTCCGCCTACTGCTCGCTCATACCCGTACCTCGCGAGCGATGAAATCGCTTCCAAAGACCTGCGACTCCGCTTCCCTGGCCGTGCTTTACAGCATGTCGGATTTGCTGGAGAGAGCGGAGGTCTTGCCGGAACGGGCACTCGAGGCGCATACCTGAGCGCGCGGTACGAGAGTCGGCGCGAGGAGACGGACTTTTCCCTCTTGGACTTCCTCAAGGGCCACACGGAGTTGAACCCTTCAGAGGATGGCAAAGAGACTGCAGAGGAATCTGCGTTTCTTCAGAATGTCATTCGCGACCTACGGCTTGAGAGTCTGGTTGATATGCCCGTGGCCAATCTGAGCAACGGGCAAATGAGAAGAGCAAGGATTGCGAGAGCGTTATTAGGAAAGCCAGAAGTCCTTTTACTCGATGAGCCTCTTAGTATGTCATGTTCTTGTTGAGACGCGCAATGCTGGAGCTTGACCTCATATTGCACAAGCCAACGAAGCCTCGATACCAATATTTGCTGACGAGAAGTGCGTTCCTTTCAATAGTGGGCCTTGATCCTCCTACGCTCACCACCCTCTCTCCTCTTCTGCACCGCCTAGCAGAGGATCATAACCCTCGACTCGTCCTCGCACTTCGCCCGCAGGATCCCATTCCAGACTGGATCACACATCTCTGCTACCTCGGCCCAGACTGCACCATTGAACACCAAGGGCCCAAGGAAACTGTGCTTTCCAAACTAAAGAGCGCCGCTACCAGCGGCAAGACCAAAACGCACATTCTCACCCTAAGTGAAGTCGGCCGAACGCTCACATCCACTGGCATCATTGAGCCTGGAAGCTCCGCAACATCAGCACCGTCAGCAGGCACAGGTGATATGAACTGTACCACAGGCGCACCATCGTTCGCCTCACGCGGCGAAGCGCTTATTGAAATGGAAGGCGTCAAAGTCAGCTACGGCGACAAACAAATCCTCGGAACCTGGGAGCAAGACGTCAATGGCGAGAAGAAGAAAGGGCTCTGGTGGACTATTCGTCGCGGCGAGCGATGGGGCATTTTTGGCCCTAATGGTTAGTTCTCTCCAAACTCCTCCCTTTTCCTCCCTCCAGCCTATCAAAACCTATTCATGGTTCTACAATTCCCTGACTAAATTACTCAAAACCTAATGATTCAGGCTCCGGCAAAACCACGATCCTTTCACTCATATCATCCGACCACCCCCAGACATACTCCCTCCCCATTCGCCTCTTCGGCCGCTCTCGTCTCCCTCAGCCCGGCAAGCCAGGCATCAGCATCTTCGACATCCAATCCCGCATGGGCCAATCCTCGCCCGAGATTCACGCATTTTTCCCCAAATCCCTAACTGTCAGACAGACCCTCGAAAACGCATGGTCCGACACTTTTCTATCAAAGCCACAACTCAATCACGAGCGCGATCTCGACGTCGATGCTGCCCTGCGCTGGTTTGCGTCCGAACTTAATCCCTCTTTATCACCCTCCTCCTCTTCCTCTTCCTCTTATTCCTCTTCTTCGCCGTCTACCAAATCCCGAGCTAGAGCCGGCGCCCCAACTACTCGCGCCCGTAAATCCGCTACTTCCGCTTCCCCAGCACAATACTACGGAGAAGACGACGATCTCGACTGGGCAGACAGTCTCTTATTCGGCCAAATCCCCTTCTCCGCCCAGCGCGTCGCCCTCTTCCTCCGCGCCGTGATTAAGCATCCCGACCTCGTCATTCTCGACGAAGCGTTCAGCGGCATGGACGACTACGTGCGTGACAAGTGCTTGTTGTTTTTGGAACATGGCCAGACTATGACTTTTGATTCTTCCTCCTCCTCCTCCTCCTCCTCCTCGTCCTCGAGAACCACCGCCAGCACAATATACCCCACCCGCTCCATCGTCCCTACGTCTCTCCCCAAGTCCCAAATCCGCCTCAAAGGCCTGCGTCCCGACCAAGCCCTCGTCTGCATTTCCCATGTCCGCGAAGAAATTCCCTCGGTGGTGCGCGAGTGGATGTGCCTGCCTGAGCCGAATGAAGGCAAATCGCTGCGTCTCGGACGCCTCACCGGTCCGTTGGGCAGAGACGTTCAGCGCTGGACGCAAATATGGGGAATGTAGGATTCGTCCGGAGTTTCTCTGCCTCTCCCTCTCTCTCCCTCTCTCTTTGATGACCTTTGTTCTACGGGTACCCATTGTTTAATTAGATGAGGATGTATAAAAGGATAGTATTAAATATCTGTGTCACATGTCATAGAAGCAATAGTTTAAGTATTTGCATATTGGGTAGTAGTTATTAGTGAGCCTTTCTACGCAAAATTGCGGATTTTTATCCAAAAGTATCAAGGAAAAATTCAAAAGCATTTATTGGGCCACGAACAGGGAATAGATAAAATTTCAGACAATGATGCATTGCTACAAGATGTCAAAAGTAGTATAATGTACGTACAGCCGAAGATTGAAAAATGAGAAAAGGGAAAAGACAAAATAAGAATTAGAAAGCAAGAAATGGAGCAGGGGAAAAAAAAGAATTGGGGAATTTCTCTAAACCAACGAAAACATTATCAAAGATGAATATCAACAAACATATCAATGCAGTTCACACATTTCACCCACAGGCGCCATTCACGACATGGCGCGCCCTTTACCCTTCTTGGTACTACTTCTACTCTGACCACTGGCGCGAGTATGCGAAGACGGGCCAAGGGCAGGAAAGTCCTTGTCGTCCAGCACAGCAGCGGCAGCAACACTACCATCTAGGCTGTCTTTTCGCGGAATGTTATGCGTGACGCTAAACGCTGTCGTTGGTGGGTCGACTGGTGTATCATCACCGGTGGCGGTGCTGCTGCTCCTGCTGCTCGAACGACGTTTATCATTGCTGGCGCCCGCACTGGTATCGTCACCGACTTCTGCACCGACATCTGCACCGGATGGCGTATTCTCGTTTTCAATAGCGGGCGCCATGAGAGCATTAGCCTTGGCTTCGGCTTCGGCTTGAGCTTGGGCTTCGCGACGAGATTGTTCCTCTGCAAGACTGAGTTGGAGAGCAAAGTCGAGATCGTCGCTCATATCCATTTGATTGGTATCATTAGACTCATGGGGTTGTGAATGCTCTTTGGCAGACTGCGCGATAGCATCAGCACGAGAATTAGATCCCGAGCCGGAGCCGGAGGATCCAAGCCCATTCCCATTGGTCGAAGAATAATATCCAAATGGAGGGTCGTGAATAACTTTACTGGAGCCAAAACCAGGAGCTCCAGAAACCGTATCGTCTTCGGCAAGCCAGGCGGGATCAAAGTCCTCTGGGAGCTGCCACGATGGCGACGGTGGCTTGGCGCCTTTGCCCCACCGTACGGGAACATCGGGCAAGTGAGCTGCCGCAGTTGGAGAATTAGCAGCCTCTTCGAGACTCAAACGAATTGCTTGCGCGAGTTCAGGATCAAGTTCTTCGTCTTCTTGAATGAGATGCTCAGTGGAGCCGGGATCTGTGTCAGGCACGTTTGCTGCGCTGATCTTTGAGACTGCAGTGTTGCCGCTAGCGTTTGCAGCAGGTGTGGCGCCGGTACTGGGACCGTCGAAAGCAGCACTTCCAGCTTCGGCAATTGTGGATGCATCACCGTATGCTACATTGGCAATCTCGCTCTCTCGTCGCTCCTGCTCGGCTTTCAGGCTTTCCTCGCTTAGCAATGCCGCGTAGGCGAGAATGTCTTCTTCCGTAGCATCCTTGCCTAGTAATTCTGTGCCAAATCGACCAGCAAAACGTTCCGCCTCCCGTCGCTTTTGGGCCTTTTCAACTTCGAGTTCATGCTGCTCGTTGGCAATATAGCCCCGCATAGCGCCCCGGCCAGATCCAGAAAATCGTTCTCCGCCGGCATTACTTCCTCGCTCAGATCGGCGAAGCCGGCGTTTTTGGCTCTTGTACTGCTCAGCCGCGGACGAACTGTAACTCCAGTATCGAAGATACGTGCCCAATGAGACCATACCCCGAAGTACTGTTGGATCAGGGTCTAGGAAAACAGCCCCTGCTGCAAAAAGATTGATTCCCACACCCTCGATGGATGCTTCGGCTTGAACAAGACGGCGCCGAGCACGGGAAGAAAAGCGTGAATGCAGGGTTCGAATCGGCGAGAGAGTTGAAGCTAGTGGATCCCATGCCTGAACAAGGCCATCGTTGCCGCCATGAACAAGGTAGAGCGCTGACAAGGCAAGACAAGAGATTTGTGGGGAGTCTGTATGAATCACCCTTATCGGAGTTACAACGTTATCAATGTCCGCATTCGCCGGGGGCGCCGCACGCATGTCCCATACAAGGATGCTGCCCGTTTTAGTTCCGACGGCAAGAAATCGGGCACGGTGCCCGGGAACATCAGACATATTGAGTGACCGATATGGCTCTTGTGGAGGCGTAGCTAGTGGAGTTGACGCCGCAGAAAGACCGGAGAGATTGAGTAGTGGGTCTTCAGATGCTGTCAACTGAGCATATGCAGACTTGTCAATTGCAGATACAGTGATTTGACTCCCTTTCAATGATCCAAATTCGTACTTAGAGAGCCGCCATTCTTCGTAGGCTTGCTGCGGAGAATTGCGAGATGCCAACAGCTCAGGCGTGCTTGGACCTGATGTGTCACTTGCAGGAGGAAGCGGTACATCAGACACTTCACCCACTGGTCCGCCAAAGAGAGAAGGCTTCTTCCCGGGGATTGTAGGCTTAATGACCGGTGTTGCTTGTGGGGTCGATGGACCGCTTCCAAAGCGTTGGCCCTGATTGACTCTGAATCGAACAAATCGTTTGACATCTGCGGTCGTGCCATGGTCCAAACCACATCCAATAACGAAAATTGCTTCGCCTGCATCATTCCCATCATCACCAGCAAAGTCTACCTCCAACCGCCTTCGCATATCCCAGCCTTGGCATATTTTCCGGAAATGCTTCGGCTGGAAGTTGAGAAATTTTTCAATCTCCCGTGTCTCAGCCATCAATTGCTCCCGTCCCAGGCCAACGCCGTCCCAGGATGACCGCGGAGTGTAACTTCCGTCGACTTCAGATCGGCTGTAAGGGTCAACTCTAGCAAGACGGCGAGTGGGTTCCACAAGTGTCCATTGCACTGTCCTACCAGTCGACCATGCCAATCGTTCAGTTTCCAGCAAATCGAGCCTAGCCTGGCGGTCAATCTCGTGCCGTTTCGGAAACTCGGAAAGATAAAACACTTCTCCTAAAGCATTAAGAGCAACGGCCCAGATGCGAGACTTGGCGAAACGCTTGGCTGAGAATACCTCATCAACTACAATTGATATAATCGGCACTCCTGGGCTGAGAACCCATCGCGCCGTTATTTCCCCGCGGCCAAGGCGTTGATCGTTGAGCCCGTCAGCTCCAAAACTGTATGCTGTCACTATTCCGCAAGAGGAGCCGCTCAGAATCCCAATCAATCCATCGCTCATAGAAGGGATCATATTGGATTTCGCAATCCAAACTGAGTTGATTGACTCTGCCTGCGTAGGCACCTTGGGTATGCCCTTTTCCGGGGTGGCATGAGCTACAGATCCAAGCAGGAAGCGGCCTCTCATCTCCTCGGTTGATCGATAGTATACCGAACCTCCCGGGGTACCCTCGCCGTACACGCTGCCAAACGGTTGGCTCACATCCATGACATTCGGAGCTCCAACAAGCTCCCCAGGACCTAAGCCATATGGCGCATCGCCGGGGTGCGTGTCTGAAAACTGCAGAAAGCGCTGTGGATCTGTCAAACCCCAGGCGTCCACTTTACCCGTCAGAGGGTCACTCAGACGACTGGATCCATCCTCATCTGCGCCATGGATGAATTTGGGAAGCTTCTTATTTAAACCTGCGCCAAATGTAACGTGGATATGATTGACAGTCGTGTAGTGCTGTGAATAATAGGTATTAACTGCATTGCCTTGTGTTGAGCCGGAGCGGGAGGGCGTAGCAGGTGATTGCTGCAGCTGGACCGGCTTTCCGCGCCCCAAAGACCGAAGTAGCCGCGTGCGTAAAATATATTCACTCCTCCAGGAGGCGAGGGCGCTCAATCGAGTGAACACCCTTTTCTCAGACCGCAGTTCATCAATGCCATCATCTGAATCGTTGTCACTGAAGATTGAAGATCCCAGGAGCTGGAAGGCATCCAAGCCGGGAAAGAAGCGCGAAAAGGCGACTCTCCAAGAGTGCGGCGTCGTAACAAGGTCGCGAAACCGACGAGAAACGAGAGCAACTGCTGACAAAGAGGAAGGTGGTAGATATGACAGAACATGCGTTAGAACCTCTGTGTCGTGTTAGCTATACAGATCTTCGCGCATCCTTGGCGTAATCTCTCACCATTGGGGAATTCTGCAAGTGGCGACCTGTTAACACCCGGGCGCACTACACGCGACTTGATGACCTGGAAGCCAAGAGATTGGTGGCGTTTCGATGGAGATGGAGACAATGCCTGCTCATACTGCGTAATTCGATCTGCTGACGGGTGGTGCCCAAGGTCCGTACGAGGACTAGGCTCGCCAAACAATGAAGGCGTTAGAGTTGCATCTCCTATGGTATGTGACTCTACTCTCTCGGGGGATGGTCTGCTAGTCATTGGATCCGTGTCATTGTGACTTCCATTTATGTTGCTCGTAATAGGAGTAGCTACGGCAGTTGGAGCCAGCTTTCCTTCCGCAGCTCTGGTTTCAGTCGCGTCAACCTGTGTAACATGCACTTCCCCCTTTTTCATCCCATTCTCTTGCTGTTGAGCCTGGCCATTTTCTGGTCTAAGCGGCAGATTTTGAGATTGGACCTCTTCCCGCGGGGTAGAGGAGAGGGGCGACTTCCGCAGCCCCTCATCCCCCCCTGGAATCTTATCTGCGCGACGTTTGCCATGCTGAGAATGAGAAGAGGAGTGTTCTTTGATTGGGACGCTTGTCAAAGTACTGTTTTCAGCTTTAGAAGGCTCGGATTGCATATAAGACGCGTGGAAGGGTCAGTTAAAGAAGGGTGCGAAACTGAGCCAGCTTCGAGAAGTCTGGTTCAGATTTAAGCAAAATATGACGAAGGATTGCTAAGGGAGCGGAAGGAGAAGAGGAGATCAAATAGGATGATAAGTGGCGAAAAGTAGATAATGCGTGAGCGGCGACGAAGATGTTGGCAGTGAGCCAAAGTAGAAGAAAGGTGAGTCGATGACTGACTACCTCAGTTACCGCGTTTTCGAAATTTGACGTTGAAGAGGGTTTATCACGGAAAGTCATACATACCATAAACGTAATCGCCTTGTGCAAAACTACAACGGTGACAAACTGCAAACATACAAAAACTACTACAATAGCAATGCATTTCCTTACTTGGCCTAGCTAATGGTATTCAATATAATTGTTGATATGGCTTGCCAATTAACTCCCCGTTGTCCCCCATTAATATAACAATGTTGTGAAACTATTTCAGTTATAGCTGTCTTATTAATCTTACAAAATACAAAACATACTTAGTTGTTCTTGACCGGCTATTCTTAGTATTATTAGGCAGCAACTCTATATCACAAGGGCAACCTTATAGCTATAATTGCAGTGTGTAAGTTATAGAAAATGGCAATTAAGACAGATTTTTCGGGGGCTGGACGAGGGACTTTAGTAACGAGAACTTCGGAGCGAGGGGAGCGAGGGGAGCGAGGATGACTCCGCGCTCCCTTAGTAGGGTCGACAGTATAAACCATACCTGCAGCTAATTGTCTATAAATCACAATGTGTGATGGAACGCCCAGGTTGCTTTGTTGCTAGTCACGATTTTTGAATATTAGCATAAGGAAGCTTCAAAATCTCCTTGATCTTATATCGAATGATGTCAGAGCTAACCATGAAATCATATGTTGGTTGGCAGCGTAGAGCATGAGTCCTGTGGTAATTGAGAGGTTTGGATATGAATTGGATAATGAAGTAAATTGACTGGATGTATCATATCTACCGATTCCAAGGCCAAAGAAATAATTTGCAGGAAAGTGCAGAGAAGCTTTACCGCTCTGGATATGGCTTGAGATGCATGCTGAAAAGTTGATGCCTTGTTCAGAATTGAATTACAACCTTGGTTTCTTGATGCTGATCAAATCTTCGATAATATTCTGGCGCCTGTGCAATGTCGATAATACTGCTCACAATGAAGCTCGGGCGAGCTTTGCCACTCTCAATGAGCTCTACTAGCTGGGGCGCCAGATGCTTCGGATCTACTCCGCCGGCTTGGAATCTCAGCCCCTTATTGAAAAAGTCCGAGCTTGGAAATTGAACAGTCGGGGACATGGTTCGCCCCAGAGGCGTGCCGGGCGAATCTGCAGAAGCTGAGAAGACGCCAACCTGGCCGATGCCTCCACCGGTTGCTGTGACCGCTACCATATTCATAATTACTTCGTTCTCTTGATGCTCGAGACTGCCGTTTAGTGCTTCAAATCCAACGCAATCAACACTTCGACGGACTCCATTGGGCTCATGCTTGAGAATTTGCTCCACAGGGTCCGAGGCAGTGAAGTCGATAGGAATAGCACCGATGGACTCACCGAGCCGGAGTCGCTCATGGACGTGATCGACTAGATAGACGCGAGTCGCACCTCGAAGGACAGCAGAATATGCAGAGAGAAGACCTACGGGACCAGCGCCGAAGACGGCAACCGACTCACCAGCTTCGAAACCGGAAAAGTCGAGAGCACTCCAGCCAGTCGCAAAGATATCCGAGACAAAAAGATAGTCGAGATCCAGATTGGGAGCGGTCAGGTTGGTGGAGCTGTTGCTGCTGCTGGAGGGAATGTGAATTAGACTCTCATCAGCGAACGGAACACGGACATACTCGGCTGGAGTTTATGTCAGTCAACGGGACAGCTTTCCAAGGGAGATTGACCACGTTTACTTACCTTGACAGCCGGTTGCAAGACCATAGTCCAACCCCAAACCGAAAGCAACTAGGTCTGGGGCACCCATATCGAGATGACCGTCCGAAGCTTGGTCAGGGATGACCACCTTATCGCCAATCGTCAGGGAGCTCACGGCACTTCCAACATCATGGATCAATCCGATAGCCTCATGGCCCATTACCCAGGGAACTTCCTGGCTGCCGTAGACTCCGTGGTATGTGTGGAGGTCCGTACCACATATGGCCGAGAGTGTCACTTGCACAATTGCGTCTGTTTGATTGAGAATGGTAGGCTCTGCTAGATTCGTCACGTTCATCTGGAAGGGCGTACCCTCCCAAACAACGCCCTGCATGGTTGAATTGAGAGCCATGTCGAAGAGAATGATACGTCAGAAAACGAGTTGATAACTTCAGAGCCGATTCGACAAGAAGGGTGCATAAGCTAAGTGGTTTAAAAGCACGGGTTTCTCAGTTTCTGTGCTTGAGCAAAAGAGGAGTTACAGGCTGCCTTAATAGTTGAGATTTTATCTCAACCGTTGGTTGTTGGGAGAAGAATACCAGGCAACATTCTCTTGGTCTTGACCACTTCTTGTCCATTCTGCCTTGGTATGACAGGGCCCTTGTAATCACTTAGCCTTAAACATTACATGTGCTGACGAACCACAAATATCCAAGAGGTTCAGAGACGCAAGCTGGAGGAGTAATTGTCAAGTTTGTGACGTAGATTCTCGGAGCAAGATATTAAATGCAAGTACCCCTTGTTGGTGTTCAGGTACCATACTTATCACAAGGTATATACATGTATCTATTCAGAAATTGATAGAGAGGCAGGAATCATTCTGGAGCACACAGTCAAACTAGGTATCGAGTATCGATAGTTGACTGCAGCCAGAAGTTATAAACATCCTTGGCCTTTGTAGATAGTATTTGAATTATTCAGTCAAAAGGAAACGATTGTTCAAACATTAATCAAGTATACCTTATAATGATTATTCTCTTCTAGATCCCATTGTTGTCACACTGTGCAGAAGAAAATCTCTCTTGATAAGCCAATTTAGTATAATTCAGGTAGCGGGTATAAGCAACTTGCATTAGCTTCACAAACGGCTCAAAAACTAGTACAAGTTAGCACAATTTATCCTAATAGAGTTATCGGTAGCGTTAGTCGGCAAATCTACTGGTCTGTGGATCACTTTTGCCCTCCCTGGTCGATTATAAGCAACTTGCATTCATATTGTCTATGATGCCTCAAGTTCCTTTCAAATCTCCAAATGCACTAAGCATTGGCGCCCTCAGTTTTTACAGTGATGGATAACTCGGTCGACCCTGAAAATGTCACCATTCCGCTGACGTACATGCCCCAGCAAGCATGCATTTGGAAACCAGGCGATGATTGGACAGGTGTTGTAAATCAGAAAGAAAGGAGACGGTTGCAGAATCGACAGAATCAGAGGATCTACCGTAAGTGTTTCGGCTAGATGAGAGACTGCATGAAGGAGCAAATCTGACTTTTCATTGGAATGCTAGGATCAAGACAAAAGGGTCACGGCGCTCAAATGTCAGAAGTCACACAGTCCTCTGTGTCTTCAAGATCATGGTCAAGCTTGTTACTGCGCCGGCCTTCCTCATGTCATGCTCAAGTTGAAGATGACGAAGATCTCAAATGTGCACACGCCCCACCTCACGCACGAGAATATCTTCGGCAATTTGAGGCCACAGCCCGGCAAAGCTACCTGAGTGGCTTTCCCCGCATAGAACATTTGATCAGCCTCAGCCGTCTCAATGTCCATCGTGCAATTAACGAGAATATACTCGCGGCAGGGATGGCCCCTGACTGGATGAAAAGCGACGATTCGATATCGATCTTCAATCTCGTGCGCCCTGGTTTCACCGAAGATCTTATCCCACCAAGTTTACGTCCGACGCCCATTCAGCGGCAGATCCCTCATCATCCTTGGTTGGACTTTTTCCCTTTTCCCTGCATGCGGGATAATCTGATTGCTGCTGGCGATACATTTGATGACGAAGACCTATGTCATGACTTAATGGCTTTTTGGGACACGAGAAATACGGGTGCAACTTTACTCGTATGGGGTCAGCCGTGGGATCCTCGAAACTGGGAGGTTACAGAAGAGTTTGCAAGAAAGTGGGGTTGGCTGCTCCAAGGGTGCCCAGAGCTGTTATCTTCAACTGATATTTGGAGGATGAATAGAGGAGAGAAGCCTTTGGCTTGGAGGCAAATTTTGCGGCTATCGTTAGCAGGAACGAATCATTCCGAATGATACCTTGAAGGCTTTAACGCCTGTGTCTTTACGAATCAACACGTCTATTTCTATTTTTAAACAGATTTGACAATGATGAACTGAAAAGAAATCAACAGTAGAGCGTATTTGTAACGGGACAATGTATGTTTGGGAATTTTTAGAATTTTATCGGTGAGATAGACCTAGTCTTCCGTGGCACCGAAGTAGCTGGCGGTGAAACTTTCTTTGAAGGGTGGCGGCGATTAATACAGCAACTAGCAATACCAGCGAGTGTTGCAAGGATCAAGGCACCCCCAATCCCAGCAGAAAACCAATTCTGAGGAACCGATGATGATTGATCTATTTGGAGGCACTGCCGGTAAAGTCATTCTCACTATTTCTCTCACATCGTCCGCCTCGACACAGACCACCACTACATGCTCTTCCGTTAACGACCTGATGGTCTAAGCTCATGCAAATTCCTCTACACCAATCAACCGAACAGCCCAGAGAACAAGTTCTCCAAAGCCAATGTAAGGATAGAAACTCTGTCATTCTCGTTCTTTTCCCTCTAGACCTGCAAATCATGTGTGGATCATGTGTGGAATTTGCCAAATTAAAGTGCTAGATTGTTTGTGCATTGACACAGCTAGGCTGCGCCCAAACCCTTAAAAGCCCAACCCTACCCTGTACCCTACCCACTTTTCCTACAGGTTTAGGGTCGATATTTCTTCTCCAAAACCCA